CTCTCTCTCTCTCTCTCTCTCTCTTTTGATTTCACCCCTACATTTTCTCTCTCGTCTCTATCGTCTATCCATTCTGTCCCGGATGCCAGCCGATGAATCCGCCTCTATCGCGTATACCTTGACAACTCCCTGCGCCCTATACCTCCGGATACTTCGATCTCCAGCGCTGACATCTGCGTCAGCTGCGGCCGGGCATTTAAAGAGGATGGCAAAGGGGGGATAGTCGTCTCGATCAAGAGACATAATTCAATCGTGCTTTATTCAGAATTGTTTTTCTCATCATTTTCAGTTGTGAATTGATGAATAACGAATAAAATCGAAGTTATTGATTAGTTGGTCAACACCTGGACAAGGGAGAGGTTTTGAGGAAAATTAATTGAAGAATTTTGTTTTTCAACTAAAACAAAACAAGTGCACTGTTAAAAATTTTCAGTTATACACTGAGAGAAAAATATGATTCTTCTGACTATATTCCATCACCATCGAACTATAGTCAAAAAATCCTCAACAATTTCTCATGGGTTACGGTAACTATGGCCGGAGAAGTGATTATTACAATGGAATGTAGTCATTTCTACTATTTACTTTACTTTACTTTTGAACTTTGGTTAGTTTAACTGCATTTTGATTTTCAAAAATTACGCTTGTGAAGTTACTATAATGTTATGTGCCGCATACAAAAAAAATCGTATCGTTCACCAAAACTACCTCAACTATATTCTTATTGTAAATCGAACTTCAGATTTTTCCCTCGGTGTAATACCCCGAGACCTTCAAAATTATCGGAATATTTCCCGATAGCTTCGTTGCAAACAAACGAAAGTGTCTACTTTTGCAGGCTAAAAATCCCGAGTGCGCAGCACGAGGCGGAGAATGAATAACTTGGACTCGAAATTTTTTGTTGAAGATTTTCTTGACTGAATGTTTGCGATTGTTGCGATTTTTCCAGAAAAAAAATCAGTCAAAAAAATCTCCAATAACCAAAATTTTCATTAAAATTGTATTTTTGTTACTCCAAGGTTGTAAATATGATCATTGAATTCAAATGTGGGAATGTAAGAGCATGAATTGGTATCTGAAATATAATAAGCTTTATGGAAATGTTCGTATCTTGAAAAATAAGCATTGAAACGCTCATATCCCAAAAAGTAATTGAGAGGGATTTTTTTCTTTATTTTTCCCGTATTCCTGAATAAAAATGGTACGGAAAACATGTCAAGTAGCGGCGCCAAAGGAATTTTAATCTTCCATCCATGCACATGGTAGTTTCATCACCCACTATTAACAGTATTCGATATAAACGGAGAAATCATCTATCTCTCAATTTTGAAGCAAAGTTGGACAACTGATTCCATTTGCACTTTTCTATTGAGAAATTTCCACAGTTGCATAAACGGTCCATTGACATGGTCTTCTAGAAGCACTCTTTGTTGAGAGAATTGGAACATTGACATAAGAGGTATTTCCGACGGCTGACGGTTTACTACTTCAACGCAAAATTTTTTATTCATTCTCTGAAAGTCTATTCAGTGTCACATATTTTAACTTGATCAATGACTCGATAACAACAAATTCTGTGATTTATTTGTTTACAAGTGAAATTTTATATTCATTAACAACAACAAAAATAATGATAATAAAAAATATTGATTGGTCGAGGCATTCACCATATACTTTCAAAGATCTAAAACGTATCCATTTTTTCTCCCGAAGTGCAGTAATTTCTTTGATGACGATGCATATAAAGGAATAATCAGCGAACAAATGAATTTCACTGAATCAAAGGATCCAGTTAATGCGGTTTTATTCTCCATATTTATATCGTATTAATTTTCCAATAATTAATTCATTTGGAATTAAGAGATTTGAATGTAAGAGAAACTCCAAATTTGATTATTTAACCCTAGTTGGTCACCAAACGCGACCTTGCGATTGGTCACCTCCTCGGGGGTTCCCCGCCGTATTATTTAGGCTTTAGCGGTGCCGAATTCACTGTACACTGCCCGGGCGCGTTTACCGAGTTTCCGGCAACGTCGCGTCATGGGCAACTTCATTTAAGGGGACACCGAACCCCTTTGTCTATATGAACTTTTAGAATTGTGTTTTTTCCTACAATTATGAATTTTTATCTATAAAACTACTTTATTGACTCGATCATTGCATTGTTGAGTCAATGAAGTACACGGAGAGAAATTTTTGGTGAAAATTATCCTACCGTTCTATAAAAATGTACCATGTGTCATCGTTTCCTCATTTCTATCCCGAAATTTTGTAAAAATTAATATATGATGATCAAATTCTATTCTACAATCAAGAAATTTTATCCTGACGCATAATAAATTTTATCCTTCCAGTCCAATAATTTTTATGTAGATACACGGAGAAAAAAAGTTAATGGAAAAACTTGTCGAATTCGTTAGAAAATTCTATTGAATTTCTATTGAACTGTTCTATTAGTTTTTGGCCGATTCTATTGAAACGTTCAATAGAGAATATTCAGTAGAAAAAGTCAATAGAATTCAATTTTTCTATACTTATTCTATTGAGATATTCTATTGAGATATTTTCTATAGAATTTCCTCGGCTCAAATTTTCCAAGTTTTTTCGTTTGATTTTCTTGATGAGAAGAAAATAAAAATAGAATGAAAAAAACTTAGAAAATTTGAGTCGAGCAAATTCCATAGAAAATATATGAAAAGAATAAGTTATATAGAAAAATCGAATTCTGTTGACTTTTTCTATTGAACATGTCAATAGAATCAGCCAAAAACTAATAGAAAGTTTAATAGAAATTCAATAGAATTTTCTAACGAATTCGATAGGTTTTTCTATTAATTTTTTTCGTTGTTATAACAACGAAAATTCAAGAAGGGTTGGTAAATTTTACCCTACCGGTACAGTAATTTTTACCCTACCAGCACGGTAATTTTTATTTTTATTAGGATAAAATTTCTCTAACGTAGAATAAAGTTTGATCATCATATATTAATTTTTACTAAATTTCGGGATAGAAATGAAGAAACGATGACTCATAATACACTTTTATAGAACAGCAGGATAATTTTTATCAAAAATTTCTCTCCGTGTAGTTTTTTTTTTTTTTATATTCCGGCCCTTTCTGCCCTTTGATTGGCTAATCGGCCCTATCTAACCCTATGCATGCGGCTGTGGATTCTACACTGCACCGCATTCGCACTCCTATAGAACATAGGAGTAGCATGGGAAACCACAGAAAACCCATGCCGGTACAGGCGGTCACTATATTAGCGACCTCCCGCTCGCCGGAGCCTCCGGTTGAAAAACTCGGTTCCACGGGGAATCGAACTCACAACCTTTCGCACACTAGGCTCGCACCTAGCCGCTTCGGCCTCCGACGTCGGTCTCTCCGTGTAGTTTGATAGATAAAAAATAACAATTGCAGGAGAAAACACAATTCTAAAAAGCCAGCGACGGCGGCCGAAGCGGTTAAATCGCTCGGCCGGACGGCGGGACCCGTGAGGCGCGAGTTCGAGTCCGGCTTGGGGCAATTGTGATTTTTAATCTTTCGGAAACCGTCGAACGGAAGTCTAGACACCGAGAATCATCGGAGAAGTGTTATGAAAACATTCTCCGATGAAGCTCGGTCGATGGACGCCCGTGTCGGCCAAGGTTTTCCATGGTTTCCCTTGGTCACCAGGAGTCTGTACGTGGGATACAGCTCCTGGGGTACAATGCGACAGGGTTGGAGAGAAAGTCGGGAAAACAATTCTAAAAGTTCATACACTGAGAGAAAAAATTATTCCTGCCAAGGATTGATATTCTCGTCAGAAAATTATATTTTTTCAAAACGAATTTTTCCAGGACAGACATTTTCAGAGNTACATATGACCTTGACAAAATGTTCTCCGATATCTTCCGGATTTTACAAATTGGCGATTTTCTCAGGTAAAGAAAATTGGAATAATTCCAAATGTTAATAATTATTATTGGAGTTTCTTCGAGGTCATATGCAGAAGAATATTCTTATAGATCACCATAATTCTCACGCTTGGAACTGATTTCAGAGCACCTGGAAATGACTGGCCTGGAGAAATACGTTCCAAAAGAGATATTTTCTTCTACTAAGAGTATGAAAAAGATATCACCAATAACATTTTCTTGGAAAGAATAAATTTTTTTCTCAGTGTATATATATATAGACACAGGCGTTCCGTTTCCCCTTAACATGGGAGAAAATAATTCATCTGTCGGAAATAATTTTTCTTTAGGAATTTTGAAAAATATGTTGTTCTAAAAACTACTATAATTTTTTAGACACTTCAATTGACAGTCAAATTTTTTTGAATTTTTCCGGTTAGCCAGTCAATTGTAATTGAAGAAAAACGACGCGCGGCGGTGTTTCCCTCACAGGATGACCACTCTAGGGTCAATTAATGTTGCTTAATCTATTCTGTCTGATTGGAGCCTTCGTTAGTATGAAGGAGTGCATAATTTGTATTGCAATGATTTGTACATTAGTTGAGTTAAAATAGTTGAACTTTCATTGTTCATTAATTAATTAGTCGTTCTGCTCTTGGTCTGTTTCATTTGGTGAGTACTTTATCACTGGGACAATTGACAGAGCATTGCAACTCCCCTCATTATCCAGTGATTCGGTGGTTTTTCTGTCGGCAGCCACATGGCAATCACGAAATTTGTTGAGTGCCCGGTGGTCGATAGTACGCCACGACGTTCACTCGTTTTGTATACTGGACACGTGTACGTTGCTCGCTCTTTTATCTCCTCTTTCTTCATTGGCACAAGCCACAGCTGAAAGGAAAAATTACCGTCCCACATCCATAAGATGTGAAGCCAATGAAGAAGAACGCTAAGTTACTTAAAACTATTCTTCATATAACTCAATATCAAGTTCTGTAGAATTATTAGGTAAGAAATTAGTGAACTTTAGGACCGAGAGATTCATTTTCTTTTCACTGAGATTTCTTTTTTGTTCAACGAAATCACGTAATGAATCCTATTACAGTAATGGTGGGAGACGCCTCTTAATTATTTTGTAATTATAAAATGGATTTAGCAGCGAAATTGTACAAAAAAAAATCGGAGTATCTCTTTCGCTTGATTTTACAAAGATTTTGGTAATCAGAAGTGTCTACAGGCCGTGTCTCCTTGCAATTTTTTTTCACAATAGAAAAGGGATATTGATATTTTCTCTTAACATCACTGATTTTCGAGATATTTAAATAATTAAAGTAGCTCTACCCTTCGGCCGGGCTACGCTATACTTTTGGATATTTCCAGTTTTTTAATTTTCCAACTAAATTGCATGGAAAAAAATTGAAATAATTCATACCCAGTCAGTATTATCTAAATTAAATTCTGCAAAATATTGATGTTTTTTCAAATATTTCCCTCGTATAAATAAATAATAAAACTTGTTTGCAAAACGGTGGATTATTTTTTATGAGGTGTCAAAAAATTCTTGATTTTTTCACATCTCATGAAAAAAAAAATTCAGATTTTAATCTTTGATTACAATGGAAATGTTGATTTTCACATAAGACACTGGGTTAAATCCTGATTTTTAAACATTTCTTCTTTGTAAAACCAAAACGATAATTAAATTGAGAAAAAAATTAGAATTCCGCATCTAATCGAGTTTTCTGCAATTTTTTTGTAGTTTTCAATAATCTTTGAATTTACCGTAAGGGTAGAGCTACTTTAAGTTCACGTGGACGAAACTCAAGTGTGAAAATGGATAGATTTGAAGGAAATTCTCTCGAGTTATCCACCAAACTGCAGAGAAAAGTGTACCAAATAATACGGTGGAGTGTGAGAACGTCAGAACTTAATTTTGTTAACAACAACTTGCAACTGGATGCTGAACTAAAAAATACTCTACTAAAAAAGATGAGAATGGATGAACCATGCATTTCCGATGAACAATCACCGCTTTCGATGTCTTCCAGTCTCATCCTTCAAAACACTGCTAACGTCACTTCCTCAGATCACACCATATTTATTTACAAAAATTGGATTTTCACCTGCTCAAATTTATCGATGAAAAAATACTTGTCTTTCTCACATTCCTCATTCTGTTCAGCAAAACTTTGAATTTGAATAAAAATATCGTTTTTTATCCCGCAAAAACGTCAGATACTGTATTCCTATTGATTGACAATTCAAATGGGGGGAATAATCCAGCTGAATGCCCCTCATGCTTCAAAATGGTTTAACATTTTCCTCAAGTTTTTCTACATATCAACTAGTGCGCACTCGGCTTTTTTAGCCTGCCACACTGTTAGAAAGAAATGAAATTTCATGGACAGTTGCCTACTAATTTTCAGGATAAGCATAAAAAAAAAATAATAATTTTCAGGACAATGACACTAGATGCGATTTAGGACAATCAGTGACAGCTCAAAATGTGATTCTCTCTAATTTTATAATCTTTACAATCGACTCCCACTATTGAAGAAAAAAATCCTAGTGAAGAGAGAAAACGGCCAGTTTTGCTTCCGAAGGGAAGCATTGTTTTTTCTATATCTAATGTTATAACGTTTACAGACGACTTCCACTATTAAAGAATAATCCCAATTAAGAGGGATAAGGGTTAGGTTTTTTTAATATTATCTACCTCCTAATAAACGAAACGTCCCGATTAAATTGGATAACGGCTCGTAAAACCTGGAAGTTGGACGGTCTCAAAAGCACAGAAATAGAAATGAATGCGATTGAGGGAAAAAAAATCATAAAATATCAGGTTTTACTGAAAATTCAGTAAAATTCCAGAATTTTTAGCAGCATAAAGACGAGAATTCCTTAATTTATTTGAATTTCCAATCTAATATGAATATTCAGGGCCGAATTACATTGAATTTTCAGTTAAATCTGAAATTTCAAGATTTTTTCCTCTAAATCGTATTCAGTGTCACTGCCTTGTAAATTCAAAAATGTATTTAGCGGAATTTTCTGGTTTTCTATTTCAGGGAAAAATGAAACTGAAATTTACAGTTCTCTTTGATTTTTCCGCTAAATTCTGAATATTCAATGACGAAATTCCTTGAAATTTCAGTGGTAATTAAATTCCATAAAATTTTCCAAAAAGTGTACCGGCAATTTCACACGGAGAGAAATATTCAATAAAAATTACGTATCTTTTCCGTAATTCCGAAACGAAATATGCTTGTAGGAAATTTTATGGAACTGTCACGGAATTTTTCCAGAGCGTTTCGTAACCGGTGAGCGAATTGTGAGTTCCGTAATTTTTACTGAACATTTCTCTCCGTGTGCAGACAAAATTTTTTAGCAATGCAAATTTGCCCCCATCGTTGCCAAGCAACAAAACTTTCGGAAAATTTTCGACAATTTCGAACCAGTCGGGGCATTACGACTGACGATTCTTCTAAATTTCTTACTCACATAAGGAACAGCATCATAGAGAACCTTAGGAAGCGCCTCCTCCAGCATCATAACTTTCCTATCAAACCTGGCGCCATCGAGAAAGAGTCCATAAACGTAGATTCCATCCTCGGGTGGAGAATCGAACTCACTCTTCTCAAGGGGAAGGAAATCATACACCAGAAGATCAATGGGTATTGAGTACTTCCTGGCATAGTTCTGTCTGGCACCAGTGAGAAAAGCCTGAGTGAAAAAGAACCCAGAGAGCCAGAAAGAAGCCGGCGGCCCTTTCTGAAACCACTCCTGTAAAAAAATAAGGAATTCACCTACAATTTACTCTTCCTTCATCTCTAATTACCGAATACATCTCTCTAAAATGTCTAGAGTACCTGCAAGAACATCAGACGACGAATAAAGTCCTGGACGTAACTGCCCAAAGGCTTTAGGGATGGGTAAGAGTCTCTCTTCCACAAGTTTGGAATTTTTCCAGTTATTATTGACGTAAAAACTTCCTCGAGTTCTGCATTCATTATCGTCAGTCCTAGAAATTATATCAAAGGGAAAGATAAATAAGAAGGGGAGGAGTGAGGAGAGGGGTAAATTAGCACTACCTTTGATCGCCTTCTGCACACCCCCCAGGCTGTTTCTGATCGTTTGAAGCAGCTTATTGAACCGACCCATTTCCTGTACAAGTACCGTATTCATGCTCTGATTGTACGATGTTGGATACTTCTCTAAGGCGTCTACTAAATCGAAATCACGGGGAAGTTTCGACAGAATGTCTTCAGATACTGTGAACACTATTTCGTCCGGACTTTTTCCACTTTCAGAAGCCTCTGATGCTGTATCCTGGGAGAAGGATTTTTTTGTCAAAGATTGTTACAATCTCTTACGGCGGCTTAATTTTCGCTTCCGAATGGAAGTTTCGCGCGTACGAAAAAGTTTAACCCTAGTCTGGTCACCAAACGCGACCCGACGACTTGGTCACCTCCGCGGGGAATCCCCGCCGTGTTATTTAGGCTCTAGCGTTGCCGAATTCACTGTACACTCGCCGGGCGCGTTTAGCGAGTTTCCGGCAACATCGCGTCATTGGCAATTGCATTTAAGGAACTTCCGCAGTAAGTATATGGGAGTAGAAGGAAATGGACTACAGAGCTGAAATTTTGAGAATATATTCTTTGAGTGATTACAAATATCTATAAATATATAATTACAAATGTCTATAAAGTCGCAAAACGCTGAACCACGTAGATTGTTGAGGAGAAAATATGGAAAATGTGTCATTAACACAGAGTCTTATGGCACCACTTTTTCAAAAATCACAAAAAAAAAAATCGACTATGGAATAAAAGTCTAAACGCTTCACGAATAGAACCGTATATATTTCAGAAACATATCCCGACAATTTCATTAGCCGTCACCACAGGGATTATTTGTAATTATTGAAAATGTATGGCATAGTTTGGGATTTTAGTTACGTTAGAGAAAACTGATCGCTGAACATGGGAACGGAGAGAGGTTAGGAGAGTTGCCGGATAAATAATATTTTGAAATAAAAATTATTTGGAATTGATTAATCATGAATAATAAGTGTAAAGAAATCTAAGCGACGAATGTTCAATACACCCGTGAACTTTTCGTCATTTCATTGTTTTTTTCAAAGGATGCAGTGGAGTGTCGGAACCTTTGATATTTTCCCCCACTCCATAGCCCCAAAATTTACTGCGGAAGTTCCTTAACATGGGAAAAATAATTCACCTGTCCGAAATAATTTGTTTTCTTTAGGAATTTTGGGGAACATGTTGTTCTAAAAACTCCAATAATTTTTAGACACTTCAATTAACAACGTCAAATTTTTTTGAATTTATCCGGTTAGCCAGTGAATTGTAATTAAAGAAAAACGATGCGCGACGGGGTTTCATCATAGGGTGACTAATCTAGGGTTAATCGGAAAAATTAGCGAATTCGTTTGGCAATTCCATTGGATTTCTATTTTCTATTATTTTGGTTATTTCATTAGTTTTTGGAAAAGATTATATAGAAAAAGCCGATAGAATTCAATTTTTCTAAATTGCGTATTTAAGGATGTACACCCTTATTATTGACTGACTCACGAAGTTTCATGGTAGTGCAATCATTTTCTTGCATTTGTTCTAAAGTTTTTCGAATTTCCGAAAAGTTTTAGAAAAAACGCAGGAAAATTATTGCACGATCATGAAATTTCGTGAGCTATTAAGTAATGATAAAACGTAAAAACGACATATTTTTTCATGTTAATCCGATCAATAATTTACCAGAAAAATTCAAAAAACGTGAATTTTGGCGAAAAGGGTGTAATACATTCTTAATTATTAGAGAGATGTTGACGTATAGAAGATGAATGTAAGAATCTCCCGCAAGTTTTCCAGAGAATATCTTAAAGACTAGAGGTTTCAGTGGAGTGTTGGAGAAGAGTTTTTGTGTCTCATAAAATTCATTATAAAAAAGGTCTTTTCATTACTCTTAGCACCACTCATTACCGGGATAATTCATAGGTAAAAGTCTTGAGTAAAGTAGTGAAAGAAGATGAGTTTAAAAATTTCATACAATATAATTTGCAGATACCTCTGAAACGGGAGAGTTTAGAGAAAAGTACAGCAGAACTTTTTTGTAGTCGATAAAATTTACTACAGATAAGATTTTCATAATTGTTTCCCCTAGTAACATTCATTACCGAAAGCAATGAATGTTGGAATGCGTTAAAGCAGGGATAAAAGACGATAGGATGGAGAATTTCAGGCAGATACTTCTGCAGATATCTGAGAACTTAGTGAGTTAAGAAGGAACTCGAAACTTTCGCTGCAGTAAATAACAAATTCTGTACGGAAGCGTCTTCGGATATATTTCTCTGAGCTCCTTCCTTCCAAAGAGGTCTTCTGGAAAATCTGTCTTTCCTCTTTGGATATTTCCTATTTGATCACTTTTCTACTGAAGTAGAACAACTTTCGGAAAGTCGGAATCACCACGACTTACCACGTGTAAGTTTAAGGATTTTTTTAGATTTTAGACGGATGTTATTTTGAGAAAGAAGAATTAATGTCTGAAATAATTATTTGAAAATTTCAAAATTACGGATTCAGGTATTGAATGGAGACTTCAGAACAATGAAATTCCATTTTCGTCGACCCCTCGGAGGAACATTGTGCACTGTTAAAAATGTTCCATGGAAATTTCTAGTAAAGATCTTGGAAACTTTTGAACCGTAAATTGTCCACTGAAATTTTAAGGAATTTTTTCATTGAAAATTCATAATTTCATGGAGAAATCCGTATGAATGGTACATTTCAGTTAAATTATTCCGGGAAAATTAGTGAAAAATCAGGAATATTCAGAGAAATCTTTCTTTGAATTCCAGATTCTTCAAAATTTTCGGAAAATTTCTTGAAAAATTCAGGGAATTCTAAGAATTTTAACGGAATTCCCTTAGAAAATTCATGTAAATGGTGAACTTTCCGTCTTTCCGCCGCTGAAAAATTGGGACTTTACTTGAATTTTAAGAAAAACTTAAAATTACATCAATTTTTTATCCTTAAATTGAATTCAACATCTTTTTCCGAAAAATTCAGCCGAAATTTTTCAACAGTGTACTAACGAAACACCTTAAATTCCATTATCCATTCAACTTACAATTTCTCTTGATTTTCGGAAATCATCGTGGGCTCAAGTTGAGAAAAAGTCACGCATGAAAAAAATTAATAGAAAAACCTACCGCCTTCGTTAAGAAAATTCTATTGGATTTCTATTCAGCTATCTATTAGTTTTTGGCCGATTCTATTAAAGTGTTCAATAGAAAATATTCACTAGAAAAAGTCAATAGAATTCGATTTTTTCTTATAAACTTATTCTCTTCAGATATTTTCTATAGAATTTCCTCGGCTCAAATTTTCTCAGTTTTTTTCTTTTCTTCTCATCGCGAAAATCAAACAATAAAACTTGGAAAATGTGAGCCGAGAAAATTCTATAGAAAGTATCTCAATAGAATAAATTGTATAGAAAAATCGAATTCTTTTGACTTTTTCTATAAAATATTTTCTATTGAACATTTCAATAGAATTGGCCAAAAACTAATAGAAATTTGAATAGAAGTTCAATAGAATTGTCTAACGAATTCGATAGGTTTTTCTATTAAATTTGCTCATCCGTGCGTGGTTCGCTACGAGAAATCAAATGGCTGAAAAAACTACAAAGTGATTTTTCTTCATCTTTGGAGAAAATGTGAGTAAATAATAAATTACCTTCTTCTTCCAAAAATTCTTGGGAAGCTATACAAGAGAATGATGTTAGTTAACGTAAAATAATTTACGATACGGTGGTAATAAAAACCGTCCTATGAACGTGAATTGCCTTACCTCAGTTTCCTGACAGTTTGCAACAAAGGAGTTTTATGTTTTATCACTGTTCATGTGAAAAATGAGATGAGAATTTATTTACTTGGGTTAATAAAATGGAGGCTATCACGATCTCGGTTTCCTGCTGGTCCTTAATTATATCAGCATTGTCGTTCATGCCAAAGACACTTGGTCCTGTTATCATTGGTAGGTCCCTCACGTAGTCGAGGAATTCAGAGTGCTCTGAGACCCATGGGATGTAGTATTGACCCGAGGAGTCGAAACGGTATGATCGCTCTTCCACAGCTTCCTCGCAATAGAATACCTCGAGAATTGTATTGAGAGTACGGCGATCCCACTCGTCAGTCACTCGACCGCCGTAATTACATTCACCTGAATGCAAACAACAAAAATTGATTCTTCGCTACCAATTCAAGTACGAATGAAATTAACCGTCAGCGGGTGCAGTGGGGTTACTCATCACCCCACTGCATCTTCTCTTAATTGTAACTAGCGAACGGGTGCTTCACGCCGGTCGTTAGATTAACTATACTATTTTATTTTCTTTTATTCGAATTTCCGTTTTCAATGAAGAGGAATTATGTTAAAGATCAATAAAAAGGGTTTTTTTATAATCAAAATAAACACACAAAATAAAAGTCATTCGAAATCTCATTTGGGTAATAGAAAACCCTCTTTATGTATTCCTGAAAAGGAAATGAAAAAAGAATCAGAAAGGGATAATCCGCTAGAAAATGGATTTATTTCTTTTATGTCGGCGGGAACTTTGAATTACTTTTTTTCTTCAAGTATTAGAGGAATACTGATATTAATATTTCAGGGAGAAGAAATTCATCAAATGCAAAGAAAAATGGGTGGGAAAAACTAAAAAAAAAGTTTTTTCAATCTCTCCGGAAAGTTTTAAAATAGATATATTTTTTTGAATAATGGAAGAATACCCATAACTTCGGTTTCTCTCCTTGTCTTGTGATAGGATGAATAGAATAAATGACAGAAAATGAGAATTGGAGACTACAAATTTTACCGGCTATTATTCTGTAATAATAATAATAATATATACGTTTTTCTTCATTCGCATGTTACAACAATTAATGAAGATGAATTATATTAAAAATAAATAAAAAGTGTTTTTCTGTGGTCAAAACCAACACACCAAACAAGTCATTCGAAACCTCATTCGGCTAATATAAAAATTTCTCCATGTATTCCTGAAAATGGTTAAAATCGATTTCTTTTCGAATAGTGAAAGAATACTTATAAATTCGATTCCTTTCCTTGTCTTTTGATAGAATGAATAGAATTCCATAAATGCCAGTGAATTGCAAAAATCACGAATTGGAGATTGAAAATTTTTAAAAAGGGATAATCGGCTAGCTATTAAAATTCTGGGAAAAAAAGTGGTGAAAATCTATAAGCGAGAAAATTCTATGCAGAAATATTTCGAAAACTGCTAGGTTTAGGGAAAAATGGCTCTAGATTTTTTTAATTCCATGAAATTTCTCCCTTTTTCTGAAATATTCTCAAAATCCTTGAAATCACTTCGAAATTATTTCCAGCTCTTTGCCAGGTGAATATTAAATAAAACCCATCGACTTCATTAAAATTCTCCTTTAATTATAAAATCGAATCAATCTGAAAAACAGGATTGAAATTCGATAGAAACACATTCTATAACATCAAATGGATGAATGAATTTCTATTGTTCCTATAAATATGTTAATTCCAGGCTGAAGGCGCAAACTTGTTGCAAATTCCGTTGAAAATAAAAAATGAAATAATAATATTTTAATTATTCCTGTTCATTCTGACATCTAACATTCATGTTTGGGATTCAAATACCTGTAAGATATTTCAATGCTTCATACTGCACATCGTCATATTGATCCAGAAATATCTTTAACTGAAGTACACTAATGCGAAGATCCGTCTCATTGAACTCATACGGATTGTTCCATCCCATTGGTCCAAACTTCCTTCTCTCCTGAACAATAGCATGGAAGAAACACAATGAGAACAGTAATTTCTTGAAGGAGGTCTTTTGCTTCGATGTCTCAAAGAAATCAGGGTCGCAGATTGGATCCTAGAACCATTGGAAACATTGGAAACATGTCAAAAACTACGGCATTCGTAAATTTTCTGCGACCAACGGAGTGTTAAGGGTGCCAAGTGAATTTGAAAAAAGATTCAAAAAAAATTTTTTCTTTCCCTCCATCATTGGAGAAATATGTATTCATCCATCCGACGAAATTTCAAACCCGCAACCGGAACTAGACATCGAGAAAATAAATGCGGAAAATCCTCTATTTCGCGTGACGAACCTCGAGAAAGCATGGGATCAAATGGGTACGGCGGGTTGAAATATCTCTCTTATTCACCCCGGTACCCCATTGTTTTTTGTCGCCATCACATTGAACACATCATTCCCCATATCTTCAAATTTTTTCAAATTTTTCTTGAGTTCCTAGGGGGTTGAAACGTTCAATTTAATCAAAACTCCATAAGAGGCCGTGTATAAGACTGATTTTGTTTATTTAATTTCTCGATATCCATAAGTTCTAAAATTTTAAAATTGTCACCGATGTTCACCATCTGCCTAATACTATTAATTAAAAAAATTATAACTTTGTTGGTGAATGTCAATTTTCAAGGTCATCGCGAAATTCACTTGGCACCCTTAAATATCACTGCGATCTCCTTTTAAAATAGTATATTTCGTCATTAGGACGAAAAAAACGTTTCTGGCGAATATGAATTTGCAGCCCGAGCCGAAGACGAGGCTTGCAATCATATGAACTAGAAAAGTTATTTTTAGGCCGTGTGATGAACAATATTTTTACGGACGCTCCGTGTCCGTGAATCACTGATGCTCACAGCCATGAAAAAAAATTGAATTGGCAAAAACATCATCAAACCGAAAAGCTTCTGAGTGATTTTTGGAAGGCCATTTCATGAAAAATATCAACGAACCTGAAGAAACGATCGCGTAATATTTGATCTGAGTCCTTTAGGTGGTTCATTAGTCATCTTGACGCCATTTTGAAGAACACTAATGGGAAAATGTTCAGCGGGATAACTGGTGAGCCACAGTCTGAAGTCTGGATGCACAGATTCTGGTGTGAAACCCTCGCAAATCTGCGGTAAACCCAAGTGAACCATTAATTCGGATAATTTATTGATTCCAATTAGTAACCATTGAATCATTATAATCGATAATTAATTAGTGGCACCTTTTCCAGGGTCGGCATCCAACTCTTGGCTAAGTGACAGTTTTGGAGTACAACCCAAGTGCCATTCTTCACTCCCTCGTCAATCAAACTGACGGCTATTGGACCCTGACCCTGACCCAGTGATAGAGAAAAGAGTCTCGATGTTCCGAAGCCCTGATCATCAGCGAATTTTAACAGAACCGCGGTAGGATCCGCTCCGGGGGTCAGAACGAAGATAAGAGGAATGCAGCAGAAGGAGTCTGCGTAGGAGGAGCCCAAGTCGAAGGGCGGAGGCTCTACAAATTGTCTCCCAAGTTGATCTATGCGAAAAGCACATGCAAAAGAAATTGAAGAAATTTCTCCGGACTGAATTTGTAAAAATTATATCGAAATGGAGGATTAGATTAATTATACTCTTAATGGGGGATAATTATGTCGACCAATTGATCGAATATCATTTGTACAATCAAGTCAATTATCAAGTTAAATTAATTACCTTCAACGAAGAGCTGAACTGATGGCACGACCTTGTCAGGCCTCAAACACCGAAGGATCAACATTTTTTCGAAAAGAGTTATTTTATCGAATGGCTGAGGGAACTTTTGAGACTGAGGCTCTCTGTGATCGAATATTTCTTTCCACTTCTGAACATTTTGGACGAATTTTGATTTAATCCCCTAAACAATTAGGACCAGAAATTACTTTCCATTATTGAAGAGTCATAATCCAAAATGAAAAGCATTTAGTAATTATTGAAACATGAACATGTGGTAGAAGAAAATGGGTCAAACGATGTATGGTTGGCGGAATATTCAAGGATCTTTATATTTAACCCAAAATTGGGCACCTTATGAGGGGAACCCCGCCGCGCGTCCTCTTTCTTTAATTACAATTGACTGACTAACCGAAAAAATTAAAAAAAAAATTGACTTTGTCAATTGAAGTGTCTAAAAAATTACAGTAGTTTTTACAACAACATGTTTCTGAAAATTCCTAAAAAAAACAAATTATTGCGGACAGATGACTTATTTTTTCCCAAGTTAAATGAAATTGCCTATGACGCGACGTTGCCGGAAACTCGCTAAACGAGCCCGGGCAGTGTAGCGTGTATTCGGCAACGCTAAAGCCTAACTTATACGGCGGGGAATCCCCGCAGAGGTAACCAAGTCGCAAGGTCCCGTTTGGTGATCAGACCTAGGGTTAAGGTACTTCCTCAGTCACTTATACGCATCGTCGAACATTTAATTTTTATGTTTGTCCCATTTGTAGGAATGCATATCTCGAATATGATGTGGATGAAATGATTAAAATTTTAGGAAAAGTTTTTGAATGTACGCAACAACATATGATCTACATGCAAATTTTTCATCATATATAAGTGACTGAGGAAGTACCTAAAGAGAATTGTTCAAAGAACTTGTTTTTTCACAAATTTACAAAACCATAAAGATAACGTTTTTATTTTTTTCTTGTAGTTTCAAGGATGTTTTGGTAATAATAACAATGAAGTTTTGAAAATTTTCGTCCTTTGCTTCTTCATTAGACAATATAGTAGATCAAATGATGTGTATTGTTCTCATTATTATTCATGTATTATTCAGGATTATTCTCATTTTAGCGGTGTTTGTGTACAATACGGGCCCCAAAATGGGATTTTTGGGATCCTATGCTAGCCACGTCCTCGTCATTGATCCTGGGTAACGCCAAGAGCTGGTATGGCGGGAAATTTAAATGTTTTACCACGCTCGTGAATTGATGGGGAAACTATATTTAATTTAATTTTAAGAATTAATTGCCCTCTGAAGGAAGGTAGTGAAATGGGAGGTCCCGGTCACCTGTTTATCTTTGTCATTATATGTGATGTACCAAAGAGTTTTTAATTCCAAGTCGGCAACCCAGTCCCGATATTGTGGGAATTTGTTAATTGTCTGACAGGGTACCGCTTCGTACGCAAATACCATTTTAGGAATGCCTTGTTCCTTGGAAAATCGCTAGGGAATCGTTCTGTTTTAAAGACTGTCAGAGACGGTGGGAACAGTTTTCAAAAAATTCTCGAGAATGTCTTGTTTCTCAATACTATAATATAATAATATTATATTATTGTTTCTCAATACTATAATATATTTAATATAATAGGAATATAATTTTTAACATGATATACCCTAGTTGCAATTTTCTTTTCCTTTAAAATTTAATAATTAATCAAAATAATTACTGTGAATCCAGGAACATCATCAAGTCTACAAAGTTCATCCCAGGACTTCGAAGGAAGCCATTCAGTCGGATTCCTGTCAGGATTATCCAGTCCAACGCCACCAGTCAACAGAAACATCCACTGTGACATTGAAACCTCACCCCTCTTATTCAGTAAATTAATCGCGAGTATCAATGAGAACAAAAGTTTATCCTTCTCGAACAGTGATCGACAGATATTGATGTAAAGAGAATGCGTAAATGCTTTCGTGAGGTCCTGAAGACGTTGACTAATGTCTTCCACCGGTGGCGTATTGTCGATTGTCACTTTAAAGAGATTCATGAACCAGGCGAGGGAGTATTGATACATTGGATCAATATTTGCTAGGACAGCTGTAAGAAAAATCACACGAATGTCCAAAAAAGGGCCAAAAAAGGATCAACTTATCAATCAAAGTTTTTTTCTCCTTAAGAAGAAGAAGAAGATGAAAAATTGATGCAAAACAAATTGCAATTTATCCAATCGACATGTTGGAGTGAAAAAATAACGATCAAATGATTAATTAAATTTTACCTATGGTAAAAAATAGAACAGTGCTATGAACGGCAATGGACGTGTACTGGAGTCTAGCGGCATCAATCGACTTTTCTGTCACCTCTGCGACAGCCTGTTTCACCTGTATTTCATTAGCTAATACCTTTGACGAGCTGAGAATAGCAATAGCTGTCTGATTCTCCAAAATGTTCTCATCTGACCCAGAAAGCACTTCCAGAATCTTGTCCTCTATTTCTTTCAACATTCTAAAAAAAAGTTCAGTCTTTTTTTCTGCTCGAACATACAAGAATTATTTAAATCTGATTCAAAATTTGCATCAATCATTTGACCATCTAGAAAATTGATATTTTTAGTGAAACATCAAAAGAAGTTTCTTTCCGTGGAGAGATTCACCGGATAACGAAATACTGCAGCGAAGGCTTGGAAGGATGAAGGTACAAGTTTTATACTGATTATTAAGAACAGATATCTCAGAAATTGATAGGTTTCGAAGAGAATGTGGAGAGAATATTTTTAGTAGATGCATAGAATCTCGCGCAGAAAAGACATTCTGATAACTGGTTTTCGGTTCTCCCTTTCGTAAAGAAAGTTCTTTTTGTCACTCAGCTCGTGAAGACTTGCTTCACCCACGTTGCGTGTGAAACACCGACTGCCGTAACAAAATAGTATCTTACGTAACAAGTGCATAAAATGGGAGGATATGGGCGAGTAGTGTGATGTTTTTAGCTAGAGTCGTAGGCTACGCAAAACCAAGCCGTAGACGAGACGAGCGACGTTGAAGCACAACGAGCCGAGCCGAAGGCGAGTCTCGTTTTCGTAAGCCTACAACTCTCAATAAAAAAATCACACACGAGTAAAAAACCTCATCGCAACAGGCCGGAAAAATACTATTTGGTTGAGAAAAAGACGGTTATTTTGCTTTAAAATGATTTTTTAGATGAATGAGTAATTAAAAATTCGGCTTCGGCTTTAATTGGTTTTTCTACTTCATCAGGGACGTCATCTTACTTTTTATTAGCAGCTCCCTGGACAATCAACTGATTTTTCTCGCTCTCCAAATCGGGTCTTTCCTTAGCCACAACAATGCCCAGCAGCTGATCCTCTAGGCCAATAGGTGTAATCATGAAATTCAAAAGTGTGACTTTTACAGCGATCTCCGGTAAATAGTGAGGATTCCGTAATTTCGTAGTGATATAGAACCGAAATTTATCGTTCCACTCGACCACAGAGTCTCCGAGCTTAATACACAACGACCCAGCAGTCTTGAAGGTCTGCTTGAGAAGCAAGGGCTCGAGCACCGCATCTAATTCCTCTCCTACGTTCTCCATCAATACAGGCTGTCCAAATTGAATAGCATTCTCGAGTACTCTCGTGTAATCACTCTGATTGAGCCTAATCACATGAACTCCGGCGTCTTTCTCCATATTCTTCACCCACTTGTTCGCCTGTCCTTGAGGATCGATCATCAGAGGCCATCGGCGTGACTTGAACACAATTATCCCATTGTCTACTGAGAAGAGATCAGTGGGGAGTCCGAAGATATTCCAGGATCTAATAGACACAGCATCTCCGAGCACTTGACTCAGTAAAAAGTCTTTCGTGCAGTAAATATTGAGCTCTGTGCAGAGTCTCACCCAGTTCTCCACCTGGGCCTGGCGGTACTGCATCGTGAAGACTCCCAAGTAGGCGACGACACCGGAACCAATGAGAATGTCACCTACAGAATTATGTAAAAGGGGTGGCTAATTGTGCATAATAAATTACATAATATCATTCGAGGTCGACGCGGTTCCCAGTAGATCAGTCGGAAGAGAACCCGAAGAGTTTGTCGAAATGAAAAAACATTCTACGTAAACTTTCTTTGATACTACTTTTTTTTTTTAACTCATCTTCGCGCGATTAAGGAGGAGAGGGAGTCCTCTAATTTGTGATGATTCGCAACGGGAGGAAGAAGGCCTAGGTTGTGATGTCATAGGGTAATTATCGAAGATAATTAGTGAAGACAAAGAGGTCAATTTAAGAACCCGAATTTTTCACGCGGATTCGTCTTTAATTTTTTATTGGGGGTCATTCGCGGAGTTACCCCAGGGAAAGAAATATTCAATAAAAATTACCAGAAAAAAGACGTAAAAACTACGTTTCGAAACGTAATCTGGGAGCGAAGTAAAATTTTAAAAAAAGTGTCAATCGTCACGTAAATTCTACGATCTGTTCCGTAAAAATTACTCATCCGTCCGACGCCTCACGGCTAGCCATGAGTCACCGTGAGGGGGAGATTTTAACAACACGTTCCGTAATTTTTCCGGAACTTTTCGTAAAAATTCTTAAACATCCAAGAATTTTCATGTTCTGAGGCATAATAAGTCTTGAAGTTTCTGTTAGATTTTACAACTTCCAGAAAAATTACGTGACTTTTTCGTATTTTTTCACAATGACACAGTAATTATAATCATGTAATAAATTCTCATATTTAAATACCGATAAACCATTGGTGGGATTTATCCCTTTAAGCCTAGAACCTACTATAATTATAAGTACCCCCCACGCTGGATACAACAGGAAATATACCCTAAAAGTGCAAATATTTTGCTGAAATTTTTTTAAGGCCTCAAGGAAGTCTTCTAATTGAGTCAAGTGGTGATAAAAGTCGTCTATCGGTCAGAGTTGAGTAGAAAAATAGTATCTTATGTCATCCTCGCCTCGCCTTCGGCTCGGATTATAAAGCCACATTCGCCAGATAATACTTTTATCGCCGTATGGCATACAATATTTTATGTCATTGGGCCCACAAACCGCGATCTAATCGAGCGAAGCGAGGTATCTTTAATAATTAGATTTTAACTCAAATATACGTTCATTCATTCCATAAAACTAAATATCCTGTGTCCTCATGATTATGATCCTATACAGTCATCTCCACCAAATTAGTGACTAAGGTAGGTGAAGTCACCTACCTGTGAGTTTAAAGTACAGCCCCCCAAGAATTTTTGCCGTTTCACTCCATCTGTCATGCTCCCCCCCGAGTCCGCCTATGAGCTCCTCAGCTCTCTGTAGCTTTTGCTTGCACTCCTGCTCCTCGTCATTCATCGCCTGAAGCTCGTCCGTTCTCTGTTTGAGGAGATCCATCAATCGTTCCAGCTTCTGCTGTACCTCTTTGTATTGTTCTCGTTTGATTTCTAGAGCTTGCATTGCCTCATTGTACTCTCCTTCTGCTTTCGCAAGAGCAATTTTCTTAGGAGCGACAACCTTTGCCACTTTATCGTATTCAGAAAGGGCGAAGACCCATTTGCAAAGGCCCTCGCAGGCTGTCGAAGCGTTTCGAATTTTATCCGGATCAAAATTTGGATTCGTCAGTATCGTTGTGCGGATTTTCGTGATGATTCTTTCCGGAATATTGTCCTTGTCGAAGGCCAAGAGGGATTCAAGGAACTTCATGTCCCCGAGGATGCGAAGGGACGGTTTCCAGTAGTCATCCACCATTTTGCCGCCCTCACCTTGAACTTTCTCAGGTTTTACGTCTTTCAGGATGCAAACGGCTTCCATTACCAATTTAACTCCTGCAGGAGGGGATTTCATGGTCTTCACAATCTGTATGTCTTGAGGGGTGAGAGTGTTCAAAGCTGCGTTCGCCATATTTAGGATCGGCATCACCAGTTCGAGGTCTGCGTTGCATTCTACACGGATTTCTTCAGCTGCTGCTGCTACGGTCTAAAAGGGTAAGAGAATATTGACTGGGAAATGTTCGCAGCGTTAATTGGAGTAGCAGTGTAGTAGCGAGTACTAGGAAGCGACTCTAGAACGAACAAATTTGCAGACTATTTTTGCAGATATTTATGGGGTAAATTGGGTATTTAGCTGTTGAGAAGTTTATCCATTCCTATGGAAAGGCCGTTTTTAGAAGTCGCTTTACGGAGTTTGAAGAAAAACTCTCAAGTTATTTTTATAAAGTTCTTATTTCTGGAGATATTGGCAAAATAATCCCACTAGATTTTTGTTCTTGTATGGTCCAGCTCGAAACAGATGGGCTTTTACTCAATATTTTGGAATTTTGGAAAGTGATTTTTTTCTTCCGCTTCACTAAATCAGGGATAAAAATCAATATTGGATTCTTCAATATTAAGAGAATTTTAGCCTTACATTGATTAAGGTTTACGTATAACCATCGAAATTTAAAAATAATAAAATAATTGATAATCTAAATTTCGGATTGAAGATTAATTGAATAATTGATAATATGGGGCTGTCAATTGTCCATTCAATAAATGATACTGAATTTCATAAAACGGATTTTCGATTAACCAAATAATCGTCAATCTTCCTAACTAAATTATTGGTTGATAAAACAACTCGAAATTTGAATATTTAATTGATGATTAATTCAGTAGCGAAGTGGTAAAATGGTACAAGTCAATTTTGACTATTGACTAGTATTCAATAAATATCTCGGAATCGAGAGGAGATAGCAAAATTTTTAATACGACCTTTTTTGTAGAGTCGATTGAGAGCTACAACAAATGTGATTACGAAAATTTCGCTATCTCCCTTAGATTTGGAAATATTCCTCAAAAACTCAACTGGAAGATAAGTCAACGTAAACCGTTTTACGACTTCGCTACTGAATTTAATAATTAAAAATTGTAGACTAGTATCAACCAGTTGACTAGTTGAAAATTTAACGGTAATTCTAATCTAGGAATATGGCTATCCCTGCGCTAGATGAGCTAAAAGGGAATTGACTAGAGCTCAAATGAATTCCTGAATAGAAAAGTAAAATCAAACCGCGGCAGCTTTCTCGTCAGCCTTGACAACGTCTGCAATCACCGCCGCATCTTCCTTCTCCTTCTCAATATTAGCAACCATCCTCTCGACGTCCTTCGTAGCCTCCACCAGTTTGGGCTGGAGTGCCGCAAGGATTCTCTGCATTTTTTCCACTTGCTTGTGGGTAGACTCTAACTTGGAGAGTCCTGTCTCGTATCTGCGCTTCCCTTCAATCACCTCCGTTCGTTTTTTAGACAGAAGGTCTTTGAATGTATTTATTAACTCCAAGTAAGATGTTGGAGTCACGTAATTGTGCCTGCAAACCATAAGAAACGCATCAATGAGTTGAATCTGAAGAGGAGGAATGAAAACTTAGTGGATCAAGTAAAAATGCGTACATTATCCTGCAAACGGCTCGAAAATGGAATTTTTTGAAAATACGCCCTAACAGCCTTTTTGTAGGAAATTTTATGAATAAATTTTTTTTTTTCAAAATTCTAATGTGAACTTGTTGATTCTAAAAACATTTGATGATTCTGTAAGTCTGTTGCTACTTGTTTTCAGAATTCCGCAACTAAAGCCAATATTGTCTCCAGAACTCTTACGGTGATGAGAGCATACACTGATAGAATGATTCATTTATTCCAAACGAGATTTGTTAACTATTAACGAATGGTAGAGTTGAATATGACCAAATGAATATTCGTTAACAGTTAACGAATGGTTCACTTGAATGGCGAAAGTCAAGTCAAAGAAGGCTCCTCAAATGTACATTCGCTAACTATTAACGAATGAACATTTGGTGGGACCGAATAGACCCTAACCTCCAACCAAAATCCATTCGTGAACAATAACTAATCCGTTCTATCAGTGTACGAGACCAACCGCGCGCTACAGCGCGCTGTAATTATAAAAATCATGATTGAACATTTCAAAATTGAATGAGTTCTGAATTCAAATTAGCCGCCTCAGACGACTGTGAACCAATGAGGAATAAGCGTGACAGAGTTTCGAGATATCGATAGTCTCGATGTTTGTCCTTTTTATAATAGGATCAAACATCGTTCCAGGAGGAAAAAACAAATTGTGGTGAATGTTAAGAAAGAGGGCCCCACCACTGATCTTTCTGAAAACTTAACCATCGGATCGGTGGTGCCCTCTTTCTCAACATTGACCAAAATTTTAGTTTTAGGAATATATCTCTTATTTTTAGGGATCTGTCCTTATTTTTTAGCGGATTATCATTAATTGAAGGAATAATTGGTGTTGACTACAATAACCCTTAGCATTCAGCATTTTTATCAATCAACTTTAGGAATCAAATCCCTGAAATCCAGGATCTAAACGTCAGTGATGAATATTAGAAACAGGTGTTTCAATAAATCGGAGATCCGATAATTTATTTTCTGTTGAAAAATCATAGGAGATTGAGGGATTCTGTTCATAAAAAAAAATTGAATCATTACATTTGTTTTCAAATCCATACAGGGTATTTATTGGTCTTCCGGATATGTATTATTCGCTTCGAATTCTACTAAATTCCCTTTTCGAGTGATTAACCCCTTACATACGGGGTCGATACATCGTATCGTATTTTCAGATACTAAAAAACGTCTGAATAAAATGAAAATGTGTTTTAATTTCAGAAGAGCAGGTGCCCAAACACCTTAATTCGTGTTTGAAATTCAGACAAATTTTCATTTTATTCAGACGTTTTTTAATGTCTGCAAAATGTCTACAAAAGGTGTCTGAAATTCAGACATTTCTTTTTGCTGTGTATGAGTAAAATTTTAATTCTTGACAATGGATAGGGACTCATGTCAACAATACCGATGTTTGAAAAAAAAATTTAATTCCATCGATTCATTAGTGAACAATTGAAGAAAAAGTTTATAATATACATACGAACAGGGTCTAAAAATGGCACATTCAGACTTTTTGGATCTTAATAACTTAATATAACACAAAAAATCCGAAACTTGAAGCAAAAATCGCAAGCAAAAATGCTTGAATGCCAACAGACTCGTGAAATTTTAGAACCACGGGTCTCTAAAAATTTGACACGTATCTTTAAAAACTGAGCCTTCATCTTTCTGTCTCTGAACTCAATAACCGCCTAGATATTCGCAGAATAATTCTCAAAAAATCACCGTCTAGCTCTCAGAAGAAACTCCTTCGACAAATCTTGCGTAGAAGTATGGAAATATTGGCACATTTCGATACAAGCAGTTCGTTCTTCCTCCGGCAATTGGATTTCCCCCAGGAACTTGGTCGCAACAGCCAGAAGAGCGTCTTCCGGCCAGGGCTGGAGCCAATCAATCGTACAACAGTTGACAAGAGCTGGAAATTTCCGAATCCTCGTTCTGAATCCATCACCGATCGGTGACATTGTGACAACCACATGCAACTGCTCCCTAACAACTTGCACGAAATAATTGAAAAGGGCAACAGGACTCCCATCAGTCTGGAGGGACTTATCCCTCTGTCGATCCATCTGTCTCATCTTCTCACAGATCTCCATCTTCTCATCCGTTGCAAAGAGATTTGGCACTTCTCCCGAGTTCATCAGATTACTGATATCCTCGAGGAACGATTCTTCTTTAATCTGTGAGTCCGTAAATAGGAAAGTCGTGTGGAGATCGCTGGACGCTGTTTTTCTTAAAATCGTCTTCAGGTCCTCGTGCCACTCGTGCACCCCATATTGACGTGATATTTCAACCTGGAAAATCTCGTAATCCGAGATGTGTGATGCAAGCCGGGTCAAGGACTGCCTCCCAGAACCCCCTACACCTACCAGCAGGGCGTGGCTACGTGGCTGCATCAATATTCGACAGATCTTTGAGAGGTGTTCCACTGCAAATCTTGGGGATATATCCAATAAGGTGAGAAAGGCATTTGAATGCAGCGGTGGAATGGTAACAGAAATGAATTGAGGATTTGTGAGTTATTTTATGAATGTGTTTCAAAGAAGTGAACTCAAGGGAATTCATCGACGAACTTTTTTGTATAGAAGATTTTAAGTTCAAACAAAATGATGCATGTTTTCAGAATATTGAAGAGATAAAGGAAATGGGATTTTGTAAATATTCTCAGTTCATCATTTTGTTGTAGAATTCAGTTATTATTTAATGAATATCTTTCAAAGGAATGGACTTGGGAGAATTCGTCTAGAATTTTTTTGTAGAGAAATTCAAGTACCAAAAAAGATATTTCATGTTTTGGAAATTTCTAAATATTCTCAGTTCATCATTTTATTGTAGCATTCAGTCATTGACATACTTCTGCATTGAAAAACGGTAGGAGGCAACGTTAAGGGATTTTTTCACAGAGAATCTTGTGCAGCAAAAAAAGCTTTTGATGTTTTTCCCTGAATTTGATAGATTCAGATTTTGGGAAATTCATATCGAATCTTGGGACTAATTCATATCGAGATTTGTGACTTATTTAATGAATATCTTCCAAAGGAACGGACTTGGAAGAATTCGCCTAGAATTTTTTTGTGGAGTATTTAAAGTACCAAAAAGGATATTTCATGTTTTGAGAATATTTGAGTGATAAAGTGAGTGGGATTTTATAAATATTCTCAGTTCATCATTTTGTTGTAGAATCCAATGACATACGTCAGTATTATATTGATTGATTATATTGACATACGACTGTATTGAAAAACGGTAGGAGGCAACGTCAAGAGACTTTTGGCAAAGAATCTTGTGCAGCACAAAAAAGCTGTCGATATTTTTCTCTGAATTTGATAGATTCAGATTTTAGAAAATTCATATCCAATCTTGGGACTAATTCATGCCGAGATTTATGACTTATTTAATGAACATCTTTCAAAGAACCGGGTTGTAAAGAATTTCAAGTACCAAAAAGAATATTTAATGTTTTGAGAATATTGCAGAGACTAACTGAGTGAAATTCTCAGAATGTTTTCAGTTCATCATTGTGTTCCAGAATTCAGCAGTTGCAACATACGTTTATGAGAAAAAGGTAGGACACAGCGTCAAGAGATTTCTTCATGAAGAATCTTCCTGTTTTTTGTCCAGTAGGAAGAAGTCGACTGATATTTTTCACCGAATTTGATAGCTTTACAGAAATTCAGGGAAATCTACATCAAATTTTGAGGCTGCTGGGTGTCGCGCTTGCCAAGCAATTTTTTTATTCACTTCAGTAATGAGTTTTAAGCGATCAAAAATGATCAAATAATCGGTTTTGTGGGAAATTTTATGGACTGTAAAAAATATCCTTTGACATTTCTTATGTATCTAGTACTTCTGGCCGTATTTGAAAACATTTACCTGAATAAAACCAAATTCATGGGCTTTTTTGACATTGAGTTAAACTCTGCTAAATATTCTTGAACTACTTCACTCAGCTCGTCCAGGCTTTCCACTTCTGTGTAGAGCTTTTTGTCCTCTAAAGGATATTGAAAGTCGCAGTACACGAGATTTCTCAAGTGAGTCTCTGTTACCTAGAAATATAAACTCAATCATGATTTGCATTTCTATGGATTCATTAAAATTTGAAACAAAATCGGAATTAGGGATTCCGAATTTGCTTTTTTTGGAGATGGAGAAACTGTCCAGGGGTAGAGGATATTCTTGCCAAATTACTTGTTCTCGAGGGAGGGATGTGAAGTCCCTGAAGAGGACGTTTATGTCGTCGTCCATTCTGTCTTTTAGGGTCTTCCCAATTTGTCCTACGAGCCAATTAGCGTCATTTTCGTCGACTAGACGATCTCCGTATACTCGGAGTACTTCGTGGACCCAAATTCTTTTCATTCCCATCTAAAATAATGATATATGAATCGTTGAAAATACAATCAAGTCGTAAAATGCTCAATGCAATCATACATACAGTATCAAGTGATAGTCAATTAGGCGGTCATCAACGAAATCATGCGTTAAAAAATTCAAAGGATTTTTCTTACGACCGAGTAAGTTGTCTATGATTTCTCTTTCGATAACAACAACAATAAACGATTGAGAAGAGATAAGTTATGCCAATTTGAAGCATTTAACAATTTTCCTATTGAACTAGCTATTTTATATGAATGGTGAAATTTTTAGATTAAAAAAGAACGAAATTAGTTACGTAACAGCCGAATTTTAAAAAACTACCACGTAAATGATATTGTACCCATTTTTTCAAAAATTATGAAAGAAAAAACGTCTGTTGCTCCAAAATTGGAGGATCTGAACTATTTTTAACATTTTAAACGTCTACAGGGTAAACAAACAATGAAAAATTACTTTTTTTGTACTAATTATTCGTTTTGAGACACATATAATCGATCCCAAATGTACAAAAAATGTCACTCCGATAGCCCGTGACTTTTAAAACTCATAGTAGTCTCCCCTTAAATTCCGATAATAGCCTTTCAAATGGTGAACATTAGAATGTTTCAATATTTCAGCCAATCCCGTTGCGATTGACTGCCATCAAAATTGGAAACGGTGACGCAGCTGTCAATGGGACTTCATGTGATATTTAATATCGCTTTTCATGTTGATACAATTATCGGTTTAATGCTGCAATGAACATTGCTCAGACTATCGCACATAATGGTGCTCTAACTATCGCGCATAATTTAGTTAAAATCATCGCAGTAAATATCGCCATGATTCTCATAACGTCGCCATTTTCAAACATGGCGGCATGGCGGGAACCTACCGGGATGAAATATTCTAATCCTCACTATCCAAAAATTGATTATCCTAATTTCATAATTCTCGTGCCATTGAATCACTGATTTTCCATTCTATATCTCCTCATAATTTATTGTAAACAAGGTGCTGAGGTCGGCCTGATTTTATTTTGACTCCAAGAGAATATTCACATGTTCTTCAAGTTTCTTCAGTTTTTTAAAGCAACAGTTACACTTAAAAACTAAATCTGGTACGACTGGATGTTTAACACTCGAAAGTTGGAAAAAATGCCTGATTGGTCAAGTACTATAAAAATTATTTCAAGAAGTATTTCCCTTATAACCGTAATTGTTCTTTTCCAAATACAAACCAAATTTGTAACACTCTCAGGTCTTGACAACAGAACCCCTTGGACAACCCTCGAGAAATCCCTCAGATTAAACAAATAATGAGATTTTGCTGGAGTCGGGAGAAGATGCCTCAAACTCTCCTTATAAATATCCAAAGTTCCCAGTACTATATAATCCACACAAGTTCCAAAAAATTCGGGGAATCCCTGAGTTTCCAAGTGCCACTTCATGATTTTCCTGAAGATGGTGACCATCACGTCGTCTTCGAACTCAGAAATGCTTAGGGTGAAGAAATGTCTTTTGAACCTGGGAGTGACATCTTTTCCGCTAGAGGGCGGTCCCATGGCACAGATGAGCTGCATGTCTTTCAGATAAAAAGGTACGAGCTCTTTTCTGTCGTACCACGACTCATGGTCCATCCATTGTCTGAGTAGTTCGATTGGGGGTTGAGCTCCATACTCCTCTTTTGATGGCATTGACACGTCATCGACGAATACGACCTGTTCATAATTATTCCATTCAAAGAGTGCAATAGTATTTTATGTCATTAGGCCCGATAAACCGTGACTCTAACCTCGCTTCGCTCGGTTAAATCACGGTTTTCGGGCCGAATAACAAAATATTCTATGTCACACGGCGATAAAAGTATTATCTGACTCATGTGATTATATTCATCAGATAATACTTTTATCGCGTTATGACATAAGATACTATTTCATCACTGGGCCGAAAGGGACTTTTTTGACATACGTGCATGAAAAAGTCCAATTTTTCACTACTTTTCGTGTGTAAAGTAAAAATGTCCACTTTTTTAACGTACTAAAAACGATGCAAAAAAGTACGATTTTTTTAACTCGTTAAAAAAAGTACGATTTTTTTGACTCGTTAAAAAAAGTCCGCTTTTTTAACCTTCTTTTAAGAGTTGTTACCAGTCCCATCATGCCACCGACCGAAGTCTAGCTTAATCATGAAATCCATATTAATATTGGCATATAATTCGTGTCACAGCGTTCACAACGATCGCTTAGGCTGCAGGCTTTGTCACTGCGATACATTACATTCTTCAATTTCACATGTAAATGATATAAAGTTGTATTTCATAAGACACTAATTATAATTACAAAAAAATTAATATTCGTATTTTCTACGAAATGAATGACAGCTTTCGTGATAAAAATCATTTATATTTTCCTATTTCAATAAATTAGAAGGGACTTTTCCAATTACAGCTATTTAGAAAATGAGTTCATTTTGTCAGAATTAATCAATTCCTTTATTATTAAATCTCCATAAATACTTTATAAACCGAATCAAATATGAAGAGAAGAGTGGGAGCGACAGGCAGACGATAAAGAGGGGCCTATAAAACTGTAACCGTAGTAGGAAATAAATAAATAAATAAATAAAAATCGTTTATAAACTCCAACCGATTTTTCTTTAGATAAAGAAATATATTTCTCAAATGAATAATGATGAATTTTGAATAAATCCTTATTTGATTTTTTTTAAAACATTTTTTGGGTGTATTTGATACATTTTTGCTTACATTTGAGGACTTTTTCATACAACTTTTGCCAAAAAATATTGTACGTTACACGTGCCTAAAATAGGGGGATCAGCTTGTGTGTAATCTTTTGTATCGAGAGTCGTAGGCTTACGCCAACCCTTGCCGCAGATCCTCGCCTTCGGCTCGGCTCGTTGGGCTTCGACGTCGCTCGTCTCGTCTCCCGCTCGGCTTTGCGTAGCCTACGACTCCCGCTCAAGAGCGATTTTCATGTTACAAGAGTTCTTTCAGACATGTAGAAACAATTTGTTTAAAAATTGTTTCACCGAAAAAATTCGAAATTGTTCATGAATTTCAGATTTTTCGGATAAACGAAATGACTTCCTACCCAGTGTTTCCCAGGTGGAGCTCCATAGACTCCCTTCTTCCTCTTATCCATTTTACTCATAATCATATCCTGAGTCTGATTGGCAGTAGTCTGAGCAGAGAAGGTAATAAAAAGTGGTTTGAACACTTGAGGATTGCTCCTCTTCAGTAGAAACTCCATTACATAAACCGACTTCCCAGTTCCCGTTGGCCCCACAAGTAGCACTGGCTTATGCTGAGACACCAAATTTTGGAACAGATAGAAGTACCTGACAGTTTCAATGGTGTTAACAATTATTTGGTTCATAGGAATATCCTTGGGAATCGCTGGAACGGATTTTAAGTCCTCCACCCAGAGTGTCCACAGCCCTCTACCCTGTTTCGTGAATTTATAATCAAAGACTGAACCCTTTGAAGGGATTGCAGTAATGTATGGATCTTTGGGGCTGGTGATTTCTGGAGGAAGATTAAATCGTTTGTGAATATCTTCAGGGAGCTCGGGGGCCATAAGACCTCTGAATAAATCGTTGAACCACTCTCGATAAGTCACCATCAAGGTTCCACCCATTGCCCATATGCAAGAGAAGAAGAAAGAGCCCTGGAAAAAAAGAAACAAGTAGGAAATTGCTCTTGTATTGCTTGCAACATAGTTATTTTTGCCAATAATTTAACAATATGTTCATTTATTATTGATTTCATTTTATTTAATTGAATAAGATGTCTTTTCAACTAATTTTGTCCGATTTTCAACTTAGTTGAATGTTATCATCATCATTAAAAGGATTTTTTTGTGTCAAACATGCGAACAATGCGCCGAGATGGAATATCTTCTTTTGTTCTCATAACACTTATAGATTTTTTGAATAGTCGGTAAATACTGTGTACGCTACCTTTGCATTTCATATTTTTAGCATTTCACTAAATAATGAACTAATCTACCTCGATCTGAGCCGTCAAATCACTCTCAGTGACTCCAGATAAGCTTCCCTCAGTCTTACAATCACTCAAGAAGCAGTCTAGAAGATATGTAACTGATCTCACAAGATTTGCATCAGGCATACTAATCATTTCCTGCAAAATATGAAATCCAATACTGAACCTTCTCGGTAATTTACAATTATTTGTACTAAAAAAATCGCATAAAAGTACTCTAGCACCGGAACGACGAATAAGATGTAGCAAGGCTGGGCAGAACCTCATGAACATGTCCTCTAAGTGCCCTTTTATATTGTCCCCCAAGCCCTCAGGCAGAGTATTCAGCCAGGAAGTCAACAAAGGCGCCCAGCCCAGGGCCACAGGCTCCATATAAATCATGCCACATCGAGAAACAGTGGCTGGAGAGGCCACCTCCAGATCCATTGGCTCAAATATCAAATTAGTAGTGGGAGCAAGTTGAATGATCTCTCCAGACATCAAACAAAGTTTCTTGTTATCATCCAACACAGTGTTCATGTTCTCTATCCAAATCGCGTCGACGGGACCATCAAAAATCAACCATTTTCGGTTTTCATTCGTTGAGACTGCGAAACTTCGGTAGCTCACTGCTAAAATCCCATCACTCCACTCATGAGAGGCTGGATCGAATTGTCCGTATAATTGTCCCATGGTGATCGACTTGGGGTTGATGACGATAATCTCCACCTAGTTTCCACATCGATGAAAATCATTGATGAATTGAAATTTTCGACGTGATACATGAAATTCGGTAATTCATCTGCGTCAATATTCTTTGAAGATGCACAAATGACAAGATTGAATAGGAAGTCCCAGCTTTTGGGCAGAAAATTTTTCAATGACTGACAAATGCAATAGCGTAAAAAATTGGAAACTTAAATTTGAGCGATTCCAGAGCTTCCATTCGGAAGTAAAAAAGCATTGACTCTCGATCACTCGCTCAATGAGCGCAGCATCGCCCGTTTTCGTTTTTAACATTTTAGGGTGTTTCTCGACGCTTAAAAATTCTGAAAAAAAGGCTGGCGGCCGAGCGCGAGTTCTCGAGGGTTAAATCTTACCTGATGTTCCTCCATGAGCCCTCTCTCCTCCAGCATCCCCAGCACCTCGGCAAGAACCCTATAAGCAGTGGTCTTCCCACCGAAAGGCAGCCCCACGATCATAAAGCCATGCCTCACAATCATCATCTCGAAAATCTGCTGAACTTTCTCCAAGAAGAAATCCGTGCACTGAATATTCATTCTCTCACAAGCGATCCTCGCGCATTCATTCAAGTGCGAGTAATCCGGAGTAGGAAGGATGACCCCTGGAAACAGATCCGAGGCAATTCCTTGGAAGAGCGGAAGGTCGTGGCTCAAGAATTTCGGCAAGTTCACATCCTTGATGCTTCTCAACATGAGAACATCTTCGGACTCCTCAGGATACTTCAGCTTGAGATTTCCAGCGGCTGTCAGCACTGATTTAACAGCCCTCATGCCGTAATCGTAATGACACTGGCTGCTCAACTGCTCCGAGCACAATTTGTAAGCCGTTACAATCTTCACTGCCAGGGGTCTTCCGTTGTAAAACCCAAAAGAGTAGAGAGTGTTCTCAGCAATGAGAGCATAATCGGGGACCATCATGGCTACGGACCTGAAGAGCGCCTTCAGATTGTCAGGAAGCTCAGACCTCCCAGCGTACCCTGGATTCATGGTGATGAAGACTGCACATGTTGGGTCTAAACTGATTTCCGTTCCTTCAAACATGAGCTTCTCTGCTCCAGCGTTGATTCCTCTTTGGATCGTGAGAATCTGCTGAGCAACGACTGATAACACCTCGAGATCGATCCTGTTGAATTCGTCGAAGCAGGACCATGCGCCGCAGGAGGCCAGACCCTTGAAGAATTTTCCGAGGGCGATGTAGTCCAAACCGTCTGAGCAGTTGAAAACTACACACTGTTTTGCCACTGCTTTCGCTAAATCTTTTGTTGTCTCGGTCTTTCCTGTCCCTGCAGGACCCTCTGGAGCTCCTCCCAGGTGTAGGGAGAGCGCACCGAAGAGAGTGCGGTAACAACGGTCTGTGAGAGGGGTGATCACCAGGCGAGAAGAGTTTCCGAGGTATTCGTAGCCGTAGCGGAGACTGGAGTTTATCATGTAGGTGATTAGACTCTCCTCCTGTCAAGGTTTCAAAAGTTTTGATGAGGGTTTACAGCTGTCGATGTACAATCAGTTCATAAACAATATCCGACCCCGTCTGACCCTGAATTTTTGAAAAATATTAAAGCGGAATTCCTCAAAAAATAAACCGATTGATGAAACGTCAACGCTATTTTGGCTTACCGAGAGAATAAAAAATGACCGGAATGGAGCAATGAAAGGCATTTATATTAAATCATGAAGATTCACGGGTAGTCATATCACACTGAGAGACGAATCGACATAATATGACAAAAATATAATTTCTTGAGTGCAGAACATCAGAAAAAATTATATATATTTTTTTTTGAAAATTAGATAATATTCCTGAAGAGAAAAAGTAAGTTTAAGAGAAGGAAAAGATGTTATTACTTTCCTTCAAAGTCATTGTGATTGAGAGCAAGTGACGGTTATATTTTAGAAATATCTGGATTCACTGAGTCGAAGCTTTTAGTATTTTTAGTAATTTTCTCATCTTTTGATACGAAATAAATGATTTCTTGAGGCAAAAAGTTTTCACTTTATCGCCAAGTGTTCGTGTTCAAGTCATGAACATTTCGCAGAATTCTTATACGCTTTGACTCATTATGCGGAATTGTTATTCCAAGTGTTTTATCCTTAGGAGATGAGATATTTGATGCAAGAAATTAGTTTTATGATATTATGTCGATATTTCTCTCAGTGCATTGTCACTGTAATGCCATCAGACATTTTAGTTCATATAAGGGAGACCGGGACAAAGCGGGGTGGCCGGGGCATAGTGGGGTACATAAAAAAAGTCAAAAACAGCTCAAAGAAATTGAATAATACTAAGGAAAATTTTTATAAAAATGGAAGAACTCTGGAAATTCTTTCAATTCTTTTAAACATCGGGATAAGCGGCCATATTGGGTATTATGATTAAAACCCTACCCCCTTTGAAAGTGAAAAACAAAGAAACAACATTTATAATTATTTTAAAGTTTTTGGACACTACCCCACTGTGCCCCCCACTGTAATACGTTGGAGACATGAGTTGATAATTTTAGAATGTGAATGGTGATTGCTAAATAGCAATATAAGTATGATAGAAGCTCTGACACCCGCCTCTTTGGCTTACCTACCCCGTTTTGCCCCGGTCTCCCCTACTGCAAAAATATAAAGAGAAGACATTATTGTCAATTATTGGTATCCCCGTATGAAAAGATCGAATAGGCAATTTTAGCTCACTCGTTAAAGAAATCAATCGGAAATTGTCCTAGTAACTTATTTGGTACTTCTCAGTACCAAATAAATTACATTTTGCAATATACTAGCATTTCTAACATTTTCTTTTCACGAATCAATAATGGAACTTGCTCGGAAAACAGAATTATTTCGTTTTCTCAGTGGATTTTTCATATGAAATGAAGACATTACTCCATATGGTTAAATATAGAAAAAGCGTCTCGTGATTGTTTCTCCGTACATTTGCTGAAATTGCAAACTCATTCTTTCGCGCGTCGAATTGTTGTATACTCAGTGAAACGTAATGGGTCTGATTAAAGCCCATCCACTTCTCCTGGTGTCAGTAACTGGGGCATTGATTATTTTTTGATTTCGTATAACTTACAAAAGAAATGTTTTTTTAATACCATTTTAAGGCACGCTTGGAACACTTCTACATCATGTTCAATTTCCATCGAAATAGAAAAAAAAACGATTGAAATAGTACGGTACGCTCCCTATGTTTTACGGACGGTGAACCGATGTTCGCGAGGAAGATTGAGGGGTCGAGGGAGGTTTACCTGCCAGTAGTAACGGAGTTGACAGAGCCACTTGAAGTCGCTGTTGTTTACTACTTCGTCTTTGTGTAGCTGAGTTAGCGTGTCTTTGCCGTGGACGTCTAGTGTTACTAATGCCTCTGACAAGGGGTAAATTAATGTGAAATTAAGTGAAACTTCTCGTAGTGAGGGCTGAAAGTAGTTCAGGATGGAAAAGGATGAAAGGAGAGACGGGTAGTAACCTGCAGACTATTTTGTAAATATTTCCGGAACCAACAGATGTACTATAATCTGCCCCAGACTCCTTTGTAAAATATTTTATGGAGTCCAAAAACGATAATTCCAAGGGGCTATTCACAGGCGAATTGGGTGACACCGCGATTACAAAATCTAATCGATTAACCGGGATTACGGGACTAATTACACTGATTATCATTGCCTATGTGATAACTGTGATTACCAAGAGCACAGAATATGATTACATGATTACAAATGATTTCATCGATTACATTCTGTAATTACCAAACATCTGTAATCATTGAAATCACAAAAATGGCCTCTTATTAAATATGAATTGGTGGAATAATCAATTATTAGAACCTGCAAAGAAATGAGGAAGGAGGGGCGGGAATTAGAACAGAGGAATGCACGCGGAGAGAAATATTCAAGAAAAATTACGGAACATTTCACGTAATCCGCAAGCGAGAATCGTTTTCAGTGAATTTCTATAGGAATATAAGAGAATAAATCTGAAACGTTCAGTAAATTTTCGGGTCTGTCACCGAAAAAATACGAAAAAGTCACGTAATTTTTCTGGAAGTTGTAAAATCTAACAGAAACTTCAAGACTTATTATGCCTCAGAACATGAAAATTCTTGGATGTTTAAGAATTTTTACGAAAAGTTCCGGAAAAATTACGGAACGTGTTGTTAAAATCTCCCCCTCACGGTGACTCATGGCTAGCCGTGAGACGTCGGACGGATAAGTAATTTTTACGGAACAGATCGTAGAATTTACGTGACGATTGACACTTTTTATTGAATTTTACTTCGCTCCCAGATTACGTTTCGAAACGTAATTTTTACGTCTTTTTTCTGGTAATTTTTATTGAATATTTCTCTCCGTTGCGTCTCCATCACTCCATCTAAAAATTTGGGCATTTATGAGTGCTATCAGCAAAATAAATTTACTGAATATCTACCATTGATGGAGAATGAAACTTACCAGCAGATAATTCAGAGATAATTCAGTCGTTGGTTCTCCAGAATAAGAAGAAATTTTAACTCTGTTGAATCAATTTTCTACGGACAAATGCTCTGTGCAAAACGCATTGGCTACGCAAGCTTCTGAACCATAAACATCTGGGATTCCAAGAAAAATTGATCTAAGGATCTCTGAGACTTACCATTGGTAGAACTGACGCGCTCGAAAATTCAAAAACAACATTCACGGTCTCACTAGGAGCAACTACGAAAGATTACACTGATTACAAATGATTACAGTGATTATAAATGATTACTACTTGATTACGAAAACTTGATTACAAATATGGTAATCATGTGATGACAATGATTACATTGATTTCACTGGGATTACAATTATTACAATTGATTACATTAGCGAGTGACACCACGATTACGCTTTTGAATAGCCCCTCGGATAATTCGAATGTTTCGATAAACCTATTACTTCCGAAAATATTTACAAAATATTGTACGAAATCTTTGAAACACTAATGACTCGTTTGATAGGAAAACGGAAATAATCTCCCCTAAGTTTCTCTCCGGGAGATCAGAAAATCATTATTTTACTCGAAGTAAAATCATCTGAAACTAAAGTGCAAAGAAGTATTTTTCATCCTCACCTAAAGTGATTCGATTCTGCTTCGATAATTTCCCTCTGATCAGCAAGATAATATCGTGTAACTCCTGTTGGCACTGATCTAGATATTTCTTAAGACCTGCGACACCTTGTGGCATCGCTTGCTCGATCTGCTGAGTCCAGTACAGTTGTCCAACACAGAGAACTGTCTGCCCTGGCCACTCCAGGACCCAAGCAGTCCTTTTCTTGAGGGGATAAGCCTCGATCGCCTGTTTCACCATGTTACGAATACTCTTTCTCATGTCCGTCTCCAACTCCAACAGCCATTTCTCAACTTGTCCTCTAGCTGCAGACGTCGAAATAACATCCACTAATTCCACTTCTTCACCTTCGGCTGATTTCATTCTGTGGACTTCCAGATCTGCATCGAATGCTAATTTTGCAATTCCTTCGAAACACTTCTTTAGGTGTGGTTGAACTCTAGAAATTACAAATAAGAAGATATCGTCGCCGTATAGCCAAAGAGGCGAAGTTCCAAAACCCAAGGGGCTGGTCACTTCTCAATTGACTCAGTAATTTCCAGAATCAGATGATTTCCAGTGATTTCCTGTTGATTTCTGTGATTTCTCGAATGATTTTTGTAATTTCTCAATCAGCATTGGAAATCATGATTTCTTTCGATTTCTGGTAATTTCCATGATTTCTAGTAGATTGCAATGATTTCTTGATTTCAAGAAATCACTGGAGAAATCATAATTTCGGGACCAGAGTGGAGCTGCCTCGATAATGGCAGTTTTTTTTCTACATCACGTCACAATACGTAAGGATATCAAAAACTTCATAGCGTCACATTTCGGGATTGGGTGATTTCGAACACACCAATACCATAACAAAAATTGTAGAGTTAAAACTGCAAAATCCATTTCGATTTCACACTTATCGATGATTTCTAATGATTTCATAAATCACCTGATTTCTTTACGATTTCTATTGATTTCCGATGATTTCCTGAAATCTTTAGAAATCACTACCGAAAATGGAAATCACTTGATTTTCAGTGATTCCATTGATTTCCAGTGATTTCTTCTTTGATTTTCAGTGGAGTGAGCCCTTTTTGAAAGCCAAAAGGGCGGATATCTCGTATGAATGGTTTTTCGACTTTTCATCCAATTTCTGAACAAAAGTATATGACCAAAAAATCTCTACCAAAGGGGCGAAATTACTCGTTTTCAACGACAAAGGGACGTAACTCCACGCTTACACCTGTTTGCCATCATCAGTCATATGCCTTGAAAAAACACCTTTATGATGAAAATTACAAACGTATGGTCGATTTAGCCATACTCTCTCCACTTTAATTAATTTTAGAAATGCTCGAGGCAATGAGAGAATACTCGTTATTCTTAGTGTAATCGGGAAATAGATTATAGCAAGTAGAAAAAATAAGAACGTACACTTTGGAGTTGCGCCCCTTTGTTATTGTTTATGTTCCAAGTGAACTAGTATATTATTCACGCAAATAATCAGAATTTCACCTAGTAGGGTCCTTCGTCTCAGAAAGAATCTCTAACAGTTCGTCATTAGAAAGGAAGAAAAATCTCGGGAAGTACAATCTCTTCTTCTCCAAATAATCATTTAACCCCTTTTGAATCAACTCCAACAACCCCATGCTCTTCTTCAGCCTCTCTAACATTTTATCAATCTCCACAACCGACATGACTTTGGGATCCGCCTGCACAGTCTTCATGATGTCTCTCCAGGTCTTGTCAACCGCAGTAAATCGTCTCCCCTCATCTGGCATCTGCTGTTGAATATCAGGTGAGGTGAAGATGGGCTCCAGATACATCCAGGTCCCCTGAACCCTCAACCACTGGTCCAGAATGTCCTGAAGCAGATGTAGCTTTGCCTCCCACTTCAATATCTGCGCTTCGAAGGGCTTGATGTACGCGGAGTTCTTCATGGTCATGGCCTTAGTGATGTGATCATCTAACATGACCTGGATCTCATCAACAGATGCAATTACGTAAGTTCCAGTCTCTTTGTAGGGATTAACAGTGAAGAACATATTTTGCCAGTCTTTCTGCATCTTATCCATTAATTTCTCCAAGCTGCTCTCCTTGGTTGCAGCCTCGGCAATTCCCTCGAACTTATCGATGTAATTGTCTAAACCCATGTTCAGTATCTTCCCCAGTGTTAGTTCGGCATCAACCTTGAGGACAGGGGAAAGGTCTTGGGAAATTAAAATATGAAAAAGCGACAAGTTGAATAAATAAAAATGTGAAATGTTAATTACGACATTTGAATTGCTCATGAAATTATCGCAACAATAAACTTTTTCACAGTTTTTGATTTTGATTTGGACAGTTTTCGATTTTCTCAGGAGAATTATTGTGTTGACATTTTTTTCTACAAAAATTTCGAGGAATAAATTCTCAAAGGCTTTTACACTGTATTATTCTTCATCTCTCGTAAAAAAAGAAAGAGAAAAACGAGGAAAATGTATGCGCATGAGTATCTTTTGAGCCAGTGCTCTAGAACTGTTTATTTGTTTTTCTTTCAAGTGTTGAATCTAATCAAATTAGAGTTACAAATGCCCTTTGACATTCGGCCGTAAAGTAATTAATTCAGGAGATTGTACCATAATGAACAGAATGGGATAATAACTAATTATCGTCCAAATAGCTATGAAGATTTTTTTCAAAATAATCCAGACCTAATTCCATACTCAGTTCGAAACGACCACTTGAACTACCTTAATGGGGAACCCAACGATTCCAGACACCTGGTCCCAATGCCTAGGCTTCATTCCGGGATTCCCCAACGTCATAATCACTGGTATTCGATCCTTGAAGTCCTCGATTTTGTCCCTGACGATCGCAGCCAAGTCCTTAGGCTCTGCCTCGGCCAATTGCTTCTCCAACTTATAAAGAGTCCTATAAGCAATGCTGACGTCGTTGTCGATGTCTTCAGGATCGTAAGATCCGATCATCGAGCCTGTCCACTTCTCGTGTTTTACGAGAAATTCACAAGTGGCATCGAAGAGCTTCTTAAAAGGAATCAAACGATCTGCTATTTTTTTTCGGAGAGGATATTGAGTTGTCTCCCATCCAAACGAGACTTCCTCTTCATTGAACTTGTCGATCTTCTCCATCGCTCCTATTAATTTGTTCTCCAGGTTCTGAGTTTTCTTCTGATATCTGCATAATAAATATTCGTAATTGAAAATGATTTTTCATCACGCTGTGTGTAAAGTGACATTTTACACACGCTCCGCGTGCACAAAACCCCACTTCCCACACATTGTGATGAAAAATAGGATTCGATACTCGCGGGACAAGTCTTTTTAAACTCGTGGGATTATATTACTCGCCTTCAGCTCGTGCTACAAACCTCCCGCGAGCCCAAAAACACTTTCCCACAATCGTATCGAAATATACTATTTTGCGCGGTTGTTTTCCACACGGCGTGCGTAAAGTTCACCAGCGTGCGTGAAGTGAATTTCGAGTAAGTAAAGCGAAACTTACGATTATACACGAGAACACAAAAACACTTTGAACTTTACCCACGCCATGCGGCAAACAACTGCTTTACGCACACTAGACCGTTTCGAAAAGTGAACTTTTCAAGCAGGTATTCCAAAAAAAGGATGTGTTACAGATGCGTGCAAAAAGTGGAACTTTACGCACTAGTAACACAATATACAATTTTATCACTTGTGCGTGAGATGAAATTTTACGCAAAATCCCGCTTTCCACAAATTGTGATGAAAAATAGGGTTCGACACTCGTGTTCTTTGACCCTTGTCATCATCCTAAAATGGCTCAAGAGGGTTCCGGCTCAATAATCACAAATTTGATTTACTATTTACGTGGTGAGACTTGATAATTTGAACTATAAGATTTTTGTTATTATTGAAATTCTTATTTTTTTATTAATCAGGTGCTGCTAATTACACGTACTAATCAGTCTCACAAGTAATTGTTCTTCTAGAGAAATTCGAATTATCCAAGAGGTCTTTATGCGAATGCCGCTACTACTTTTACGATCCAAGATATGAACCACAAAACTCATTCCGAAGTGGAATGGATTCATCTCATCTCACCACTTGACTACCAAATTATTGTTCTTTTATTCAGGAATGTATAAATTAATGGGATTCAGCATAAAAAAATTGGATACCGGAAGACTTCTTCCATGTCTCCCCAGTGCTGGATCTCTTCCACTTGCTTTGCATAAGATTCGAGTTCTTCCTCAAACTTTTGATAACGAGATTTTAAAGCTTCTTGAAAGTACAAAGTTTTTGTTTTAACATTCTCACGATATTCTTCCAGAATTTTGGGCATTTTATGAAACCAGTTGAAGGCATTGTTGTTGGTGGCAATTTCGGCTTCAGAGAGGAGCCAGAAGTCCGAGAGAAAAGCCACATTTTCTATTATTTCGGAAAGCGTGGACTCGAGCGATTTCAGGGAAACTGATTCGGATTTTTGCACGTAGTCTATTAGCTCCATCAAACCTGCTGTGTTCATCGGGTGACTCAGAGCTTTTTCTGCTATTGCTTGATAGTCATTTCCAGCTCTGAAGACAGAACAATCAAAGAGATGCGAAGAAAATATTAGAATTATAGATGTTTCCTGCACGACTGAGGTTTTCCCATGGTTTCCCTGGCAGTCCAATCCCGAATGGGGTGCAGTTGGGGATAAAGTAAGTCGGCCCATGGTAACGCAGATAGGGAAGGGAACAAAATGTAAAAACCCGAGAGAGTATACATATGGAACCAAAAATAAAAAATACAGAAATCATTCACGAAATCAAAGGAAATCATCCCATTCTGGAAATCATTGGACGATCGGATTGAGGAGGATTGAGAAGTCCAGCCCCGAAATATTCCTTTTACGAAGAAATATGATTTTTTACTCACAGCTTTGCTTTTGCTTGATAATTATCCACGACACGGGTAATTAACGAGTTTTTCAACCCATTCACAGAATCAACGATAGTTTCGATGAAATTGTTTTGGGTGATTTCAAAAAGTCCAGCGAATACCGTCTTTTCTATCATGATCGGGATATCTGCAGCTAAGTTATGGTAAAAGGCGATTGTAGTTTTATAGTCTTCGAGTGTTTTCGTTGTGTCTGACAGAAATGCGTTTACTTTACTCAATTCCAAACCACTGTAGAGTCTTGAGTGTCTACAAATGACATTTATTCCGAAGTCAGTAACTGAATAAAATCATTTCTACAGTTCGTTAAAGATCAGTGTATCGATTAATTACTCTCGAAGTGTATCCATTTTCTTCTCAGGTTCAATTTTCTGATTCTCCAAAAGCTCTCGGATCTCTTGTTTATATTTCTCTACAGTAGTAGTAGAAATTTTTGGCTGAATAAAAAAATCGAAGGAGATGAGTGCAAATTTTCATATGCAATATTCTGCAAATATATCTGAAACTCTCCTGTAGCTGACACAATTCGAAGGTTATTTATTACCGAGATAATGCAATAATCCAATAATTGAATTTGTATATCATCATAAAATTAATAATTTCAGAAGAACCGTGTAAATAATTTCCCCGATACCTCAGATTTTGTTTACAGAAATACACAGCAAAAACGAATATCTGAATTTCACACACCTTTTGTAGACATTTTTCAGACACTAAAAAACCTCTGAATAAAATGAAAATTTTTCTCAATTTCCGACGAACAGGTGCCTGAAAAATCTTAATTGATGTTTGAAATTCAGACAAATATTCATTTAATTCAAACATTTTTTAGTGTCTGAAAAATGTCTACAAAAGGCATGTGAAATTCAGACATTCGTCTTTCAGACAAAAGTCTTTGGAAGAATTTCCTTATCGTTAGATTAGTCACCATATGAGGGAAACGCCGCATCACTCGGCCGAGCGCGAGTGATCGAGGGTTAATAAAAGGATTGAACTAGGAACTTTAATTTTTTTAGAATTTTTAAGAGTCGAGAAACACGCTAAAATATAAGAAAACGAAAACAGACGGCGTCGCGTCCATTGAGCGAGTGATCGAGGGTTAATCACCATTGTCTGGCTATCCAGAAACCGTCAAGAAATTTGACTTCTTCAAATGAAGTGTCTCTAAAATTATAGGAGTCTTTAGAAAAGCAATTCCCAAAATTTATAAAGAAAACATTATTTCCAACAGATAATTTTTTTTCCATGCTAAATGAAATTGCCTGTTACACGGAGAGAAATGTTCAGTAAAAATTGCGGAACTCACCGATTACGGAATCGACGCAGAAAATTTAAGTGACGGTATTGGATTTTTTCACAAGAGATTCAGATAAAAATTACAGAACGCTCCAGAAAAATTCCGTGACAGTTCCGTAAAATTTCCAACAACAACATTTCGCTCCGGAATTACGGAAAAGATACGTAATTTTTATTGAATATGTCTCTCCGTGTACGCGACGTTGCCGGAAACTCGCTGAACGCGTCCGGGGTAACCAGAAAACTTGAAAAAATTTGACTTCTTCAAATGAAGTGTCTCTAAAATTATAGGAGTCTTCAGAAAAACAATTCTCAAAATTCATAAAGAAAACAAATTAGTTCCAACAGACAAATTTTTTTCCATGTTAAATGAAATTGTCTGTTACTCGATTTTTCCGGAAACTCGCTAAATGCGCCCGGGTAGTATAGAGTGAATGCGGCAACGCTGGGGCTTAAATAACGCGGCGGCGAATCCTCGCGAAGGTGACCAATGTTGCAGGGTTGCGCATAGTGACCAGACTAGAGTTATATCTCCCTCATTCAGATATATTTGCTAATAATGTAAAGATTCATTTTCATCTGACTGTTTGTTGATTTGTATTATTGATTTATTATATAAGTGACTTATTCGTGAACAAGTGAAATACGAACTTTCAAGACAGCCGCCGGGCCAGACCAATCCAAGTACAGCTGTGTCTCAAGCCTCTCAATGCCTCCAACAGCATCAATAATAGTATCCAAAATGCCACAAAGGACTTCACCAAAGTATTCAATCTGGGGATCAAAGACAAGCTCCCTCTCTTTGACTATTACATTCAGCTTAAATAGATTTTCCGAATAATGTAATATGAAATTCATAAAGTCTCGAAGTGTGTGAGTGCAAATGCTCCGGAGTTGGGCTTCCATCATCGTGCAAGCGCAGTCGAAGAAACGTTTGAAGCTTTTTTTCTTCAAGGGGCTGGGTACTAGCCCCTTTCTATTATTCTGGAATAGTCAGATAATTCGGTTAAATATACAAAGTTTGGAGGAGAATTTTTTTTTATACAGTCAAATTTACCACGAGAAAAATATTCTGAATGTTGTCGAACCACTTGCTCTTCAAAGTTTTTCTACTGTTCGAAATCTGATTGAAAATAGTCGACTTGAACTCCATTAAGTCCCAGCTCTCGTTACTCGCTTTAATTGCGTCGAGATCGATCAGGCGAAACGACTTCCAGTCCCTAATCCAGTGCTCTAGTGTCAGCCTCATGCAAGGATTTATCGGGAACAAGTATTTTTTTAATTGGTTTTGGTGGGAGTCGAAGTCAGATGGTGATATAAAATTTTCAGGGCTTAATTTGGCCGTCTCCTATAGGTGAGAAAAATTAGATTGCTGATGCGTCGTTTGGAGAAATTTCACTGTGAGTGTTTTACAGAGTGGGATCAAGATATTAATGCCTGATTTTGCGATTTTTTTTAACGAAACTCCATTGATTATATGGAAAAATATTCAGATAATATTCAAATCAAAAGCTATTGTTATTTTTTACATAAAGCAAAAATTATTGCTAAAGCTTACAGTGTTCGCGAAAAAATGAGATTTATTCATGAACAGCTTTTTAAATATTTTTACGAGAGCAGTATTGAATTCGATTATGGGGGGGGGGGGCAAAATTCCAAATTTTTTAATAGCAGAAATCTGAGAATTTCGCGACCTGAATTTTCATTGCATTTTCATCATTTCTATTAATTATTATAAAGTAAATAGTCTGAAATTTACGATTTCCAGAAGATTTCTTCATCAAATTCTAAATTTTCAATCAGAAAATCCGCTGAATTTCAGGGGAACTATTACTTAAAGGAAAATTTCTAAATGTGTTACTAAAATTGACCGCATAAATAATGAGAAATCTGTCTTCATGAGGCGATAATTAAGGATATCCAAGTACTTTGGCTATTTTTTCTCCAATTACATGCTTTTCATTTGACCCCCATTTGACCCTAAGTTTCCAGACATATTACAATGATTCTATTATTTAAATTTTACAGGTCTGAATTTGAATCTCGATATTGAGCCGTTAGAAAACATTTTTTAAATCTGGAAAAAAATTAGAAAGCTTACTTTTGGACGAACATTAATGCGATTATTAAAAAATGGAAAGTTTTGAAAATTATGAGCATTTTCTATGAATAATTTATAAATAATTTATAAACAATCCCTTTTTTATCATAAAAATCATTTGTTCGGAATCGTAACAAATTTATAAAAAAAAAATAACGTTTCCGAAAGTTTAAACAATTTCAATTATTCATTTATAAACAATGAATGTTTAAGAAAATAATAATTCTATGCATAACGTAATTTGAATGACGCTGCATATTCATGATTTTTTTTTTTAATTTTTCTCACGCAATTTAATTGACAAATTTGATGATTGAAAATGGTCGAATCCACACCTAGAGAAAACCGAACAAGTTCTGAAACAAAGAAAAATGTTTGGGCCAACAAAATTGGTAGTTGAAAATTACCAAAAAAATAATTGTTTCGTTCCAATTTAAAAAATTCAAACATGAATAATTGCTCGGCTTTGAACGACAACGAATTATTTGGTTCAAGAGACGGATCATTCATGGAAGACGGCCATTTAGGTGCCTTTTCGGGATGAAAATATCTTTTATAGAGGGAAGTTTATCAAGAAATGTTTGATCCCTAAGTTATCAGATTGCTGTCATATCATTATTATTATTTCACTTAAGAATTCAATTTCTGTCTGTGATTATTGAATAATCGAAACGACAAACTACTATCCCTCGTTACATATAAAGTGAGCATTTGCCATGAGCAAAGTACGTACGGGAGCATTGAATAACAAAAAAGTAGTGCTAAAAATGACATTTCCTGCTTGCACCGGGAATAAAATTCTTGTGAAAAGACAAAATCGATTTTTGCAATAAAAATATTCAATCTCGGCGCTCGCTTCGCACGTTCGGCACATAAAATCCTCTTTTGAGAATTTTGAACAAACGATTTTTTTCGTACAAAGACACTTAGATATCCTCAATTGATTTTCCTTCAACTTTAAGAATCACCTCCGCGAAAGGATTCAAGATCCGAGAAGAGTCGAATAATTTCATGCACATTATCTCGCGAACACGTCTTCAATTTGTAAGTTCAGATAGATGTGCCACAAGATACTTCATAGAGTCAATTAGATTTTCTATTCCTTTAGAAGTTTTCGCATAGTAATTCATCCGAAAATTTCTTGTTCTTAAATAAAAGAAGTTTTTTTTTACCTCTTCTCTACTAATTTATATTGAAAATTATTTATATTCTTTACCTTCTCGCAAATTTCTTCCTGAAAAGGATCCGATAACACGAAATCGACAATTGACTGCTTAACAGCCCCAACATAATCTTCTCTAACTTGTTCCATGAGTTCCTCCGTAAAATCCTCAAATCTCCCACGAAAATCGCTGGGTACGAGGTTCAAAATTTTCTCCACATCGTCCTCCCCCATATTAGCAACGTGAATTGTATCAACCCCGTTCCTAACGTAATTGTAATACCGATTAACGTCCTCATCTCTGACGTCATCGAGGCCTTCAGGTTTCACGATAAGGCCGACCATGAAGTGTCGAAATCTCTCCCTCCTGAGGCGATTTCCGGTGTAGGAATTTTCGTAGAAGTCTTTAATTCTTTTTTTCAGGACCACTGAGGTCTCCTCCCGGGGCTTCGGACGCTTGCAGGTCAGCAATTGTTCGGGGAGGGTGAATAAAGGTTCGACTTTTGTCTCCATGATACTGGATATTCCCGTTGATGGTCTTTTTCGATTACTCTTCACGGTTTTCCGTGATTTATCACTTGCTGAAGAGTCCCGATACCAATCATCGCTTATCATTTTTCTAATTGTTGGAAGGATTATAAGAGGATTATCAAAAAGCCCAACTCATTTGCTAGAAAATTTTATTTAATCTATGTCTGGGGAATTCTATTAGCTCTCCACCGCGTTTTTTAAATTTAAATCGTCTATATTCTGAAATCTGGAGATCCGAAAATTGTAAATACACTACACAAGTTTGTCCAAGCAGGCAAAATAAACATATCGACATCTCTTAATAAAACAAGGGGATTTCATTTTTCTTTTTAAAACAAGGGTATCTCAAAATTCATGTGAAAGCTTGTTGTTCAAATCCATTTCTAAGTCTCACGGAGCTCGCAAATTATTTTATATCTCTTTCAATGCGAACTACGGCAATGTCTATTCGCACGCTCCACCCTTACCCTTGTTTTATTAGGAGATGTCGATATGACCGTCCAATGAATTGTAACCACATAATAAATGTTGATGTGAAAACTGTGAATCCACTACAGACAGTGTAAATAAATCATGTAAATTTTCGCACTTTAACATTCCGTTGGTCGCGCTATGAGCGCCGTGCCTCACTTATTCCGATTTTTTGAATCACACTGCAGTAAAGCCTCCGAAAAATTTGAAAAAATTTCACATCTCATTTTGAAGTGTCTAGAAAGTAAGTAGTTAGATTTTCAAATTTTTATTCCGAAACTCCGGGCCGTGTACCGTGTATAAGGCGAATTTTCAGAAAAACGTGGCAACATTGAGCTTGAATATATAATATAGGGTAACACTGAACATAAAAAATCTCACGGGACTTTTACAAAGATGCGATCTATATCACTCCTGATTTTTTTCAGATTTTTCTTAGATCTTTCAAAAAACTCATGATCTTTCAAATGATTCATTATGTTGATTAATGCTGGTGCGACGTGGCGCTTACGGCGCGACCAAACGCGTTCGTAACTTTTGCGTGACCAACGAAATGTTAGACAATCCTAGTACTTTATAACACTAGGACACAAATTTCGTTTTCGACGAATATGAAGTTTAGAGGCCAAGCCGAGGGCGAAGTCTGTACTCACATTCGTTGAAAACTTAATTTATGTCCGTGTCATCTAATAGTATATTTCGTAATTAGGCCGAAATAGTATATTTCGTCATTAGGCCGAAAAAAACTTTTCTGGCGAATATGAGGTTTGCAGGACGAGCCGAAGGCGAGGGCTGCAATCATATTCGTCAGAAAAGTTTTTTTGTCATGACGGCCGTAGGCAGAGATTCGCGGCCTCACGCTGCCTTACGGCCGGAATGACAAAAACGAATATTTATTTGGTCATCTTCAACTCCAACATTCGTTAATAGTTAATGAATCTCGTTTGGAATAAATGAATCATTCTATCAGTGTATGCTTTTGTTAAGTTTTAACGAATGGACATTTAGCGAGACCGGATAGACCCTTGCCTCTCCAATAACTAATCATTTTTATCAGTGTGATAAATGCAAACAGGTGAAAGTGTAGAGTTACGCCCCTTTGTCGTTGAAAATAGGTAATTACGCCCCTTTGGTAGACTTTTTAGTTAATACATTTTTGTTCAAAAATTGGAAGAAAAATCGAAAAACCGTTAAAAGGGGATATACGCCTTTTTGACTTTCAAAAATGGGGTTTTAGCACTTACGCCTCTTTGGCTATACGTCGACGATATCCATAACTATTAATGAACGAATGATTTATTATGAAGACAGAAAAGGCATTTGCATTCTAATTCCGGAAAAATTGAGTTATTACCAAATTTTCAATTCCGCAAAATTGAAAGCGAATTATTTATAATTCTCTGCGCCGTATCTCGAATTGGTCTCAATTCCCGAGTCAGTTTTTCCCTCACTCACGCCGTCGTTTGCATCATTCCCTGCAGTTTCGGCGCACGGTGAGTGACTACTAGTGTTAGTGTCAAGTATTTTCAGCTTTATTATCGTTTAATCCAAGTGTCATTCCATCTTTTCACTCAAGCAGCCACTAATTCCTTCAAATAATTGATTGCCAGTATTGATAAAGGTATTCTACTGATTTTTTAAGAGCCGGTATTAATAATGCGACGTCGCAGTACTGACGGGAAGTAACTTGTTTCTAGGCAACGTTGTCAATCGATTCCTCCAGGAATTCTTGAGTTATGACGAGAAAGAACTTCCCCCAAGTCCTTGCATTATGATACAAAAAATATTTTCTCATGTGTTATTCTCATTTTCTGTTGATTAATGTCATTTTCTCAAGGTTATGTTCATATTTTTTCAATTGACTCAGTGGTTAACCTCAAAATGACTCTAATTTTTAATGTTTCAGATGCTCTCCAGTCAACTTTGTCGGTATTTCTACTCGGGAAATACTCTTTGGCAGTCCTCAACAAAGTTACTGCTTGCTAAATTGAGGAAAAAGACAGGGTATACGTTTTCTAACTGCAAAAAGGCTCTGGAATTGCATGAAAATGATTATGCCAAGGTAAATATTTCATGGAAGTTACATAATATTTTTTGTTGAGTGGGTCATACCTTAAATCCAGTCCACAAAACGTTTGTTTTGATTTTAAAGGATTAATGGTTTTCACCGAATGGAGTTTTTGTTTCAAAGTTGAACAATCAGGTCATTACTGAACCATGAACTTTGGATTCGTTCGATAATTTACGATAGGGGAAGACGAAAAAAGTGACTCTAATTTTATAATTTTTGCAATCGACTCCTACTATCAGAGAAAAATCCTAATTATAGAATAATGGCCATTTCTTTATATTATCTCCTCCCTAATGAACGAGACATCCCGATTAAAAGGGATAACGGCCGGTAAAACCTGGAAGTTGGACGGACTCAAAAACATCACGCACGAAAAATTTAATAGAGNTAGTGTCAAGTATTTTCAGCTTTATTATCGTTTAATCCAAGTGTCATTCCATCTTTTCACTCAAGCAGCCACTAATTCCTTCAAATAATTGATTGCCAGTATTGATAAAGGTATTCTACTGATTTTTTAAGAGCCGGTATTAATAATGCGACGTCGCAGTACTGACGGGAAGTAACTTGTTTCTAGGCAACGTTGTCAATCGATTCCTCCAGGAATTCTTGAGTTATGACGAGAAAGAACTTCCCCCAAGTCCTTGCATTATGATACAAAAAATATTTTCTCATGTGTTATTCTCATTTTCTGTTGATTAATGTCATTTTCTCAAGGTTATGTTCATATTTTTTCAATTGACTCAGTGGTTAACCTCAAAATGACTCTAATTTTTAATGTTTCAGATGCTCTCCAGTCAACTTTGTCGGTATTTCTACTCGGGAAATACTCTTTGGCAGTCCTCAACAAAGTTACTGCTTGCTAAATTGAGGAAAAAGACAGGGTATACGTTTTCTAACTGCAAAAAGGCTCTGGAATTGCATGAAAATGATTATGCCAAGGTAAATATTTCATGGAAGTTACATAATATTTTTTGTTGAGTGGGTCATACCTTAAATCCAGTCCACAAAACGTTTGTTTTGATTTTAAAGGATTAATGGTTTTCACCGAATGGAGTTTTTGTTTCAAAGTTGAACAATCAGGTCATTACTGAACCATGAACTTTGGATTCGTTCGATAATTTACGATAGGGGAAGACGAAAAAAGTGACTCTAATTTTATAATTTTTGCAATCGACTCCTACTATCAGAGAAAAATCCTAATTATAGAATAATGGCCATTTCTTTATATTATCTCCTCCCTAATGAACGAGACATCCCGATTAAAAGGGATAACGGCCGGTAAAACCTGGAAGTTGGACGGACTCAAAAACATCACGCACGAAAAATTTAATAGAGAAACCTATCGAATTCGTTAGAAAATTCTATTGATTTTCTATTAAACTTTCTATTAATTTTTGGCTGATTTTATTGACATGTTCAATAGAAAACATTCAATAGAAAAAGTCAACAGAATTCAATTTTTCTATATAACTTATTCTTTTCATATATTTTCTATAGAATTTGCTCGACTCAAATTTTCAAAGTTTTTTCATTCTATTTTTCTTTTCTTCTCATCAAGAAAATCAAACGAAAAAACTCAGAAAATTTGAGCCGAGGGAATTCTATAGAAAATATCTCAATAGAATGAGTTATATAGAAAAATTGAATTCTACTGACTTTTTCTACTGAATATTTTCTATTGAACATTTCAATAGAATCGGCCAAAAACTAATAGAACAGTTCAATAGAAATTCAATAGAATTTTCTGACGAATTCGATAGGTTTTCTATTAAATTTGTTCGTCCGTGATAGAAATAGAAGTAGAAATAGATAGGGGAAGAGGGACTAAAGTGAAACATTTTGCGATATTCTCCATATCTTAATATCTTCATTTGTAAACAAAGATATTGATGATTAGAGAAGATCACAAAACGTTCCATTTTGACCCGCCCTCCCCACCTAGAAGATATTTTTGAGCAGGAAAATATTTTTAAATTAATTTCCTCAAACTATGAGGAAACAGGAAATCATCCACATTTTTTTTCTCTCACTTAAGACATTCAGAGGAACCAATTCTTAATTTTCAAGGTTTCCTGGGAGGGGGGAGTGTCTTGGATTTAGTCCAGGGGTCTAGGAGAAATGTTCCCCGAAAAAATGTTCCCCAGAAACATAAATTTCCCAATAAAGCTCCAAAAACTAGCCCCAAAATAAAAAAAAAAAATTTATTCACTACAAGAAGAAACGAATAAATACCAAATTGTAAGGCCATGGACATATTCACAAAAAAAACCGAAGATCATTAAATATATGTTACAACGAATCAACCAATATGAAATTCCAAATTCGAGGACAAGTCCGCGTGAAAAATGTGAATCAGTATTAATTCAAAATGATAGAATGTTGGCAACGCTTTTCAAATATTTATCAACGTCACTTTCCATTAGGTTTTGACCGACTCTATTGACATGTTCGATAGAAAATATTTAATAGAAAAAGTCAATAGAATTCGATTTTGCTATATAACTTATTTTATTCAGATATGTTCCACAAAATTTCCTCCGTTCAAACTTTCCAAGTTTTTTTGTTCGATTTTCTTGATGAGAAGAAAAGAAAAATAGAATGAAAAAAAACAGAAAATTTAAGTCGAGGAAGTTCTACAGAAAATATCTGAAGAGAATAAGTTATATAGAGAAATCGAATTCTATAGACTTTTTCTAATGAATATTTTCTATTGAACATGTCAATAAAATCGACCAAAAACTAATAGAAAGTTCAATAAAAATCCAATAGAATTTTCAAACGAATTCGCTAGGTTTTTCTGTTAATTTTTTTCATGCATGGTATTCCTGTGAACTCATTTCCTACATTATAACTTAATTCCTAGGCAGAAGCATGGTTACGAGAGCAGGCCCAAGCAATGGGTTGGTCCAAAGCCCAGAAACTCCAAGGCAGATCGACGAAACAAGGTCTGGTAGCTGTGATGGTCGACAAAAATCATGGGGCCCTGGTCGAGATAAACTGCGAGACAGATTTTGTGGCACGAAACAAAACGTTCCACGGTTTGGCTGAAATCATAGTGTCAGCTGTTCTCAAATTCACAGGAGAGCAGCAAGCAGTGGACCAAGTGCACAGAACCCTGCTAGACGCAGAAGCACTGAAGAATCTGCCAGCAGTTGATGGTAAAACCGTTGCTGACCACGCAGCACTCACTATTGGAACCATTGGTGAGAACATCGCCGTAAAGAGAGCTCTCTGTATGAGCGTTGATCCCAGCATCCAATTGGTTGGTTGCACACATCCAGCATCTGTAAACCCCATTCCAGCTTCTTTCGGGAGGTATGGAGCACTTCTGGCATTCAAATCACCGTCTGAGAATAAAACTCTTGGGATGCAACTTTGTCAACACATTATTGGTGAGGAAACAAGACTTGATTACTTTAAGGGTGCCAAGTTAATTTGGCGATGACCTTGAAAATGGACGACATTTACCAACAGAGTTATAATTTTTGTAATTAATAGTATTAGACAGATGGTGAACATCGGTGACAATTTTAGGATTTTAGAACTTATGGGTTTCGAGAAATTAAATAAACCAAATCAGTTTTATACACGGGCTCTTATGGAGTTTTGATTACATTGAACGTTTCGCCCCCCTAGGAACTCAAGAAAAATTTGAGAAAATTTGAAGATATGGGGAATTATGTGTCAAATGTGATAGCGAGAAAAAACAATGGGGTACCGGGGTGAATAGGAGAGATATTTCAACCCCCCGTACCCATTTGATCCCATGCTTTCTCGAGGTTCGTCACGCCAAATGGAGGATTTTCCGTATTTATTTTCTCGATGTCTAGTTCCGGTTGCGGATTTGAAATTTCGTCAGATGGATGAATACATATTCCTCCGATGGTGGAGGGAAAGAAAAAATTTTTTTTGAATCTTTCTTTAAATTCACTTGGCACCCTTAATGACAGTGGAGTAGTGGTAGGAGATACAGTTTAAAAATTTAACAGGAAAATGGTTGATTGAAAGATTTTCTTTGTCGTAGAGTTTCCCATTTTTTTCCGTCAGAACAAGGTTCATACAAATAAATCAGAAGTCCAATAATACGCAGTTTGAGGCCCACGTGCATATGAGCAGCTTAATCTTTTGTAAATTGAATGAATAAACGGCTAAAACAATTTCAGAAAAATCAAAATTTTGTCACATACTCTGCATTGATTTGGATTGACTCTGTTTTTGAGAAAATCCAATTCTTTTCGATGCCTTTTATCTCAATCAATCAAAATATACCTATATACCATACAAAGTTTTCGAGATATTTCCATTCTTCTTGCTTTTCACTCAAAATTGTTACACAAACTCTAACTTTTCAACAAAAAAAAAGAAATTAAATTGAAAATGGACTAAATCAAATGGTCAGTTTTAAAGATATTCAATTCTATATATAAATTGACCTCATCTAATATTTCAAGGACTACTCAACCGATTTAGTTCATAAGAATCCAGTAAACCACCAAAATGGAACCATTCGAAAGTCTGTCATCAATTTATTGATGGTGAGAAAGGGTAAACACTCTCCTAACTAAAACATTTCCAACCACATGATTGCAGTTATCTGCTTGTTCCAAATGTCCTCTATATTCAATGCTCTCCAGTGATAGATAGAATCAGAAAAAAACCTCATTAAAGTTCATTTCTAATAGCAGAGTTTTCAAAACTCAATAGTGTGTCTTCTTAATGAATCAATGAATGAATCGTTGTACACGAATCATTTTTTTTCTCAATTTCACAGGAATGAATCCAACCAAAATCGGTCAACCAGGCGTCGACGAACCAATATCAAATGCTGACGATGAAACAACAATGATTCACCAAGAATTTCTGTTAGACCCAAGCCTAACTGTCCAACAGCTTCTGCTTGGTGCTCACATAGAGATTGTAGATTTCGCACGTTTCGAGATGGGAGAGGATCCCGAGCCCTCCGAGGAGACTGTCGATACTGCAGAGCCGATGAAAAGCTGCGGTTAAGCCCCAAATAGCCCCCAAAAATTCCTGAAATCATTAAAACTTTACATAGGACTATCCAAAATAGATTTACTCTGTTTACTCAAAAAAATATGTACATAAAAGTTTCGTGTACTATAAAATTTGATTATAGTATATCAAAGATGAATCTAAATATGAAAAATTGCGATATGAAATAATTTCACGTTCTATCGAGACTAGAATCGATAGAAGCAAATTTGACGAGTGACTTGGATTTCAATTTTCGTTTCCTCGCAAGTCTGACCGACTTCCAGAGCCACATCCTCGAGTCCTTCTTCCAAAACGGCGCCAGGTCTTGCGGTGAATGCCTAATTCCTTGATGATTCAGCACTTCCGGCCCCTGAACTACTAATCTCAGAGTAGAAATTTCTCGAGTTTTGAAGGCAATGTTCCTGCATACCTCCATAGCACAATCATCACAGTGACACGTCTGTGTCTCCTGTGATCTACCATTCGGTCCCATCTCTTCACTTGAATTCTCTTCAGCTTCTAATCCAAGTTTTTCAAACGCCACGGAGAAGTGACGGTGATCTTTACAGTCACAATTTGGTTCTGAGTAGGAATTTCGGTCTTGGAGACTTACGTCACTGTGAGACTTTATACGAAGGCTTTGACTCCATAAATCTTCTACTGAAATCATAATTTATCGCTTCAGATATTGAGAGGGAAATGATTTTCTGCATGTTTTTTTGCTTTTTTGAGTTTTAATCGCTCAAATTTAAGGGGTCTCCTCAATAGGGCAAAACGCGGATGATCGCGCAGGTGAGTGGAGCGTAAAATGGTTAAAGAATATCCCAAGACAGACTCAAAAGTGAGTCCCTATGGATTTTCGCAAAAAATTATACATAACTTAATTTATTACATTCTCATAAATTATTCAGTTTTTCTATTCTCATGTGCTGTTGATGTCGGCAACAATGATTGTTCGAATCAAATAAGAAATTTTTTAGTAATTAATTTTTTGAATCAAGGAATGCTTTCACGAAATTTCTATTTTTTAAAGTTGAATGTGCAGAAACTATGTAGTGCAAAGGTTAAGGTTAAGGAGACATTCTAGAGTAAGGCGGCTGGCCGTACGTAACGCACTGATTTCACCCATATAACTCTAGAATAGAGGAACTAGCGTACAAAGCGCCCTATGCCACCTAAATCTATCAGGATCTATTGTAGCGGGCGCTTGATCAAGACTTTGAATGGTTCGATCATCGCATATGAGACAATTTTACAAAAAATTCACCGCTTTCAGAATTTATTACTGTATCAGGGATTAATTTTTTGAGAACATCGTACACAGAGAAAAACGTAAATTACGTTTAAGAAGTCGTCTTGCGCTTTCTGAAACGTATTTTGCGCTTGAAGTTGAAGCGTAAATTACGCTCAAAATTATCGTAAATTTCGATTACATAGACATAACTTACGATGTCGTATTCGTAAATTATGCTCAAAGTTGCCGTAAGTTACGATGACTGTTCATATTTTTGATAAACGTAAATTACGTTTGGATAAACGTAAAATACGCTTTTTTAAAGCCTAAATTCCGATTTTGACGTCGGAAAACAAGCCACCAGACATCATATTGACGTTAAGCGTAAATTACGTTTATTAAAACGTAATTTACGTTTAGGTTTTTCTGTGTGTAAGAACCGTTTTCTCATAAGATGGAAAAATCGAGTTCGGGGGGGAACCATAACACCCTTTGGGCTACGCCTCGCATGTTAGAAGCCCGCATTTCATTATTTATTATCTCCTAAACTGTATAGTATGGCTAGTTAGTATTTTTTTCAATACCTGGGGACTACAATAAAAAACATGGGGACACAATCTTAAAAAAAGATGTTTTCTAGGGATATACCTTAAGTTAGGGAGATTATTTTCGAAAGAGACGTAACATCAGACATGGCGTACGTCGAATAGTGACAGACATCGCGCCAATTATTTTTATCGTTAATTTGTTCAACAAATTAACGACACAATTCGATAAGACTTCATGCTTGTATTTCTGAGTGTTTAATATAGATAAATATAGTTTCCTTTGTTAGTTAGCATATTGTCAAGAGTGTGAGGGGTAAGGGACAAAATAGCGTTCATAAAGCTCATGTTTAAGCAGAAACTTGAATGATTAATTAAAAACGAACGAAACGATAAATCTACTCAGAGTTTTCTTTACAATTTTCCTTCTACCATTCTTGATTATTATGTGAGCAAAATTACTAAGGAGACCCCTTAATATTCCAATTTCTTGTGTTAGAGTAACTAAATATGGTCTAAAGAGTTCGAATATGGGATTTTTTGGTGACCGTTAGCGCACCCATTCCGGAATTTTTAATGTGCCTTCCTCTCAAAAGACTCGAAATAAATAAATAAAAGTCCTCTCAAAAATTCAGCTTTGTATCTCAATTCCAAAACACCCCCCAAGAGCCTTGTGTTGTTATCCCATAAGAATAACACGTTATTTTAATGGAACATTCGAATCTATCTTAATTTAAAAATTGATATTATAAATAAATTTCAATTAAAAATTGATATTTTTCCAAAAATCGATTTTTCAGCGATCGATTAAAAAATTGTTATCAAAACAGAATTATTCACGGCTCAAAAAATTGATAACAATACTCTCTTGATTCCATCAGAATATGATGAGAATCGCATAATTTGTTGAGTTAGAGCACATTGTGCAATTTGAAAAAAAAACGGTATTTCCATTTAAAAAATGCCATTGTCTACTTGTTGGATGTTAGAACAATTTTTGCTACAATCTAAGTAAATTCCGATTTATTGCAACGAAATCGAAAAAAAAACTGGTTTTATTTGAAAAGCTTTCGTTGTCTCCAACTAGAAAAAATTATTTACTCGATCATAAATAAATAAATTCAGTACTAAATTGATTAGAAGTGAGTCCAGAACATGTTTTCAGTTCATTTTGCAATACTCCTGCCGAAAGATTTACAAAAAATCGTCGATAGACTTTTTTTGTACAAAAATTTTCGACTACAAAAAAAATCACTTTTTGAAGTTTTGATAATACGTTTTGATAAACGTAATTTACGCTTAACGTCAATATGATGTCTGGTGGCTTGTTTTCCGACGTCAAAATCGGAATTTAGGCTTTAAAAAGCGTATTTTACGTTTATCCAAACGTAATTTACGTTTATCAAAAATATGAAACAAGTCATCGTAACTTACGGCAACTTTGAGCATAATTTACGAATACGACATCGTAAGTTATGTCTATGTAATCGTAATTCTTCTTCTGTACCACTTTCCTAAGTTCATACGGTTGACATCAATAAGTCCACATATATTTAATAATTTTGAGTTTTTCCTAAATGAACATTTTAAGGTTGCAGAAATTTCTTATTAACAGTTCTATTGATGTGGGAAACAATTTCTTAGCAGAGTATTTCCATAATTCAATAGATAGTATTTACATTTTATCCATTTAATCACTTTCCACACGAAAAAGGTAAATTCCGCAATTTGAGGGAGTGCATAAGACAACTCTGTGCGTGAAATTCATTGACTTTGAATGAATTCATGAATATCCGTAATCCAAAGCGACAGCTATGGAGATGATTGTCATAAAGTTCCGATATCTTTGTCAACTAATAATCTTCAATTCATGTAAAGGACTAAACCCGTTCCACGACTTCAATTCTGAATTATTCAAAGAAAGAGCCAGAAGTTTCTCCAGAATAATAAATCCATCAATCAGATCGAGCAAAAATACACAATTAGTTTTAACTTGACAATTAGTCCTCTCAAAAAACCGTAAATGGCGAAGAAACTTCGCTCTGGATGAAACTTTCATTCACTTCAAGCCGATTATTTTTTCAACAAGGATCAAGAAACCGATTCTATTGTTCTCGATGAACTGAGTGAAAATACCACTAGAGTAATCTTCCTCTTCTTTCCTCAAGTCCATCAGACATCCATTGTCTCCTCCTCCGCAAAAAGAAACGATTTCACCAACTAAAAACCAATCTGTCAAGATCGTCTTCCACTAAACTAGTCTTCTTTTGTTTGTTCTAACGTCTTTCAATTTCCCTCCTGAACGAAAACTGCAGCTAAGTGATATGCGATCCTCAGATGCCCTAGAACTGCTGTCCCCTTTCACCTCGCCTGAATAGAACAGAGCGAGAGCGGAATAAATCAATAAATCAACTTTTAAAAACACTTATCCTGTTCCATTTATAATGCAATGAATCATTGACATCCTCTCTAAAAAAAAGTATGGACAATATCTCGAATCGAAAATGAAAACTCGAACATGGCGGATATCTCGAACGAAATGGGGAAAGTAAGGCGATTTCCATGGGTGCAATCGTCGTGCATCAAATTTTCATGAAGCCTGCCACACAAAAAAAAAGAGAATTGAATACCATTCTATGAAATATCAAGAAATGAATCATAATTGTGCACATCATTTAGGTCAGAAGAAAACAGAATAATTCTACTCTCTTAATATTGAGTTTGCTAAGATTTTTTTCGAAAAGAGTTGATTAGAATGAATAACTAGAATTATGAGATTACCTCAAATTTTTTACGTTAATGACAGGAGAACCTGAATACGATATACTGAAAATGGCGATCGACTTTTCCATCCTCTCTTTAAAAAAAGTGGACAATATCTCGAATCGAAAACGAAAACTCGAACACGGCGGATATCTCGAATGAATGGGGAAAGTAAGGCGGCTTTCATGGGAACAATCGTCGTGCATCAAATTTTCATGAAGCCTGCCACACAAAAAAAAGAGAATTGAATACCATTCTATGAAATATCAAGAAATGAATCATAATTGTGCACATCATTTAGGTCAGGAGAAAACAGAATAATTCTACTCTCTTAATATTGAATTTGATAAGATTTTTTTCGAAAAAAGTTGATTAGAATTGATAATTAGAATTATGAGATTACTTCAAATTTTTTACGTTAATGACAGGAGAAGCTGAATGCTATATACTGAAAATGGCGATCGACTTTTCTATACTCTCTAAAAAAAAAGGATGGACAATATCTCGAATCGGAAATGAAAACTCGAACATGGCCGATATCTCGAATGAATGGGGAAAGTAAGGTGGTTTCCATGGGTACAATCGTCGTGCATCAAATTTTCATGAAGCCTGCCACACAAAAAAAAGGAGAATTGAATACCATGCTATGAAATATCAAGAAATGAATCACAATTGTGCACATCATTTAGGTCAGAAGAAACCAGAATAATTCTACTCTCTTAATATCGAGTTTACTAAGATTTTTTTCGAAAAGAGTTGATTAGAATGAATAACTAGAATTATGAGATTACCTCAAATTTTTTACGTTAATGACAGGAGAATCTGAATGCTATATAGTGAAAATGATGATCGACTTTTCCACTTTGAACAAATCATTTTGAAATTCAAATACAAAATTTTTCATATGAATGAAATTAATATTCTAAGCACGCAATTATATTGATGAGATGAACAACAGATTAATTGCATTACCGTGTAAAGTGATTAAAACTTGATAACAGTGTAGACATGCACTTTTACAAGAGTGTCAACAAACATTGAATTCCAGAAGGTCACAGAGTAAAGTGTATTCTAGAAGGAATCGAATCGTAATTATGATTAAACTCTTATTCAGTGAACGTAGGAATTAGAAAATGAGCAAATCATTTATTGTGATATGAAAATTTAACAGCTGATAAATTGGGACATTACTTCTTGCAGTGAGCATGATTCTAAACACATAATTGAAAAACGAAATATCAAATCTTACAGAAAAGAGTATAATGAAACGTCAGTTTAAAAAAAAAGTCCAAGGCATTCGTTTTTCTCCAGTCGTCTCTATTGAACCTATTGAGGTTCATAAATCTTTTTCCCAATGTATAGACTTCAATGAGTGCTATTTATTAACACCAATTGAAATTCAATTTATCATACAGTTTTGGAAATATTAATATTTTTCTGGAAATCGAGTTTTCTCTTGTCCGACCGCCAAGTTCACGTACAGTGGCCCGACTTTGGAGAACGTAAATACATAATGAGGGATGCGGTCAGCGTTGCGAATATTTTCTAGTCATTCTCCATACTGTCGGCATTCATTGCCAAATGAACGTAATCATGTCATGACTCAAGATGGTCCATTCAATGTTCTTGAGCTACGAATTGTGATAAAACAGTGCGATTCTTCATAGACCATACGCTAGGGGTCGAAAGGTATTTACTGAACTCGTGCAATCAAAAGTTATAAATAATTTAATTGTTTGAATGCGCATACCTCCGGAACTGTTCGCCCAACAAAAAAAAAGTCTGCATGGAAATTCTTTCAATTGTCTGAAAACTTTTTCTGGAAGTTCCTTTGTTTTATTTTCTCTGAATAAATAACATTTTCATGGGACAAATGATTTTTTAGTAATAAATCATTCCCGGGGCACAGTGGGTTACTCCAATTTTTTTTTCAGAACTGAATCATCGATCAATCAAAACAATGTGGTTTTTACATTGGAGATAGCAAAAACTGTAATTTCATGTTGAAGGATAAACGAACGGATTGACAATTTTGTCAATTAAAAAAAATAACAATTCTTTCAAATAATATTCTCGAGGATTTACCAGAGTAAAGAATAACAAAAATTTTGGCTCTAGATTTGCGGTACACCGCGATATTTGAAGAACAAAATTAATTTCACGAATATCGAAAATTTTTAAAAATGTATAGAAAATCGTCACAACGTACTTTTTTGTTGATGAACATGAAATTGAAGAAAAATAATTCTCTTATGGGTACCTTATCGTGCCCCAAATAAAAAAATCGATTCATCGGCAGTTTCCGGACCGATTTCAGAGTTTTCCTGTCGTTTTTTGAAGATTCGAAAGTGAAAAACAAAGGAACAACATTTGTAATTATTTTAAAGTTTTTTGACACTACCCGACTGTGCCCCCAACGTAATACGCTGGAGACGCGAGTTGATAATTTTAGAATGTGAATAGTGATTGCTAAAAAGCAATATAAGTATGATAGAAGCTCTGACACCCGCGTCTTTGTCTTGACTACCCCGCTTTGCTCCAGTTATCCCTGCAATTCACCCCTGTTCTTATTTTAAGAACTGAAAGTACTGGATTTCGGAATCATACCCCTCGATATAAGTACCTTGGGTACTGAATTTACTGAAAATTGCTGAGAGCCAGAACTTTTTCTCTAAGTTTCAGGCAAATTCCACTGGAATCCAAAACTTTTTGCGTCTCCATTTCATTACCACGGAGTTACTGAACTCCAAAGACTGTTAGTGGCAATCAGAAACTTTTTTCTGTGACGTTGCCGTGAGCGTCAAATCAAAACTTCTTCCACAAATTGCTGTGTGAGTCAGCCGCAAACCTCAGAGACAAAATCAATTACTCTCGGATAAGTCCTCTTCTGAAAATCTCGCGAAATGCCAGAGAAAGTATTGTACATCCATTCTTCATTCATAAATTTAATGATTCCGAGAGAACGGTAAATCGTAACGTAGAATTTAATCATTACCGTGGCCCGTTTCTCAGATCTCCGAGAGAGAATCCTCGATTCTTCCCATTCTCTTTGTTCAGTTGAGGACTGGGGAGGATAGTATTTCACGTCAGAAATTGTACGACAGGTGCGTTAGATAACGATTGTGAAGGTGAGTGTGTGAGGAGGTGGAAGAGTCCCGCATGGACGACTGTATGTATTCATGAGGTGCCTGTTGGTCACGGGTGGCTGCCTGGAGTTCCGGGGGCCCACTTCCGGAGTACTATGGTTTCTTTTTTTTTTTTTGAAAAAATGTACGTTGGATAATACGGTTTAAGTGTCAGTCGTACGTGAACAGTTAGCGGAGTTTCATCTCATGAGGGTGACCGGATAAATTCAAAGTTTTGGGATCCTATCCTTTTCAAGAATATGGGATTTTCGAAACGCGTAAGTTATTAGTTTCGATTGTTATTACTGATGATTAGTGCGGAGATTGTATGAAAGAGTCGGGTTGATTGTCGGTTCAATTGTCTAATCTTTCAAAATTAACATTCGGTGGAATAATTTTTTCAAATTGCTTTTTGTAACGAACCTTTATTGAAGAATATCCAAGCACTTCGGCTATTTTTTCTCCAGTGAAATACTTTTCTGCTTTTATAGTCGGACATCAACTTTGAGCCCCATTTGACCCTAAGTTTCCGGATATTTTACGATGATTTTAGGATTTAAACTTTGCAGGTCTGAATTTTGATCTGAATATTGAACCGTTAGAAAACATTTCAAAAATCTGAAACAAATGGGAAATTGCTCTTGTATTGCATATAGTATAGTCATTTTTGCCAGTAAATTATCAATATGCTTCCAAATGGTTATTTTGCACATCATTTCCTTCTATCATGTATAATTCAGTAGGGAAGTGGTAAAACGTTTTAAGTCGACTTATCTCCCAGTTGAGTTTTTAAGGAATATTTGTGAATCTAAAAGAGATAGCGAAATTTTCGTAATCACATTTGTTGTAGCTCCCGAACGGGTCTACAAAAAAAGTTATATTAAAACTTTTGCTATCTCCCTTAGATTCCGAGATATTCATTGAAAACTGGTCAATAGTCAAAATTGACTTGTACCGTTTTACCACTTCGCTACTGAATTCATTGTTCATTTCATTTTATTGGATTGAATAAAATTTCTTTTCAACTAATTTTGTCAGATTTTCAATTTAGTTGAGTGTTACCATCATCATCATTCTTATTATCCCTTTCTTCCATAAAACCGAATGTCTTTTTTCCTGTTCTGTCTCTCCCCTCAGTCCTTCGATAAAATGTTAATAGAAAAGTTTTATTTATACGTACTTGAATCAATTTGAAACATCACATTTGAAGGAACCGTCAGAAAGCTCCCTTTCAACGCAATTCATGAAAAATTGGAAATTGTCAACAATCATCATAAAAATGAAATGAATCAATGTAGCTATCGTGATCATCTTTTAATTTCGACTTGATGACATTAAAACAAACATTTCAAGCTATGATTGAATTCATTTGAAGCATGATATTCAAATATATCCCCAAGTTCTCATTTTCAAAAAATACAAAATTTTTCAAAATTTTCAAATGAATCAAAATAACGATTAATGCTGTCGCCTTCATCTTCGAATTCGGCCAAGAGGTCATCCAAACAAATTTTTTAAGGCATTGTTCAATCAATTCAGAACATTTTTTTATGTTATCGCAGGACAACCGATTTTCGAAAAAATTCGAAAATTAAAAAACTAAAGGATGAATTAAATTTTAATTAATATATTTGAAAAAAAAAGATTTAATTCCATCCATTCATTAGCGAACAATTGAAGAAACTTTGTTACATACGTACACACATACACACACACACGCGTACGGACGAGGCCTAAACATTGCATTTTTGTCATTCCGTTATGACAAAAAATATTGTTCGATCTAATGATGAAATATACTATTTCGGACTTTTTAGATCATACTGGGTCGATATAACACAAAAAATCAAAAATTTACATTTGGACGATTATAAAGTTTCCATTCGGAAGCAAAAAAATAGAAAGTTTACTATCGGAGAAAGATTAGTGAAATAATTGAAAAAGTGCAATCTTTGAAAATTACGAGCATTTTCTATAAATAATTTATAAACAATTGTTTTCAACAATTGATTATTCAATTTCCCACCATAAAAATCATTTGTGCGGAATCGTAACAAATTTATTGATACCCAGAATTTTACGAGAAATCGATTCACGCCTGAAAAAATAAGGTTTCCGGAAGTTTAAACAATTCTAATTATTTCTTTCCAAACAACGAATGTTTGAAAAAATAATTATTCTGTTCAAAATCATTGGAAAGACGCTGAATCATCAGGATTCTTTTTCAAATTTTTCTCACGCAGTTTAATTGACAAATTAAATGATTAAAAATGGTTTAATCTACAGTGTGATCTATACCAAACTGTCACATATACTTCGATATCCTTCATTGATATAATTGAAAATTGATGAGCCATTATTTCCGAAGTTTGTCTCAATGATTTTTCCATTTTAAATTCGATTATTACTTCTTTACATTCGTTCGCTAAACGAGCAATTTCGGGATTATTAGATCAGCTGGTGAGTCATCCATTTCATTTTGTGATTCAGTGATTCCCGATTAAATTTCAGCATGAATTATTGTGTTTTCGGTCGACGAAATTCGTTCTAGTTGTTCTCATTGATTAAGTTCTGTCTTCAATCAAAGTTTTGGAGAAAAATCCCCTTCTCTCGTTCAAACTCTGTTGTGTTGAATAGTGTTCAGTGATATAAAGTACTCAACTTTTAGCGGTAAAAGTTAGTACTGGATCTTGCATCCCATCTTATGATTCCTCCCTGTAATTACTGGGAATAATTTTATCATCAATTTTCAATGGCATGAATCTTAGAAAAAAATGTTGCTTAACAAACCATTCAATATTTAATCAATACAAGTGTCTCATGAAATTGGAATAAAATTTGTGATTCGATTTCCCGGCAAATAAAAACAGATATCTTTTCTATTTTCTTTCCCTGAAGGTGACAAAAAACGAATGGTTCCACATTTGTTCCAATTTCTGATTTGGTTTTCATTTCACTCTGATTACGATATACAATTGCACTCGATTCCCAGATAATTAATTCATAAAGTAGCTCTTTGTTTCTTTCTAATCACCGAAATATTCAATCATCAACGTCGTTTTTTAAAATTGTTTCTTTCCGTGAAGATGAAAAAAAACGAATGGTTTCATTTGTTCCAATTTCTTATTTGGTTTTCATTTCATTCTGATTACGATATACAATTGCACTCAATTCCCCGATAATTAATTAACAAAGTAGCAATTTTTTTCTTTCTAATCACCGAAATATTCAATCATCAACGTCGTTTTTTAAAATTGTTTCTTTCCGTGAAAATGAAAAAAAACGAATGGTTTCATTTGTTCCAATTTCTTATTTGGTTTTCATTTCATTCTGATTACGATATACAATTGCACTCAATTCCCCGATAATTAATTAACAAAGTAGCAATTTTTTTCTTTCTAATCACCGAAATATTCAATCATCAACGTCGTTTTTTAAAATTGTTTCTTTCCGTGAAAATGAAAAAAAACGAATGGTTTCATTTGTTCCAATTTCTGATTTGGTTTTCATTTCATTCTGATTACGATATACAATTGCACTCAATTCCCCGATAATTAATTAACAAAGTAGCAATTTTTTTCTTTCTAATCACCGAAATATTCAATCATCAACGTCGTTTTTTAAAAATGTTTCTTTCCGTGAAGATGAAAAAAAACGAATGGTTTCATTTGTTCCAATTTCTGATTTGGTTTTCATTTCATTCTCATTACGATATACAATTGCACTCGATTCCCAGATAATTAATTCACAAAGTAGCTATTTGTTTCTTTCTAATCACCGAAATATTCAATCATCAACGTCGTTTTTTAAAAATGTTTCTTTCCGTGAAGATGAAAAAAAACGAATGGTTTCATTTGTTCCAATTTCTGATTTGGTTTTCATTTCATTCTCATTACGATATACAATTGCACTCGATTCCCAGATAATTAATTCACAAAGTAGCTATTTGTTTCTTTCTAATCACCGAAATATTCAATCATCAACGTCGTTTTTTAAAAATGTTTCTTTCCGTGAAGATGAAAAAAAACGAATGGTTTCATTTGTTCCAATTTCTGATTTGGTTTTCATTTCATTCTCATTACGATATACAATTTCACTCGATTCCCAGATAATTAATTCACAAAGTAGCTATTTGTTTCTTTCTAATCACCGAAATATTCAATCATCAACGTCGTTTTTTAAAAATGTTTCTTTCCGTGAAAATGAAAAAAACCAATGGTTTCATTTGTTCCAATTTCTGATTTGGTTTTCATTTCATTCTGATTACGATATACAATTGCACTCAATTCCCCGATAATTAATTAACAAAGTAGCAATTTTTTTCTTTCTAATCACCGAAATATTCAATCATCAACGTCGTTTTTTAAAATTGTTTCTTTCCGTGAAGATGAAAAAAAACGAATGGTTTCATTTGTTCCAATTTCTTATTTGGTTTTCATTTCATTCTGATTACGATATACAATTGCACTCAATTCCCCGATAATTAATTAACAAAGTAGCAATTTTTTTCTTTCTAATCACCGAAATATTCAATCATCAACGTCGTTTTTTAAAAATGTTTCTTTCCGTGAAAATGAAAAAAAAACGAATGGTTTCATTTGTTCCAATTTCTGATTTGTGTTTCATTTCATTCTGATTACGATATACAATTGCACTCAATTCCTCGATAATTAATTAACAACGTAGCAATTTTTTTCTTTCTAATCACCGAAATATTCAATCATCAACGTCGTTTTTTAAAAATGTTTCTTTCCGTGAAAATGAAAAAAACGAATGGTTTCATTTGTTCCAATTTCTGATTTGGTTTTCATTTTATTCTCATTACGATATACAATTTTACTCGATTCCCAGATAATTAATTCACAAAGTAGCTATTTGTTTCTTTCTAATCACTAAAATATTCAATCATCAACGTCGTTTTTTAAAATTGTTTCTTTCCGTGAAAATGAAAAAAACGAATGGTTTCATTTGTTCCAATTTCTGATTTGGTTTTCATTTCATTCCGATTACGATATACAATTTTACTCGATTCCCAGATAATTAATTCACAACGTAGCTATTTGTTTCTTTCTAATCACCGAAATATTCAATCATCAACGTCGTTTTTTTTAAATGTTTCTTTCCATGAAGATGAAAAAAAAGAATGATTCCATTTGTTCTAATTTCTGATTTGGTTTTCATTTCATTCCGATTACGATATACAATTTTACTCGATTCCCAGATAATTAATTCACAACGTAGCTATTTGTTTCTTTCTAATCACCGAAATATTCAATCATCAACGTCGTTTTTTTAAATTGTTTCTTTCCGTGAAAATGAAAAAAACCAATGGTTTCATTTGTTCCAATTTCTGATTTGGTTTTCATTTCATTCAGATTACGATATACAATTGCACTCAATTCCCCGATAATTAATTAACAAAGTAGCAATTTTTTTCTTTCTAATCACCGAAATATTCAATCATCAACGTCGTTTTTTTAAATTGTTTCTTTCCGTGAAAATGAAAAAAACCAATGGTTTCATTTGTTCCAATTTCTGATTTGGTTTTCATTTCATTCAGATTACGATATACAATTGCACTCAATTCCCCGATAATTAATTAACAAAGTAGCAATTTTTTTCTTTCTAATCACCGAAATATTCAATCATCAACGTCGTTTTTTTAAATTGTTTCTTTCCGTGAAAATGAAAAAAACCAATGGTTTCATTTGTTCCAATTTCTGATTTGGTTTTCATTTCATTCAGATTACGATATACAATTGCACTCAATTCCCCGATAATTAATTAACAAAGTAGCAATTTTTTTCTTTCTAATCACCGAAATATTCAATCATCAACGTCGTTTTTTTAAATTGTTTCTTTCCGTGAAAATGAAAAAAACCAATGGTTTCATTTGTTCCAATTTCTGATTTGGTTTTCATTTCATTCAGATTACGATATACAATTGCACTCAATTCCCCGATAATTAATTAACAAAGTAGCAATTTTTTTCTTTCTAATCACCGAAATATTCAATCATCAACGTCGTTTTTTTAAATTGTTTCTTTCCGTGAAAATGAAAAAAACCAATGGTTTCATTTGTTCCAATTTCTGATTTGGTTTTCATTTCATTCAGATTACGATATACAATTGCACTCAATTCCCCGATAATTAATTAACAAAGTAGCAATTTTTTTCTTTCTAATCACCGAAATATTCAATCATCAACGTCGTTTTTTTAAATTGTTTCTTTCCGTGAAAATGAAAAAAACCAATGGTTTCATTTGTTCCAATTTCTGATTTGGTTTTCATTTCATTCAGATTACGATATACAATTGCACTCAATTCCCCGATAATTAATTAACAAAGTAGCAATTTTTTTCTTTCTAATCACCGAAATATTCAATCATCAACGTCGTTTTTTTAAATTGTTTCTTTCCGTGAAAATGAAAAAAACCAATGGTTTCATTTGTTCCAATTTCTGATTTGGTTTTCATTTCATTCAGATTACGATATACAATTGCACTCAATTCCCCGATAATTAATTAACAAAGTAGCAATTTTTTTCTTTCTAATCACCGAAATATTCAATCATCAACGTCGTTTTTTTAAATTGTTTCTTTCCGTGAAAATGAAAAAAACCAATGGTTTCATTTGTTCCAATTTCTGATTTGGTTTTCATTTCATTCAGATTACGATATACAATTGCACTCAATTCCCCGATAATTAATTAACAAAGTAGCAATTTTTTTCTTTCTAATCACCGAAATATTCAATCATCAACGTCGTTTTTTTAAATTGTTTCTTTCCGTGAAAATGAAAAAAACCAATGGTTTCATTTGTTCCAATTTCTGATTTGGTTTTCATTTCATTCAGATTACGATATACAATTGCACTCAATTCCCCGATAATTAATTAACAAAGTAGCAATTTTTTTCTTTCTAATCACCGAAATATTCAATCATCAACGTCGTTTTTTTAAATTGTTTCTTTCCGTGAAAATGAAAAAAACCAATGGTTTCATTTGTTCCAATTTCTGATTTGGTTTTCATTTCATTCAGATTACGATATACAATTGCACTCAATTCCCCGATAATTAATTAACAAAGTAGCAATTTTTTTCTTTCTAATCACCGAAATATTCAATCATCAACGTCGTTTTTTAAAAATGTTTCTTTCCGTGAAAATGAAAAAAACGAATGGTTTCATTTGTTCCAATTTCTGATTTGGTTTTCATTTCATTCTGATTACGATATACAATTGCACTCAATTCCCCGATAATTAATTAACAAAGTAGCAATTTTTTTCTTTCTAATCACCGAAATATTCAATCATCAACGTCGTTTTTTAAAAATGTTTCTTTCCGTGAAAATGAAAAAAACGAATGGTTTCATTTGTTCCAATTTCTGATTTGGTTTTCATTTCATTCTGATTACGATATACAATTGCACTCAATTCCCCGATAATTAATTAACAAAGTAGCAATTTTTTTCTTTCTAATCACCGAAATATTCAATCATCAACGTCGTTTTTTAAAAATGTTTCTTTCCGTGAAGATGAAAAAAAACGAATGGTTTCATTTGTTCCAATTTCTGATTTGGTTTTCATTTCATTCTCATTACGATATACAATTTCACTCGATTCCCAGATAATTAATTCACAAAGTAGCTATTTGTTTCTTTCTAATCACCGAAATATTCAATCATCAACGTCGTTTTTTAAAAATGTTTCTTTCCGTGAAGATGAAAAAAAACGAATGGTTTCATTTGTTCCAATTTCTGATTTGGTTTTCATTTCATTCTCATTACGATATACAATTTCACTCGATTCCCAGATAATTAATTCACAAAGTAGCTATTTGTTTCTTTCTAATCACCGAAATATTCAATCATCAACGTCGTTTTTTTAAAATGTTTCTTTCCGTGAAAATGAAAAAAACCAATGGTTTCATTTGTTCCAATTTCTGATTTGGTTTTCATTTCATTCTGATTACGATATACAATTGCACTCAATTCCCCGATAATTAATTAACAAAGTAGCAATTTTTTTCTTTCTAATCACCGAAATATTCAATCATCAACATCGTTTTTTAAAAATGTTTCTTTCCGTGAAGATGAAAAAAAAGAATGATTCCATTTGTTCTAATTTCTAATTGTTCCACTGAGTTCGTTACTTCGTAATTAATTATTTTACATAATCTCGCGTTTGTAAAAGCGTGGCGATGATTTACTGAGAGAAACACAAAGGTGCAGATAATTCCTGCTCCAGTACACAAGTGTTGCGGCCGTATAAGCACAACACTAAAGTTTTCGTATTTTCCAATTCTATCACGCGATACTATACCAATCTTTCCCGGGGTCTCGTATTTCGTTTAAAAACTGCCGGAGTAATACGCTGATCGATATCGCTGTTTAACAATTGTAAACGTCGTTTCTAGTGTTTTTTCTTCAGTGCTTTGAAAACAAAGGAGAGTGTTTAACGTTGGATTATTCCGTTCACGCAGTCGTGGATTACTGCGATATCGCAGTTGTAAGTGCAGAATGTTTTCTGACGGTGGACGGTTTTGTCGACAGGATGACAGGAGCTGCTGCTCGGATGACTCGGGGAGTGACGTCTTCAGGAGTGTTCCGAAAAATAGAACTGCATTTTTCATATGGAAAATTGAGGTAATTAAGGCAATTTTGTTGAATTATCTAGGCAATGAGTCGTCAAGAAGAATCATGCTGAGACGTTTCAATAGGCTTTCTTTTGATTATAATTTTGTTGCCTCCTTTTTCTCGTCCTTACTAAAAATTTCAAATGACCTCCAACGTGTCTCGTTTTACCTGATCATTACGGGGAGACTACTATGAGTTTTAAAATTCGCGGGCTATCGGAGGGAGATTTATCATGCATTGAAGATCGATTATATATGTCTAAAAACGAATAATTAGTGGAAAAAAATTGTTTATTGTTAACGCTTGAAGTGTTAGAAATAGTCCAGGGTCTCCAATTTTTTTGAAAACAAGTGGACAATAGCAATTACGAGATAGTTTTTTGAAATTCGACTCCCTACAGTGTAAGGCCTACAGTTAATTTCGATATATTTTTTGTTTCCGAATGAAAGCTTTGTGGTCGAGATATGTTTTTAGAGAATGTCTGTGTGTTCGTCTGTGGGCGTGCAAAATTCTGGGAATTTTTGGCTCATAATTGGTATTGTTTGGGAGCACATCTGGGCGAAATTTCAGCTCAATCGGTCCAGTAGTTTTTGAGAGACAACGATTCCGAAAAAAATTCCTTTTCTCAATATCTCGAAAACTACTACATCAAAAGAATTTTTTTGGCGTCAAAATATTTCTTGTGATAATATCTATTGAATCGGACCATAATAGCCTAGTTAACTATTACGAGTCGCCCAGCAATCAGGGATAGCCAAATTTGTAATGTTTTATTACGGTTTCTCCTGGAGCCCTTAATTAGATAACATCACTCTTGAAATTTTTTGAGTACGTAAGTACCATCAATTCAAATATTCAAATTTTCAACTATTTTATCAATCAATAATTTGAGTTAGGAAGATTGACGATTACTTGTGTAATCGAAAATCCCCTTTCAAGAAATTTGAATTATCCACTTAGTAGTAAATTTACAGTTTCATATTAACTAATTTTAAATATATCATTATTCGTAAGAAATCAGATTATTAATATTATATTATTTGAAAAATTGTATCAACACATTTTAAACCTTCAATAATGTAAGGGTCAAATCCTTTTAATCTTACAGGAATTTAATATTGATGGGATTCCCTGTCAGTAATTGAAATTTTTCATTTTTAGGATGAAATTCATGTGAAGACGATAACGCTGGACAAAATTGAGATAGAAAGTCGAAATTTGATAGGATTCTAGCTCTTACTATATTACAGACTCGGATTTTAGATAGACGAAATCGAATGAGTAGTTTTAAAGATATCCATTTTCTTGTATAAAACTATATTGTTCAATATCTCAAAAACTACCCATCCGATTTCAAAATTGAAATCCTATCTAATTCTTTCACAATAGATATACCCGTTCCTACAAAGTTTACGAGATATTGGCGTTTTTCTATTCTGTTTGTCTGAAAGTTGCTTTGACGTTCCAGTCGTCTGCGACTTTTAAAACTCATAGTAGTCTCCCCTTAAATTGCAATATTTTCCTGTATAATGTATTGACTATGTTGTGACGAAAGTAATTTCTCAGTTGTTCTCGAGTATTGTTATCTATGGAAATTCATGAGCGACTATATATCAACTTGAACTTGCAATTCTGAATGATATTCTACATTTTGATGAGAACAGTTTGGACGTCTTTCGGAACATACAGGTCTGAGAACTAGAGTAAACAAGATTTTTTTAATTCGAATCAAATTTATATTAGTTTTTTCTCGAATTATTTTATTTTGGCTGAGAAGTTTATTAATTTTTTTCCGTTTCCAAGGGACTTCGAGCGATGTCCATTCCTAGAAATAAAATGGGAATATTTCTATCGGAGTCAGCATATATAATATACGCAGTTTCTCCGAAGGATGGAGGTCTCCCCTATCCAGGAATGCCTGTGAGTGTCATATACCACAATGCATAGATGATTGAGGAATAAATTTGAAAAAACAGTAGGGAATTCAGAGTATTTTTTCCTGTGAATTTTTCCTATTACTTTGTAAACTATTATGTTTTAATTTTAAAAGTAGGATTTCGACCGATGAATTGATGAGACATTGATATATCTTGGCCTCTACGATCGTCGGCGGATTCATCATTATGTAATATTACATTATTATGTTCTGAACTCAAAAAAATTTTTGCGAAATTGTTCAAATTAAATAGCTAAAAACTTTTATTAATAAATTGCGATTTGTTATTGTGAGAACAAATATTTCAGCAACGGTACTTTCCCGGGCTGTTGCGATAGAGTTTTATACAATTTCATGTCAAAATGATACACGTAAATGTTAACTCAAACCAATTCAACACACACACATTTAACATAATCATCAACAGTCTTCGAAATCAATAAATATTTACTTTTGGTATGAGAATTTATTTAATGAAAAATCAAAAAATATGAATAATAATGCAGTGAATTGCATCAATAAATGAGAACATATATGTCAGTACATCGGCTAATTCTATAAATTGATATCAAATTATCATTAACCCTCGATCACTCGCGCTCGCACGTATGAAAAAATCGTATAGAAATTTTCTATACGGATTGCATATAGAATTTCTATAGGATTTTCGTATATGATATTCGGATATTTCTATACGGATATTTTTTATACAAATTATTTCTATAGTTTTGATCCTATACGACGCACTGCCACATGTGTAGAAACATTTGCACCGGGCAGCGCGGCGCCGCTTTTCTGTCCGTTCGACGCTTCTTTTCTTTTCTTAGCTGAACAAATTTCCCGAGAAAAAACAAACAACGCCAACGCTTAATAAAAGGATTGAATTAGGAACTCGAATTTCTTCCAAATTTTTAAACGTCGCGAAACACGTTAAAAATAAAAAAAATGAAAACGGGCGATGTCGCGCTCATTGAGCGAGTGATCGAGCGTTAAAGTTTCCGAGTTCGAAAAATATGCAATACCCATTCCCAGATCGGCGATGAGGAATCGTGAGAAGCAGTACAGAAAATCCTTTTTGCATCGCTTGTCTTATTTTCTCACTCGACTGTATAATGCAAATAATTGAGAATTGAATTTAAATAATGAAAAATTTGACAGTTGAAGGATTTGAAAAGCAATAACACAGTGCGTACGATTCACTTCTGGATCGGCAGCAGCTGTGACTCAACGATATCTGGAGCTGCGGCCCTCCGAGCCGCAGAACTTGACTCACAGATCTGTGCAACGATTCTCCTTCGTGAGTCGGAGGGTCGTGAATCGCCCCGCTTCCTTGCCTACTTCCGTCAGGAGCTTACCATCGAGCGAATTCACTTCGACCGTCCAGAAGTGACTCTTCACCGGGTCACAGGTCTCTCCATGCCGATCCTCACGGAACTAGAAACTCCCCGCTGGGGAGATTTCTCGTCCAGCGACGTGATGCTTCTGGACACTCAGACAAGAGGCATTGTTTTCCTCTGGTTAGGCTCAGGGGCAAACTCTCTGCATAAAAGACATGCATTGCGACTCTTGGAAGTTCGAAAAGAGAACAATAATGCGAGGGTGGTTATTGTCGATGATGGGTACGAGCAGACTCTTCGGGGAGATGACAAACGACTTTTTGACAGTATTCTGGACCCTAAGGAACGAGCGGTACTACCGCAGCCTCCAAGAAAAGTTCCCCAACCTTCTCCAATAAAACTGTACAAATGTTGCGAGCAATCTGGGAAGTACAAAGTGGCGGAACTGAAGTCCGGGCCAATTTTTAGAAGCGATCTGGTATCGAGTGCTGTCTTCCTGATCGATAGGGTAATTATGATACTGGATGACTCATACTAATATATCTCTTGAGTGAAGACCAAGTCCTGAGCGTCCAAATCGAAGAATGAATTTTTTGACAAATGATCTTTTTTCTTTATTCATTTACGACAAGTTGATTAATTTACAGTTGATTCATTTACATTTCCTCCAATGGTCCGAGGCGATAGAAAATTCTCAAAATGTATAATTTTGATTTTTACCTTTATCAACCCCGGACCAGTGATCCAGGGTTGTATTTTCTGAAGTCCATACCAATTTTCATGAAAAATTGAAAAATTTCAATGTACGAACATGCTGGAAATTCCAGACCATCGAATGTATTTTTAGCTATTTAAATCGTTGGTTTAAATTTGTTCCGATGTGAACTTTCTGGGGTAAATGGCCGTTAGCTGGGAATTTATTTGTCCGTACTTTGATAACCACTGGCCTGCTTCCTTAACGCCATTCTTAATTTCATTATCACGTTTGTCTCCATTTCCTTTAAGGGGATACGTCGGTGAAATTTGAAAGTCTGCACTGGACCTTGAGACCCATTAAGGATGTATTACACCCTTTTCGCCAAAATTCACGTTTTTTCAATTTTTCTGGTAAATTGTTGATCAGATTGACGTGAAAAATATACCGTTTTTGCATTTTATCATTACTTAATGACTCACGAAATGTCATGATTGTGCAATCATTTTCCTGCGTTTTTTTTTAAAACTTCCCGGAAATTCACAAAACTAAAAAAAATGTTGGAAAATGATTGCACTACTATGAAACTTCGTGAGTTAGTCAATAATGATAAAACGTAAAAATGGTATATTATTTCGCGTCAATCCGATCAATAATTTGCCAGAAAAATGAAAAAAACGTGAATTTTGGCCGAAAGGGTGTACATGCTTAAACAGTTTGTGATATATGACGGAATATGGGAATAACTAGGGAAAATCGTGGACCCGATTGATTTTGCCCCGTATAACCATGAAAAACTTCATTTTTTCCTGTTTTTACCTTCAAACTGCTCCTTGCGCCGTAGTTTTCATAAAATTCTAGCTTTTTATAAAATGTTTGTTACACTCTAAACAATAAAACCAAGCCTTCATTTTACTTTATTCGCAATGGATTATAAACAAATGAATTTTGAATTTCATCAATTTTCCTCTAATACTCTAGAGACGCGAAAAATTTATGATTAATCGAATTAAAAATTTTCGGCGTAAAATGGGTTGGGTACAAAATTTGTCTTCTTTTTTTGGTACCCCAGGACACATCAAAAGTCGCTCGATAGTTATTTTCACCAACCGAAGACTCAAATTTCATCTTGCCCCCCCCCCTCCCTTTAACCATGCGCGGAAAAAGATACAATGAGAAAATTAGGATGCAAAACTTCAAATTTTCAATTGAACCCCCACAAAAAATGGGGTTCCAGTTTCGTTCCGGAGAAATATGTTAGCATCCCAATTTTCGAAGTAAATTTTTCTCCGTGTGAAGGTCTATCCTCTGACTGTCTAGGGTGAAAGAGGTGTTTGGGCGTGGGTGGGCCGTGAAGTGGACGCGCGAGAGAAGTTGGAAGCAGTACGCAACGCTCGTGGTTTTGTGAAGAAAAAGGGCTACAGCAGTTGCGTTCCAGTGGCTCGTGCACTGGAAGGTGAAGAGCCATCAGAACTGAAAACTCTATTACGAAACTGGGATCCAGTGAGGCCACGGCCGTTGATACTGCCCCCGTCCTTCGAGCCAGAGTATATGACAGAGAGGCCGAAGATGGCTGCTGAGTGTCAACTCGTTGACGACGGAAGTGGAAGAAGGATTCTCTGGAGGGTCTCCAAAAAAGACGGAATGGAGGAGGTCAACGAGCACGGAACATTAGCTGGAGTTTACTTCGCTGGGCTTTGCTACGTCATGAAGTACTGTTATGGAAGTGGAAGGAGAGAAAGGACCATTGTAAATATTTCTCACAAACCGTCCTTCCTTTTTGACGAATTTGTTCGGCGCATTTTTTAGCCAATTCTGTTTTCATCAGATTTATTGCTGGGAGGGAGCGCATTCTACGAGCGTTGATCGTGAGTTTGCGTTAGAAGCAGCTTGCAGATTGGCTGAAGAGACTTCAGCACAGTTGGTGAAAGCTTCACAAGGCCGTGAACCTCCGCACTTACTTCAAATTTATGGTGGCAAGCTTAGAATTTTGTCGGGACAACATCAAGAAACTTGTAAGAAAATTTTAGACAGTAAAACACTTGTGCTTTCGATAACCCTGTCGTGTCATGGTCAACAAAATAATCTCCTAGAGATGGAAGTTCTTATTATCCCTAGACTCTGCACACTGAGAAGACAAGTTTTTTAGAAGCACATCTTTACTTGTATCAAGAAATTCATGGCTAGAAAATTACCAAGCGCATATCTCACACTCAGAAAAAATAATCTTACACCGAGAAATTTTATACTTGTTCGAAAGATGAGAGATCAAGAAAACGAGTTCTCAAATCAATTCAAGTGGTTTTTGCATTAAAATATTTTGGAATTCAGACTAAAAACTATTAAATACATTAATTCAATTTTATTTGGCATGAGAAATCGCTTTCTTGTCATCATGAAATTGTCCTCGTCTTTAGAATAAGTATAAAATTTTTTGATGACAGTTTTTTTTTCTTAGTGCAAGATATTTTGCTCTTGAAAATTTTCAAGTCATGAGTTTCTTGATATGAGTAAAGACGTACTTCTCAAATACTTTGTTTTTTTCAGTGTGTGCTCGACTCTGTGCCTAAATTTTTTTCTGTGTACTTGTGTTAAGAATTATCTTCCAACTTTTCGGAGCGGAACTCCTGTGTATGAGGATCTACTAGCTCTGAGAACCCGATGAACATTTGTTTTTTTCTCCTTAATAGTGCCGAAGAAATACCTGGTGAGAGTCTTTGGGTCAACCCCCTACACATCGAAAGCTGTGGAGAGACCTTTAAGAGCAAATTCTTTGGATTCTGGTGGAGTTTTCATCCTTTTTTCAAACTCTCCAGTGGTTTGGTGTGGCGGAAGGAGTACTGGAGATGCTAGGGAAGCGTCCAGACGTTTGGCACCGAGTACAGCACCATTATTGGCCGAGGGCAAAGAGGATGATGAGTTTTGGATGCAGTTAGGAGGTAAAAGTCGAATTTTAGCAACAAAGCAAAATTCATTTAGTACTTCGATGTTATTTTTCTGGTTGAGTTACATTCCAGTTTTGGAAATGATCAATTTTGAAGACTTATTCAAATTTTCAGATTTTCACAATAAGTTTTTGATGAATACCTTCGGTGAATCAAAGAAAAGACTCGTATCGTCTAGGGGGAATTTTTTCCGAAGCGATATTTTTCTGAAATTTAGAAAGAAATATAATCTTGTTCATGTAAGATCCTTTAGGGACAGTAGGGAAGTAGAATTTCGAGCATCCGACCACCACTCGCACGCCGACGAAGGGGAGAAAAATAGAGACCAGACATTTTAAATAAGATATCCTTTATAGCATACACGGTTTCATAGCGATAATTTTTTTATATCCTTTCATTGTGTTCCGTTATTTACAGTTATGAAGAAATTTCAACGAAAGATTCTTTGGCCGAAATTCTGAGAGCGAAAATAATCTTCCGAATATCTTTTGAGCCTCAAAATTATTTGGCTATTTCCCTCAAGAATACGAACGAAGTCGTTGAGTTTTTCTGAGTAAATCAGTCTTTACTTTGGACTCGCGATCTTTTAACGTGTAAAGCTTGACCTCTTCGTTTCTTTGCATTGGACCTATCGGGTTCATTGCACGGGAAAACCGCAGAATTTTCTCGAATTTTCTAGAAAATTGGGAAATTTTCTCAAATTTTCTAGAATACTAGCGATTTTTTTAGGTAAATCTAGAATTCCGACAGACGCACGGCGCTGGCCGTTAGGCTTAACTCCGCGAATGACCCCCAACATGAAATTAACCCCTCGTTACTCGCGTAAAACTGCCCGACGTGGTTGCTCGCATCGCGGCGCCGCGCCGTAATGTAAATCTGAGCGGCGCCGTTGCCATAATTCATTTGGAGAGTGGAATTGCGCGGAGATCTTTCCACTCCTCTGTATCCTGGCAGCCACAAGTTTTGCAACGCCGTGTAAATATTTCCGTGACACGATCTATTGCGTCGCCGCGCGGCGTCGGATTTTTCATTTCCAGTTAGAATAAAATAGTATATTTCAGTACATGTGGGGCAATATCGTCTTTAACGTGTGTGGGGTTTACAGCACGAGCCGAAGGCGCGTGATGTAACCACACACGTTAAGGACGAAATTTCCCAACAAGTACTGAACAAAATTTTATGTCACGAAGCCTGAAACCGGCTGAATTAGACACGAGACGCGAAGCGTCGAGTGTGTAATCCAGCCGGTTTCAGGCATGAATGGCATAAAGGAATTTTCTCTAATTGAGGGTTTTGACTGGGGTTGGAAATTGCAAAATATGCGTTTAGATGAAATCAGTGAGGCATACAATTTTCTTTTTCGGGAGTGTATTAAAAAAACCAAATTTCACCGGTGCGGTAACGTGGACGCGAGTAACGAAGGGTTAAAGACGTATTCACGTCAAAAATGATCGAGGCCGTAGGTACAGTTGGAAATTTTTTGAAAATTGATGCAAAATATGATCGTAATTCTCATGAGAGTGCCATTGAATCGGATTTAGGGGAAAGACGGTCATGAAATTCTCAGTTTTAGGTAGAATTCAAGGAAATTTACGAGTTTTCAGTGGGAGGAAGATGGAAATTGGATAATCCCATTGAATTTTCAACGGAATATGAATATTCAGAAACAAAATTACATGAATTTTCGACTTTTCCCTGAATTTTCTCGATTTTTCTGAATTTTCACGGAATAATTTAACTGAAAATTCAAGTATTTTATTAATTTTCAGATCATTCGAACAGAAAATCAGTGGAATATTGGATTTTTTAACGACAATATTTCCTGAAATTGCAGTGGAAATTAAACACGAAAAAAATTTCCAGGATTTGGCACAGAAAATTCAGACGAAAATTCTTAACAGTGTATCTTGTAAGAAGAACACGGGGTCCTACGTACGATAGGATTCCCTATTCTAAAAAGAACATACACTTAAAGTCAATAACTCGATTGGACCGATATCTCGCAAGTCTGCCACGCTTATTCCTCATTGTTTCCAGTCGTCTGAGGCGGCAAACTTAATTCATGATTAATTTAATGTTGAGATTTTCAATTATGATTGTTACAATTAAAGCGTGCTGCAGCGCGCGTTCGGTCTCGTTAAAAAAAAACCTCCGACTAATCGGGTTTATTTAATTCTTCAGGGAAAGGAGACTACGGATCCGAATCAAACGACCTAGGAGAGGAGTCAGGAAAGCATTTATACCACTGTGAGATATCAGATGGAGTGTTCACAGGTGAAGAGGTCCTTGGTTTCACCCAAAGCAGTCTACTCCCAGAAGCAGTTTGGCTTCTGGACGCCGGAGGAGCTATCTGGGTCTGGTTGGGAAATTTGTCAGAATCAAAAAGTACGAAAAAGTGCCTTCAACATGCTTTGACTTTCTTATACACACACCCAGCAGGCAGAGATAGGAACATCGTGATTTCAGTCATCAGACAGGGCTTGGAGCCTCCGACGTTCATTGGACTTTTTGAAAATTGGAATCATAATCTTCTGAGGGACTACAGGTCCTTCGACCTCGCCAGAATGTCTCTTCAAGGTCAAGAAGCAGTGGTGAACCACCAGGGGAGGGAAACGACTGATTTCGATGCTTATAGTAAGTATCCTCTGAGGATCCTCAAGATGGAACCTGAACATCTCCCCAGCGGTGTCGATGTCTTCAAGAAGGAGCTGCATCTCACTTATGATGACTTCACGTCGATTTTTAAGATGAATCCCGTCGAATTTGAGAAACTCCCTTCTTGGAGACGCCAGAGACTCAAACAAGCTGCTGGGTTATTTTAATTTTACGGCAAAGGTTGTTAAAATGAATAGTTTCATGAATTAAAAAATTATATCCGAGTGCAAATTAATGTTGTCGACGTTTTTATAATGAATATCGAACATTGAAATGTTCACTGCTGTAAAAATATATCGAATTTTCTATCGCCTCTACTTTGTTCATTTTCCGATGGAAATTATCATCATTTGTCATTGGAAACCTTGACAGATCGATCGATGGCGACTCGATCGTTGGTTGATCACTAGTAGAGAATTAGTCGATCATTAGTCGATTGCGTCGATCGACGGTCGACTAAAGTAAAGGAGTGCTTTAGCAGGTATTACTATAAAGAAGACCACGTGGTTTCCATGGTACTTCCCGGTACTTCTTCCGCGACCCGACATATACTTTTTCTCCGTGTACGCAATTGAACGATTCTCCTGTATTTAAAGTCGCTGCTTTTATATGAGGTTAAGGGTGCCAAGTGAATTTGGCGATGACCTTGAAAATTGACATTCACCAACAAAGTTATAATTTTTTAAATTAATAGTATTAGACAGATGGTGAACATCGGTGACAATTTTAAAATTTTAGAATTTATGGATATCGAGAAATTAAATAAACAAAATCAGTCTTATACACGGCCTCTTATGGAGTTTTGATTAAATTGAACGTTTCAACCCCCTAGGAACTCAAGAAAAATTTGAAAAAATTTGAAGATATGGGGAATGATGTGTTCAATGTGATGGCGACAAAAAACAATGGGGTACCGGGGTGAATAAGTGAGATATTTCAACCCGCCATACCCATTTGATCCCATGCTTTCTCGAGGTTCGTCATGCGGAATAGAGGATTTTCCGCATTTATTTTCTCGATGTCTAGTTCCGGTTGCGGGTTTGAAATTTCGTCGGATGGATGAATACATATTTCTCCAATGATGGAGGGAAAGAAAAAATTTTTTTTGAATCTTTTTTCAAATTCACTTGGCACCCTTAAATAGGTCATTGATAATTTCAGTATTTTTTCCACATTGCCGACTGATCGATAATATGTGGAAAATGTACGAGTTATCGATGCTCCCTTTAACCTCGTGTATACGTAACACCTTTAGAATTCATTTGTGTTGTTGTCCTGAATGTGGGGTTTCTGAAATTTCGCAAGGGATGCCTAAATGGATTAAACAATAGGGGAGGATGGGGCAAAACGGTCCCCCTTCAATTGTCAATATTTTCCGATTCAATAATCCGATTGGGATGAGTTAGAGCTCGTTTTGAAGAATGAAAAATTATCTTCAAAATGAAGTTGAAACTGGGAATTTTCACAATGTCATTCACAAGTTATTGACAATTGAAGGGGGGCCGTTTTGCCGCACCCTTCCCTATGTAACAAAATTTAATGACATTGGCTGCATTTTTCGAATATCCTACTTCTCTCCTGAACATCGTTAACACCATAGACATATAATATAGGCTATCCAGTAGAAGTTTTTCCTTCCGCGGGTACCCCCACTCTACGTAATTCCCACTCACATGCTTGGACCCCACTCCAAAAATCCACGGATATTCTTCTGGAAGATAACCTATGCCTAGACCGCGCATGTGGTGGGGGAAGCTGTACAGGTTTAGGCAGAGAGAGATGCACTCGGTTCAACTGCGTAGGGGAAACCGCGGAGAAACGTTTTCTGATCGTTTTATTGCAAATTAATATTTTTTTTTGTCATTAGAATTCGTGACAATTGAAAAAATTGTAAAAATATTAGAATGGTGAATTCTTGTTGTGTATGTGGTGTTGAACGATCAGCTGTCACTGCGGATCTCACTTTCCATAAGTATGATATAGTATAAATTACCTTTTTTGAGGACCATAAAAATAGTAATACAAAATGATAATCATTGAATCGAGTGTAATAATTGAGACCTACATCCTAAAAATATTGACATGTCATCATTAAAATTTTGGAGTGTCATTACGTACAACAATGTATAGATGCAGTGTTTATTTTTCATGTATAAATGGTAATATTGCCTGATAATGAGTGTTTGCAATAGAGAATGTTATTTGGAGTGTTATCATTTGATTCAGTGTGCAGAGCCGGCTCACGATTTAAGGAACTTCCGCAGTAAGTATACTTGGTGAAAATTTCGAAATGGTATAAAGACGCAATATTTGGATCATATGTTGTTGAGCACATTCAAAAACTATTCCCAAAATTTCAAGTACCTTGTCCATCCCATTTTCGAGATATACATCGTCAAAATGGAAAAAACACAAAAATTGAATGTTTGGCGATGCATATCTCAAAAATGGGATCAGAGACCAGGGACTTGAAATTTTGGGAATATCTTTTTAATGTGGTCAACAACATGTGATCCAGATATTGCGTCTTTATACCATTTCGAAATTTTCATCAAGTATACTTACTGCGGAAGTACCTTAAAAAAGTTGGATGAAAAGCTTTTTTCTGCACAAATTAACCCTCCTGAACTGGCGTGTAGAGCGGCGCGCCGCCGCCAACTAGTCAACCTATAGGGTGCCACTGCAGTGCAAGTGAGACGACGTAAGAGATCTACCCAGTTCAGGAGGGTTAAGGGATGTGAATTATTCCTCAAATATCCAAACAACAATCAATCCAGAGGAGGAAGGTCTGACATTTTTCTTTCATCCTGGGGATTTAACAGATATTCTTTTAATAGTCTTCAAATTTAGTCTAGTTCTTGAATCACTCATATTCATGTTATTTCCACGCCCGTGGTATCGAAGTTGAGTGTATTATTTTAAACGGAATTCATAAATCTAGTCCTCAAAAGACACAGAAAATGCGCACCCGCAGTACGATTTATTCGGATTTTAATATAACAATTACAGTAAATATTACTTATAAAGATATTATTCTCGACAAAAAAAAATCCATCAAACATTGGCATCTTCGAAAGAAGGTAAGAGATCATGTGTACGTATCAAGGCCTGAACAAAAAACAATGGCACATGTAAGGGGGGACTCAGGTGAAATTCGAAACTCTTCAGGGGGGACCTGAAAAACTAAGAAAAATTTAGTATTTGAAATTTGAAAAAAATACCTATTTTTATTCTATGGAATCTAACGAACATTTTGAAAAATGAAAAGTTCGATAACACTCCGTTGGACGCGCAAAAGTTACGAACGCCGTTGGTCGCGCCGTAAGCGCGCTGCGCCGCACCAGCGTAAATCGACAATTTAATGATAAATTTGAAAGATTTGAAAAATCTGAAAAAAAAACAAGAGTGATCAAGATCGTATACTTGAAGAAGACCCGTGAGACTTTTTATGTTCAGTGTTACACTTAAGGGTGCCAAGTGAATTTGAAAAAAGATTCAAAAAAAATTTTTTCTTTCCCTCCATCATTGGAGAAATATGTATTCATCCATCCGACGAAATTTCAAACCCGCAACCGGAACTAGACATCGAGAAAATAAATGCGGAAAATCCTCTATTTCGCGTGACGAACCTCGAGAAAGCATGGGATCAAATGGGTACGGCGGGTTGAAATATCTCTCTTATTCACCCCGGTACCCCATTGTTTTTTGTCGCCATCACATTGAACACATCATTCCCCATATCTTCAAATTTTTTTCAAATTTTTCTTGAGTTCCTAGGGGGTTGAAACGTTCAATTTAATCAAAATTCCATAAGAGGCCGTGTATAAGACTGATTTTGTATATTTAATTTCTCGCTATCCATAAGTTCTAAAATTTTAAAATTGTCACCGATGTTCACCATCTGTCTAATACTATTAATTAAAAAAATTATAACTTTGTTGGTGAATGTAAATTTTCAAGGTCATCGCCAAATTCACTTGGCATCCTTAATTATATATTCAAGCTTAAAGTTGCCATATTTTTCTGAAAATTCGCCTTATACACGGTAGACGGCCCGGAATTTCAGAATAAAAATTTGAAAATCCAACTACTTATGATATTTTTAGCGGATATTTTCATTGAAGAGCTTCTAGACCCTTCAAAATGACATGTCAATGTTTTTTGAGGCTTTATAAAAAATCGGAAAAAGTGCGGCATGGCGCTTATAACGCGACCAACGGAGTGTTCAAGTACGAAAATTTGCATGATTCATTTACATTAGAATAAGTGAGACATGTTATTGCACATATTTTTCAAAAAAAAATGAAAAAAAACCTCTGTAGCTCAAAAATGGGAAGTCCGGGACTATTTATAACATTTTAAGCGTTTGCGGGGTAAACAAACAATAAATAATTAGTTTTTCTGTACAAATTATTCATTTTTAGACATACATAATCTTCAATGTATGAGAAATCTCATTCCAATAGCCCGCGACTTTTAAAACTCTAGTAGTCCCCCCCCCTAGTGGCACGGGAGTAGAGTGGGGCCATCAAGCAATATGGCCGTTGTGTTGACATGTTGCCATTGTCCGTGGTGAAAACAATGATAGGACTTTTCTTCTTTGTCGTTATTACCGCCTGATAGAATTAGAAGATTTGTAATACGTCTACAATGTCTTGTTCCGTGTGTGGTGTTGAGAGGTCACCTTTTACACAAGATCTCTGTTTTCACAAGTATGAGATGGAACATTAATCTGAGTGGAAATATTGATGAACACATTTATATCTGTTTGCTCATTGGGAATATCTCATTTTCAGTTTGCCTAAAAAACCAGAAAGCCGACAAAAATGGTTAGATGTCTTGGAAAAAGGGGATGTGAAACGTCTTATTGTATGTAGTAACCATTTCAGACCAGAAGATTATCGAGAATCTTCCATCAAGCCTCTTTTGAAACCCGATGCTGTACCACGACGGGAACTCGTGGAAATCTTTCGTGACACAAGATCATCCAACAACAACCAAATGTGGGTACTCAGCATAGTATGTACTTGTCATAAGTATTGGGATTTGCATTGAATAACAATTGCCATTCTTTAGATAAGAATTCTAAACTATGTAAACAATTATCGTTCCATTTGCTTTACTTTCTTGAATAGTTTTAGAAAAGTTTGATTTCGTTATGACTCTGTCATCCGGAGAATCATTACGAATTTTCATAAGATTGAAAAAAGAAGTATTTTCAAGTTCTTTCGTGCATTTAGAGAGTACATTGTATATTAAGGGTATTATGGCGGGGTCCATAGCTGGAAAAAAGGCAGAGAATTCAATGAAAATTGCTGAACAAATTATTCGATCCATTTGAAAGCCCTGTGCAAAATTTTAAGACCCCTACTTAAACAATAATAATGGGAATAATTTTTGAAGTTACTACTTATACACGCGGTTGAATGGGGCATCGATAATTTTAGTGCTTTTCACAAAAATTGCCGATGCCCCATTCAACTGCGTGTATGAGTAGCAAATTCAAAAATTATTCCCATTATTATTGTTTAAGTAGGGGTCTTGACATTTTGCACATGGCTTTCAAATGGATCGAATAATCTGTTCAGCAATTTTCATTGAATTCTCTACTTTTGTTTCCAGCTATAGACCCCGCCATAATACCCTTAAGGTGAAACGGAACCCTTTTGTCTATATAAACTTTTCGAATTGTGTTTTCTCCTGCAATTATTACTTTTTATTTATGAAACAACTTCATTGACCCAACAATGCAATGATCAAGTCGATGAAGTTATTTCATAGATATAAGGTAATGATTGTAGGAGAAAACCCAATTCTAAAAATTCAAATAAACACAGGGATTTCGTTTCCCCTTCAGAGATAGGTTTTTGAACGCGCCAACCCTGTAAAAAATCTCCGTTCACTTGTGAGAGGAGGAAGATCCAGGGTTGACCCATTCGACATCGAACACCTCCCATAAACTAAATAGGTTTAGATAGAATTATTAAGGAATCTTATTGTAAGCTCTCGTCAGAAAAAATGAGACCTTATATATTAATGTTAAATTTCTTTGATTTTTTCCAGAGAATCACAGCATTGTGAAACTGCCGTAGATGATCATGACTATTATTGCATAAAACCACCACACGCAGGGGTATCAGCCTCTGAAGATTCTCCTTATGACTACGAAATTGAATATGAGGAATTTGATCCTGGGACTCCAAATGATTCGGAAGGGTCCATTGATGCTGTCGATTCAAACAGGTGAAGGTTGCAATTCTTGGCTGCCTCAATACTTTAAGTGTCTGCGGAACAAACAAACAATAAATAATTCGTTTTCTGCACTAATTATCCGTTTTTACATATATAATCGATTCTTCAATGCATTAAAAATCTCACTCCCATAGCTCGCGACTTTTAAAACTCATAGTAGTCTCCCGTTAAGGGGTAACGGAAGCGGTCGCAAAAGTTTGTTTTTTTTAACCCATTTTTCTCCGATTGTATCCCATATAAATGACTGAAATTTTCACCAACTGTTGAGGGGGGTCTAAGGATTCTTGTCTATCTATTACTTTTCAAAGTATTTTTTCAAATTGTTATTTTTCAATTTTTTTTGTCAAAAATCTGAAAAATAATAAATAGACAAAAACCCTTAGACTCCATTGGGTACAATCTGAGAAAAATGGGTTGACAAAAAACAAACTTTTGCGACCGCTTCCGTTATACCTTAAAGGGCTAGATATCCTAGACGAACCTGCAGACGGAGCGACATATTTTCTGTGAACAGAGCGAAATCAATCACATATTTTACATGAGATAAACACTTATTTGTCAAGAATGAACGTTTTTGTCTATCACAACTTTTAGAAATATTTTTCTTCTGCCTTATTCAGAGCACCATCCGAGGACAATGATAAACATGATGACATTGATGTCGATAATTCGCTGAGGTGAGAATTGCAATTATTCATTGGTTTGATATTCTTCCTATCAACTACAGCATTGCATTGGTATCGCAACTGCTAAAAATATATTTCTCTTACCAAATTCAGGGCACCACCCGAGCCACTTGAGAAGGACTCTGATGTGAATCCAAAAAATAGTCTGTCAGGGAATCAAGTTCTGAGAGATGCTTCAAATCTCAAGTCTTCCAAGATCAAACAGACTGCGAAATCAAAAAGGTAACGAGCTAATTTATTTACAACTAACATCAATCTTCTTCAAACCTGTGGTAACATTATCTATATCATTTTAAGGAAACTGGAGCCTGGGTATGAGTGCGACCCTCCCACCAGAAAACGTTTGTATGTAGGTGACTTCGGGGTATTTCGTCGACAGGATTTTAAGGATGAAACGGCGTGGAATCGATTCGTCAATTTATATACGGACTTGAAAAGAGAAGCTAGTTTATTGAAACGTAAGAATGAGCGTCTGAATGATAGAGTGACAATGTATAAAAAAATGGTTGCGCATCTGCAAAAGACACCGAAGCAATGCCAATAGAACAACGAAAAGATCTTGTATTTTGAATGTGACTGTATATGAGAGTAAAATTTTGTATTTATGTGTTCGAATTTTTGCTATCAATTTTTTCCGAAACTTGATACATAAAACATTGATCTGGCATTTTTGGAATGAACACAACTTCCCCGTCAGGAAGTTGAGAATATGGATATTGTTAATGACTGACAGTTTCGACGATTGCTATTTTGCCGTCGAATTACGGCATAATTTAACAATGACAATATCTTCCCAACAAAATGAGCACTTTTCTCAGGAGAGTATATGAGTCAACTTTTCAGACATGAGAAATATCTTAAAATTAATGTTTGAATGGACTTTGCCGTCTGAATCAGGTGAGATATCTTAATAGTAAAATGTTTGAAACGCTCATACATAACTGAATTTCAGACAGAAAATATCTGAAAATAAATCCCTGACATTTTTCAGACACAAAAAATGTCTACCATCATTTTCAGACAGAAACTGTGGTTGAAATTTTCAGACATTATTCAGATTTTCAGACACTTCTGAAGATTCAGACGTTTTTTACCATCTGTGCTTTTTCATGTTGCTTTTTCTCAAAAACTATTAGATCGGTCGGGTGGAAAGAGTTAGTCCTCATTAAGACCTCTACTCTGAAAAAATTTCAGATTTTTTAGAATTACATTAGCTATTTAATTACTCAATTTTCTAAAAATTGAACGCCGGGAAAGTCGCGGTGGACATGCTCACATACAGACATGGTAGCCAAACTCGGTATTTTACGATTCAGACCATTCTACATCATTTCCAATCAAATTTAGAGAATGTAAAAATTGGACGATTACAAAGCTTCCATTCGGAAGCAAAAAAAAATTAATTGCACTGAAAATCCAATGGAATTCTAAATTTTTGAGCAGCCAAGAGACAAGAATTCCCCAGCATACCTACATTTACGATCGAGACATCAATTTATAATTTTTATTAATTCTTTCATCAACTTACGAATTTTCAATGGCGAAATTTCTTGAAATTTCAGTGTTCACACGTCGTATTACTACACGATAAAAATTTCTTGAAATCTCTTCTTGAAATTTCAGCAAAAAAATGTTTACCAGTGAACTTGTAGTTTCCAGTTTATTTCATGTCCACCAATCCATGACCAGATACAGCAGGAATTTCCCATACCGACGTGGCAAATTACAAAGGCGCCTCGTAATTGTTGTGTGTAGTTTTGAGGCCGTTCAAACTCTCGTCTAGCCTCACCATCAATATTCAAACATGTCCAGCGGTCTAGTCCCCGAAATTCCTCCTCCAGGATTCTCCTTCGATCTCTGCCAAAGGTAAATCAGCCGACAATAATTAAAACTCATCACCCAAACCCTCATTCACCGTTTTCATCAGCAATCATTCAGACCTAACCTCAATAAGCCCAATACTGCTGTGTCACTTGCTGATTGAAAAATCATTTTGAGTAATTTTCACGCCCTCATTTCATTCAGGAATGAGTCCTTAAATAAGAAGGGATATTCAGCCCCAATCGCTCAGAAAACTGGAACAACAATTGCTGGGATTATCATCAAAGATGGAGTTGTTCTTGGTGCAGACACCAGGGCCACGTCTGGAAATGTCGTCGCTGACAAAAACAGCCAGAAAATTCATTTTATTGCTCCAAACATTTTGTAAGTATTTCAATGGATTTTGTTTACAGTTCAGCCATCTTTATTTAGGGGAGGTTGGGGTAAAATGGACACTTTTGACTTTTTTTCAAATGTTAATAACAGCTTGAAATGATGAAATTCAATAGTTTTTTTTTCAATGCAACGAACATTTCTTTCCCTTTGTAATGAGCCTAAACTAAGCTCAATTGATGAATTTGTTTCTGAGTTATGAGTAATTTAAAAAAAGTCCAAAGTGTCCATTTTACCCCATCCTCCCCTATATCTTGAAGTGACGAAAAGTCAAATTGTTTCAATAAAAAGCTATTTTGGAGCCAAACGTCAAAACACTATTTTAAGACAAAATTCCTGAATCTTTTTATCTGTCAGATCACCTATTTCTGAGATATTTCCATATTTACGCGATATGTCAACTTCTATTTTCGTGATTAATGAAAGAATTGACAGTAATAGCAATTAAATTAGGGCTTGAAACGTACATTTCAATGCCTTCTTAATTAAGGGTGCCAAGTGAATTTGAAAAAAGATTCTAAAAAAATTTTTTCTTTCCCTCCATCATTGGAGAAATATGTATTCATCCATCGGATGAAATTTCAAACCCACAACCGGAACTAGACATCGAGAAAATAAATACGGAAAATCCTCTATTTCGCGTGACGAACCTCGAGAAAGCATGGATCAAATGGGTACGGCGGGTTGAAATATCTCACTTATTCACCCCGGTACCCCATTGTTTTTTGTCGCCATCACATTGAACACATCATTCCCCATATCTTCAAATTTTTTCAAATTTTTCTTGAGTTCCTAGGGGGTTGAAACGTTCAATTTAATCAAAACTCCATAAGAGGCCGTGTATAAGACTGATTTTGTTTATTTAATTTCTCGATATCCATAAGTTCTAAAATTTTAAAATTGTCACCGATGTTCACCATCTGTCTAATACTATTAATTAAAAAAATTACAACTTTGTTGGTGAATGTCAATTTTCAAGGTCATCGCCAAATTCACTTGGCACCCTTAAGTTGAAAAATGTTGAGAACAGTATCATTGCTTATCAAGTTACCTAATCACATCATGAGTTTTTTATATCAAAATCTCTATCCCTATTAAACTCAGGTGCCAGGGCATTATGTTGAATTGTTATTCATATTGATTCATGGTCCCGACTAACTTATGACAGAACCTGGGTTAAACTCAGGTTAAATCCTGAATAAACCCTGATTAAATCCCGACTATACACTGATTAAACCTTGATTGAACTTTGACTAATCCGGACTGAAAACGAATTCGAGTCTTGAGAGGATCTGAATGTAGAATTATTTGACAGAACGAAATAACACGTGAAATTTTCATGACATTTCAATAGATGATAGTACTATGACATGAAAAAATAGAAGAAGAGAAGTGAAATAAGAATTTAAAAAAGAGAACCCATTCGGAAGGAAATTGCTAATTTATTAGCAACAATAACTATACTAATTTATTAAAAAATGCAATTGTCCACTTGTTTCATTAATGAATGTTCCACATTTTGCATGTGATATAGCTGTTGTGGTGCCGGAACAGCCGCAGACACTGACAAGACTACAGAGATGATCGCCAGCCAGCTGGAGCTCCACCGTTTGAACACCGGACGTGTTGTTCGTGTGGCGAGTGCAGATAAATTATTGAAACAGCATTTGTTTCGGCATCAGGGGCACATTGGAGCTGCTCTGGTGCTGGGAGGAGTTGACATCGATGGTCCACATCTTTATTCTCTCTTTCCTCATGGATCCAGTGAGAGATACATGTTTACCACTATGGGATCCGGATCTCTGGCTGCTATGGCGGTTTTTGAGAGCAGGTGGAAGCCGAACATGAGTGTAAGTAAATGAAATAAAGGCCTGCGACTACACTGTTGGTAATTTTCAGCTGAAATTTCCAGTGCACTTCTTGGAAATTTGTATCATGTTGTAGTTGTACTCAAATTTTATTGAATTTCGTCATGGGAAAATCAACATTTTGGGGAAAAATGAATAGAAACTGTAAATTTTAGTTCAATTATTCCATGAACATGAATAGAGATGAGGAGAATTCAGATAAATATATTCTTGAATTTTCAATTGTTTGAAATTTCAGCATAATTTAGTGCTAAATATTCATGTTTTCATTGACAGTTTATAAAAGTTGAAGAATTCTCGTCTTCCTGCTGCTAAAAAATTTTGAATTTCTTTTAACTTTTAGTAAAATTTGAAATTTCCTGATAAATTGCTTTTCTTTGGAATAAAAGTGTTACCATGTGGAAATTCAATTTATTTCTGATTATTTTGTTCTGTTACTGATTATTTTATCTCCCTGTGGACGAAGGTAGAGAAAAAAAATGTGCAATTTGTGTCATTACAAAAAATTGAAAAGTTGATCTCTCAATGTTTATTGGTATTTGTTTCTTATTACTTCGTAGGAAGAGGAAGGGAAAGCTCTAGTAGCTGATGCAATTCGCGCAGGTGTCTTCAACGACTTGGGCTCTGGTAACTCCATCGACATTTGCGTGATTCGTAATACAGAAATTCGTGGGGCCAATTTTGATCCTCGTGCTGCCGACTACATTCGTCCTTATCAAGTGGCCAACGTCAAGGGCCAGCGTTCTGGACATTATCGTTACAAACGCGGTACTACAGCCATCCTGGATAAAAGTGTTCGTCCAGTCATCGTCGAGACAGAAACTATCCGACGAATTGAACCAGAATCCATGGATACTTCCTCGTAAACGATTTCCAACCGCATTCACGATGTTTTTTTACATTATTATTAAATTATCTGATTTTTTGTGGATTCTTTAAGCAATAAACGAATTTCTTCGACTTTCAATGGATGATTTTCTTACTTTTACTCTGTGTAATTTGAGATGTCCATTTTTTCGGAGATTCATAGAAGTTTCTAGAAAGTTCAAGAAAGGTCAAGAATCCTCTGGAAAGTTTGCGAATCGTCTAGAAAATTACAATTTTCTGATGCAGAATGTTCCAGAGGACTGAAACGTTCTAGAAATCTTCAGTAATTTCGCAATTAATTCAGAAGCTAACGCTTTGGAAAACCATGGAAGGTTCTAGAAAATTATAAAAAACTGCAAACCAATACAGTAATTTTCTGCGCGGAATTTTTTACATTAATTTCGCGTAATTTCATCGTAAAATTACCGTAAAATTAAAAAAAACTTCTCGATTGATTGCAGAGCTTACCTACGAGACCCTTTCATCACCAATGCCCTCTCTGGGGACTCCGACAATATTTTCGAGTCTAATCATTAGACTCTTCATAATTTTCAGATAATCTACTTACCATTACTCTATTAATTAGCATTTTATGAAAGTCAATAAAAAGTTCAACTGCTTCCCCAGCTAATTTAAGAAGCATCTTTCAATGAATTCAATTATGAGGCGAGAAAAGTCATTTACATTCAACAGTACAGAATATTTTAAAATATTTTTTATTTCGAAATTTCCTCGGAAATATTGAAAAATGATGTACAATACCAATCAATCAATTACCCACATTTACTCTGCAAGTCAATATCTTCATCTTTGATATTCTGGAGTCGACTCGTAGCGATGGACCATCTGGAAGAAGATGACCAGGATCTATGACTGTACTCCTGAGTATTAATTTCTTCTATCAAATTCAAAAATGACATCAAAAAGTCCATTAGTTTCCCGGCTGTTCCCCCTCGCAACATCTGGAAGTTTTTTCCTATAAAAAATTCATTATTCAAGTTGTTGGTTATTATTATCTATTATTGAATTATTCGGATCTATTGTATTGTAAAAGACAAAACAGAATATGAATTGGGATGTACTGGAGAGCGATCAAACAATAGAGTAAATTTCACTTTGAGATCTCTGAGTTTCCGAAAAAACTAAGTGGACGATGGCATTTTTTTATAAATGAGTATAGTAATTCAGTAGCGAAGCGGTATAATATCTCGGAATCTAAAAGAGATAGAAAGATTTTTGTCATGACCTTTTTTGTAGAGCCAATAGAGCGTTATAAAAAAAGTCATGAGAATAATTTTACTATCTCTCTTAGATTACGAGATATTCAGCAAAAACTGGCTAATAGTCAAAATCGACTTAACTCGGTTTACCGCTTCACTACTGAATTGTTGCTAATAAATTAACAATTTGCTTTCAAATGGGTTTTCTTTCTTTCAATTCTTATTTTACTATTCTCTCCTATGTTAAATGTCATCAAAATTTTGTGTATTATTTCGTTCTGTCAAATAATTTTACATTCAGACCCTCTCACGACTCGAATTCTCTTTCAGTCCGGGCTTAATCAAGGTTCAATTAAGGTTTAATCAGTATAGCCGGCATTTAATCAGGATTTATTCAGGATTTTGCCAGAGTATGACCCAGGTTCTGGCAGAAGTGAGTCGGGACTATGAATCAATATGAATAAATATTCAGAAACTAGTACCTGAGTTTAATAGAAATAGAGATTTTTACATAATCAGCTCATGACGGTATTGTGGAACTTGATAAGCAATGATACTGTTCTCACCATTTTTCAACTTGATTAAGAGAGCATTGAAATATATTTTTCAAGCCCTGATTTAATTGCTATTGTTGATGATTCTTTCGGTAATGATGAAAAAACGGATTTTCTCTTTCAAATCGCGTTAACAATGTGCTATAACTCAACAACGAATTGTACTACCTCCATCATATTCTGATAGAATCAAGAGGGTATTGTTATCATTGTTTTGAACTGTGACTGATTCCATTTTGATGACAATTTTTTACATGATCGTTGAGAGAACGATTTTTGAAAAAATGTCTATTTTTCAAATCTGTATGAAAAATTAAATTTTAATTGTTGTCAATGAATAGAGTTTATTAAAGTCCATATTCATGAAAAAAGTCATGAAATTCGATTGATGCCTTATGAGGAAATTTCGAGAAAAAAATGAAAAGAAGACCACAAACATAAATACATGCATACAGACACAATCTAAAAATGGCATACTCGGACATTTTAGACTATTCAGTTACCCTAAGACAAAAAATTGGAAACTTAAATTTGAGCGATTACAAAGCTTCCATTCAGAAGCAATAAAGAGAATAATTGTGATATTTTTATGGCGAGTTTTTTCATAGCTCCGATTTTGCTCTACAGAATACAGTTCTATGAAAATATGTTGATTTCTCCTCGTGACACAGACATCAAAAACTCAAAATGCAGTCAAAGGGAACATTTCACAGTTGAGAATTAATTACCTGTAGGCATCAACAGCTGTTTAATCCTCACTCTCTGCTGTGTAATTGAGGCCACCATTCTCCTTATAAGTAGCCTCTGCGTGTCCATCGTCATGGGCCTCAGCCGTGACACGAAACGAAGAAGATACTCCAGCAAGTATCGATTCCACGGCTCCAACTTCTGGAGGCACTGCTTTGGCCTTGAACCACGTATCACAATTTGACTTAAACTCTCGACATCCAGGACAGGTCTTTTCAGAGTCTCCAACCATTCGAATAGAAGCCCTGTGAGCACTTCGAGGTCTGCTTCCAGCTCTAGACGCTGCCAGGTGGAAATTCTGTTATTCAAGTCCACCTGAAAGCAATGAGGAATCGATTCCTTCTATTAAATTCAATGAATTGCTTCATTTTTCATGATCATGGAAGAACTGACGGTGTTTGCATGAAATGAAAGCTTCATGAAATGCGTTGCAATGCAAACAATCATTTTAATTTTCATATGAAATTTGATTATTCATTATTATTCGCCGTTATATCATACGTCGATTGAATATAAACTTGAAGGCATATTTTATTTTTCTACATAAATAACCATTTGATTTCATTGCGTAAAAGTCGTAAAACTGAGACGAAAAGTAATCTCACAACGATTCGAAATATATGTTCTTTTTCACGAAGACTCTATTCAATTCGACTAGAAAAATACCAGTTTGCTTCGTTAGTCAGGTCCTTCAGACCTCTTGTCAATTTTTACGCGAATCACACGGTGGAAAAGTGTACAGACCCAGGGGCCTTCGCAGTCACTGCAAAGTATCCCTTCTCTTCTCTTACATTTTACGCAATTTTCTTCTTTTCTTCGTCTCTGACAAATTTTTCTATAATTCTCTTTTTCCAACTTATATCGAAAACAAAAAATCTCTACTCAGCCATGAAAATCTTGGCCAAAACAAGCCAGTTACGAAGCAATCGCGACATTGAACACTACTCCGGCTTCAAAAATTTTAAGACAAATTATTTCCTATTAGTGTTCTAATAAAGTCAATAATATTTTAAGTTATTTTTAGACAATTGCTAGTAGACAACGTATAAATAATAGTACATTAGAGTACAAGGGCACAAATTTCGTTTTCGACGAATGTGAAGTTTACAGGCCGAGCCGAAGGCGAGGTCTGTATTCACATTCGTTGAAAACGAAGTTTATGCCCGAGTGGTCTATACTATTTTATGCCACATTGTGCAGAAGTCGAATTTGAAGCACGCTGCGCGAAGCGCAGCGTGCGGTAAACTCCACTTATTGCACGGCGTGCCATAAACTCAGTTAGTGTTCTTATAAGATTAATCGAATAGACAATGTTTTATTTTTCGTGAATTATCTTTGTTTTTCTTTTTTTTTTATAAAATAGCCAAGTGACAATCGACAATGTAAGATAACAGTGATATAAATATTGTAATATTCTATATGAAATGTAAACAAACGTTCAAGTGAATAAAATGAGTGTCTCAAGTTTCTTAATAATTAAAAATTACCTTTCATATCAAACTCATTATAATTTAAGAAATTTTGGGGATGAGCAAAATGGGACTATTCTTTTACGAGAAAATTTTTTAAAAAATGAAGAAAAAAGGACCACATACATAGACACATACGCGATCTAAAAATCGCATATATTCGGATTGTTTAGACCCCATTAAGTTACCCTAACTTGAGAAATTGTAAACTCAAATTTAAGCGATTACAAAGCTTCCATGCGGAAGCAGAAACAGTGGCTTCATGAGTTCTTCAAATAATTCTCCTGTTTATTCCAAAGATTCACAAAGGGGAATTTCGAAATGCTGTGATGGCAATAATTTGATAGTCTATGAACTCCAAATTGTCTAATATTTTTCCATTAATTATACTCACTTTATATTTGTAAATACATTTCTTCTTCTCATCGGGCAATTCCATGTGATCGCAAATCATTGCACTTATCACGTCCTCAATATCGACATATTCGAATTTTTCCTTCTCTGCGGCAAATTTCAGGTCCATCTGGGATTGAATTTCCTTATAGCAGTCGTTCTCACAGAGTTCTTGCCCCCGAATACCATCGCCGAGCACCTCGTCCACGTAATTGTCATCGAGAGCTGTAAATCAATGAATTACTAGTTGTTTATGTCATCAGAGTTTCATTTCAGCTAATTGAGGGAGTGAATTATCTTACTTGGATAACTAGTAGAACACGAGGGTGAGTCCGGCGATGCGCAGAACACGTCATCAAGTCTTTTAATGTCCTCAACAGTGTCACGCGAGGACAAACTGTCGTCTGCAATTTTCGAAGTGCCTGCAAATTAATTGAATCGAGAAGTCAATAAAATGAAATTCAGTAGTACGAATCGCACTGTAGAACATAACAAGTAGATTCATCATAGTTTATTCAATACTCGATTCGTCGAGTAATTGGAAAGTGTCAAGAGACCTTGAAAGGATCCCAAGGGAGTTTTAGTAACAAGTAATTTTATCATCCCTATCAGGTTTATTGTCTTTCCGCTAATATCATTTTTCGCAGGAGATAAACTAGATTTCAGTTCGCCAAAATTCTGCAATTTCGATATTTATACTGAAAACTAGAATTTTTTTGCGTCCAAATGGAAGCTTTGTAATCATTCAAATTTAAGTTTTGGATGCTTTGTGTTATATCGATCCAGTATGATTCAAAAAGTCGGTCAACGCAATTTTTACACCTCGTCCGTACGTGTGTTTATGTGTATACGTTTGTAACAACGTTTTTCTTCAATTGTTCGCTAATGAATGGATGGAATTGAATCGTTTTTTCAAGTGTAGGTATTGTGGAACCCTATCAATCGCAATTAATTAAAATTTAATTTAGTAGTGAACCGGTAAACCGAGTTAAGTCGATTTTGACTTTTGATCAGTTTTTGATGAATATCTCAGAACCTAAGAGAGATAGCAAATTTTTTTTCATGACCTTTCTTGTAGAACCAATTAAGAGCTATAAAACGGTCATGACAAAAATTTTTCTATCTCTTTTAGATTCCGAGATATTCGTAAAAAACTGGCCAATAGTCAAAATCGACTTAATCCGGTTTACCGCTTCGCTACTGAATTCATCTATTAGTTTTTAAGAAGTTGGAATTTTTTCGAAAATCGATTGTCCTACGATAATTAACAAAAATATTCTGAATTGATTGAATGATGGCTTAAAAAATTCGTCTGGATTCGTTACTTCCGACTTTTTTTCTCTGTGTTGAATTTATCTTACTCATTTCTTTAAAGTACTCACTGGAGTAAAATGAGGCCTCGGAAAGGCACTCTGCCCATGACAGTGAATGTCTTATGTTATTCTCCTTCCCCTGCAGTCTCTCCAGTGCATTTGATATGAATTTATTCGTAAAAGGAGTTTCCGCAATTCTAAATTCGATTTCCGCCGGTGAATTATCCTCGTGGCATTCACAGAGTTGCAGGATTCTTTCACAAATTACGAAGACAATTTTCGGTATGTGCTTGAATGTGCGTTGCTCATAGCCATGGAGGGCATTCGCCTGTTTCTTCAGATAAGTCTGCAAACTGTTCAGTCTACCACCTAGGCCACTGCTGCGCCCAGGATATACAATCATTTGTGGAAGAATAAAGTGCTCGAAGTCCTGGATACATTTTATTTGTCCACGTGTTTGAATTGCACCGGGACGTTTTATGCGAACAAATCGAATGGCATCGCTGGCACGAACCCGCAGACTGTAGATGAGATAGCACGCGGTGAGAACACCTGTTCTACCGAGACCTGTCAACATGAATTTGTTGAATTGATTTTTATATCCAGGAGGATTATCTATTATAAATAAGCACTCCAGAAGAATGTGTAATGAGATTCTAGACAAGATGGACTGTGTCATTTATTGTTTTTTTTATTCCGAATGGCAGCTTTGCAATTACTCGAATTTAAGTTTCCAATTTTTGGCGTTAGGGTAACAAAATAAAGTCTAAAAAGTCTGAATATGTGATTTTTAGATGATGTCTGTATTTATGTATGTGGTTTTTTGCTTCCGAATGAAAGCTTTGTAATCGTTGATTTTGACCATTTTCTAATTTTCGTGAGAATGACGTGGAATATTAGGAAAGGTAAAAACAAAAAACTAAAGTTGAAGCTAAAAACCTGAAATTTCGACACGTAATTGGTATTTTTTTGGAGCACTTCTAAGCGCAATTGCAGCTCAATCGGTGAATTAATTTCCGAGATACAGCAATTTTTCAAAAATCTGTTTCCTCAATATCTTGAAAACTACGTGACTGAATTGAATTTCTTTGGCGTCAAAATATTCCTTGTGATATTTATCAAATCAAATCACAATATTGCATGTAACTGAGGACAGTGTAAAAATAATCGGCATTTTTTATTTTTGTGAGAAAATCGTTCTGTGTACGATAACTCCCGAAAAATTTAGACACACGGAGAGAAATATTCAATAAAAATTACGTATCTTGTGTGAGGGAAATTGTACGGAACTGTGACGGAATTTTTCCGGAGCGTTCCGTAATTTTTATCTGAATCTCCTGTGAAAAATTACGATACCGTCACTTAAATTTTCTGAGTCGATTCCGTAATCGGTGAGTGAAGTGAGAGTTCCGTAATTTTTACTGAACATTTCTCTCCGTGCAGGATGTTAAAATTTGGTAAGATTGTTCATGATATTATAGGATGGGACTGCGAGTCGGCGAAATCGGACAAATGGTTCAGAAGATATTAAACTTTTTGTGAAGCACTATTTTGTTCAATATCTCCGAAACTATTGGTTCGATTAATTTTTTTTTCAAAATACTGGCCCCCTATCAATCATTTGCGCTTTTCCAATTTTTTCAATTGCAGGTTGATGCGGCGTTCCGTAATGCGCTTAAAACTTGGAACGAACATCAGAGATTCTGGCTACTAATTAGTATTATTGAGTCGCCCTTGTGTATAAAATTTGTGTCGATCGATTCAATACATCCTGGTATAGAGCAATGCATCTTAAAATCTTTTTTCTACAAAGTCACACACATTGTCATTTTATCGATTGCTTTCGCCCCTGGGGGCTTATTCTCGACTTGTTTTAATGATTATTTTATGGATTTTTAAACTGCTTTGAGGTTCAATAGATGGAGCGAAAGCTTGATTTACATAAGTGACCGTAAAACGTTGAAAAGGATATAAAAATGGATCGATGGGGGTTTGATACAGTGGTGATGGGTTGATTTGATGGGCATGTTCATGGCAGATTGCGCCCTGGGGGGATTGTAAAAATAGAAAACAGATATCGTGACTGACAGAATTGAATGAATTATTGAGATAAAGCATATAAAACGCCGTAAACAAACGACGTCAAAATAACAGGAAGTGTGAAAAAGACGGAAATAGTATTCAATAAAGGAATGCTGAATAATTCAGGAGTTGATTGATGGAATGTTCATATGACACAATGCTGTCACATTTCTGCAAGTAATCAGGGTGCTAGACAGAACAATTCCATCACTGAATAGATAGGAAGACCGATATTCATTATCATGAATTCCTTTCATTTGTGTTGAAGCTTTCATTGCTGATAACTATAGATCATTCTGCGAAACTACCGAGGAGGCTATGAATATGTAAACCTTTTTTTTCATCATGGCTTATCTAGCCTACATCAGAGTACAGCACGGACATATGTAGACTGTTTTTTTCAAGTATGTGTCGAAATATTCGCGGACCACCTCAGTGTTCTTTTGTATTTTTAGTACGGAACATGAATGTATCACGGTTTATAAAGAGAATTTTATTTTATTTTTAGGTTCAGGATTATTGTGTGAATATCATGGAATACTGAGAGAAAAACGACAGAGTTCTCAAACAAGTCCTAGGGTAGCCAGACTAATAGGTAGACACTGACCAAAAGATAGACGACTTCAACTTTTTTAGTATCTTATATAAAAAAGGAGAGGTCACACGTTTATTTCTGAATGCACGGAGAGAAATATTCAATAAAAATTACCAGAAAAAAGACGTAAAAATTACGTTTCGAAACGTAATCTGGGAGCGAAGTAAAATTCAATAAAAAGTGTCAATCGTCACGTAAATTCTACGATCTGTTTCGTAAAAATTACTCATCCGTCAGACGCCTCACGGCTAGCTATGAGCCATCGTGAGGGGGAGATTTTAACAACACGTTCCGTAATTTTTCCGGAACTTTTCGTAAAAATTCTTAAACATCCAAGAATTTTCATGTTCTGAGGCATAATAAGTCTTGAAGTTTCTGTTAGATTTTACAACTTCCAGAAAAATTACGTGACTTTTTCGTATTTTTTCGGTGACAGACCCGAAAATTTACTGAACGTTTCAGATTTATTCTCTTATATTCCTATAGAAATTCACTGAAAACGATTCTCGCTTGCGGATTATGTGAAATGTTACGTAATTTTTCTTGAATATTTCTGATTTGGTTGATGATGGTGATGTTAGTGATGTTGATGATGTTGGTAATGTTGGTGTAGATCTACGGAACGATGTTTTCAATCACGAACAATTCTATGTAGCTTTTTTGAGAGTTCGATCAGGAGATCCATTGAAAGTTTTCACAAGACAACAACGAAAAAATGCCAAGGAAAAAATTATGTCTACAAAGAGTTATATGTTTGAGTAAATGGTATATATATTTATGTCTGTATAAAAGGAGCCGACTTGATCGTATTTGGTATCCGAGATATTCATGGTTTTCCATCGATGACGCCCGTATAAATTAGCATTCAATTATTTTCTGATCTTCGATACCAACATCATTTCCAAGAGAACATATCGTCGCATTAAAATCAAAGGGGCGTAAGTGCCATTTCTCTGAGATTTTTTTTCTCTTAATACCAAAGGGGCGTATGTTTTTTTTTCCTTCGAAATGGAGTTCTCTCAACTTATGAAAGGTTTTTTGTGGACAAATTTCTGAAGTGGCAAATGGACGTAAGTCCGACTAGCAAGTACTGAAGGGGCGTATCTCCAGCACATACGCCTCTTTCTTTTTATACTTTTTGTTTCTTTTCTAGCTCATATTGAGAATGAATAATTCCAAAGGGGCGTAACTCCAATATATATGTCCCTTCATTTGTTACTGTTTGTTCCTATTGATTCATCAAGTTTAAACGGAATCACATGCACTACAGCCCTAATAATAAATAATATTTGATTCTACATTAACCTCCCCTCCCTTCCTCTCATCGTGAATGTTCAAATTATTTCCCTTTGATTTTTTGCTTGAATGAAACAATTTCATGAGAAATATCAGTAACTAAACTAAAATTTTCTAAAATTTTCTTCTAAATTTATTCGATTTCATTCATTAATTTATTTCATTTTTTTAAATTATGACTGCGAATTTCAGGAAATTATCTGTATGAAATTTCGAGTCGTGACTGCTTTGAACACTTCGGAAGAAAATGAGACCATAAAGGAAGAAGAAAATAGTTAAAGCGTTTTATGTTGATATAACAATATAAAACTCATTATCGCGAGTAGACCTAAGATATAATGAGAGAGAGGCGTATGTGGGACTTACGCCCTTTTCGTTTTATTTCAACATGAAATGTGTCATCCGAAGTGCACAACACATAATGTAAAAAGGGCGTAAGTGTGATTTATTGAATGAAATGAAACAGGCGTAAGTGTGGAGATACGCCCCTTTCCCGTTGAAATATAGCAACTACGCCTTTTGACTAGATTTTTTTTTCCGATTTTTGGTCAGAAATTCCATGAAAAACCGAAAAAACAGGAATTCGGAACATACACCCCTTTCACTTTTAAAATGGGTTTTTTTGCACTTACGCCCTTTCGATTTTAATGCGACGATATGTTGATTCTCAATTGAAGTTTTCATGAATTTCGACGTATCTCCGACTGATTTTCGATAGAAATTTCCATCCCTTTTCTTTAAAAAAAATCATGGATTTTCAAAAGAACATTTTATCATTTCCCACGAATTTCTCCTTAGTAGGGGAGAGTCGACCAAAATGGGACGTTTCGTGATCTTTTCCAATTGTCAATATGTTCACTTATAAATGAAGATATTGACAATTGGAAAAGATCTCAATACGTCCCATTTTGCCCGACCCTCCCCTAATATTATAGAAATTTGTATACGTGAAATAACATATTGAGTCAAAACAACTTACAATAATAACGTGATAAATCATACAAACTCAATCATATTGATAGGCGCGCGTAGCGCGCCTTCGATCTCGTTCTATAAAAAATATAATAGAAATTGTATTACAATTTTCCATTTGTGATAATAAAACTAATGTATGATAATACGATGTTGCTCATATTTTTTATTGATGAACATTTTGAACGTGAAAAAAACAAATTCTCGCGAGGTACAGTATTGGCTCTCAGTGGCGGTGTGGGTAGTTGGACAACAGTCACGCAGTGTTGACGGAACAATGTGAAAAAACAGCCATCAGGACAAATGGACACGGTATCTGTTCGATTATCGAAAAGGATCATTCTTCATTTTTAAGCCTCGATGACTCACGCTCGACCGCCAGCCTTTATCCGTCACACGGTTAGCGTAGCGCCGCTTGGTTAAACCGAGCGCGCTGTTGTCACCTTGACGCTTACCGCTGTACGCGCATTTCAAGTGTGGCAATGAATGTAGCAACACTGTCGCTCGAGGGATCGATAGTACACACGCAATACCCCCTTCCCGTGGGCACTTCTAGTGCGGTAAGGTTTTGAGGTGTTTTCTTATGTTTTCGGGTATGAGAAATCCGAATCCGGTGGTATTTTTTATGTAAGTGCGTGCAATTAATAGTTATAAACAAATTAAGTGGTTTTTTTGGTGATTTTTTTTTTTATGGGAAACATTGGCAAATAGAAGAAAATGTTCATGACAAAAGTTGTTCCTTTTTGTGTAATAAATAATTATCATTTTTTAAAATCAAAATCCATCAATCCGTTGCTGAAATATGGTCCACCAGGTGGGCGCGGGAGGATGCGCGACGCGCGAAGATGGGTGGGACGCTCGACGTCCTCTGAATGCTCATCAATGCATCATTTTTCTCAGATAAAACGACCTCTACTCATGTATTGGTACATAGAAAGGAAAACAAAAACACACAAAACACTAATACTCCAAGTATGAGAGATATTTATTTGGATTATTTCTGCGAATTTTCAATTCCAAGAAAATTCGGAGGGGACAGCTGCAAAAATATTCTTGTTTCTTCTTGTTTTAGTCAACTGACATTTAGAAAATACTCCGATAAATCAGTCTTCCTCCGATCCTAGTAAGAGAATGGTCGTCAAATTTAAATACGTGATTTTTTTCAGAGTCTCTTCGGTCCGGAGTATTGAATTAACTAATTAACTATTGAGTTCTATCAGTCGCGACACGGAAGAGGTTCGAGCGGACTGCGCGCGCCGCGCATCCTCCCGCGTTCACCTGGTGGACCATATTTCGGCAACGGATTGATGGATTTTGATTTAAAAAATTGATCATTATTTATTACACAAAAAGGAACAACTTTTGTCATGAACATTTTCTTCTATTTGCCAATGTTTCCCATAAAAAAAAATCATTAAAAAAACCAGTTAATTTGTTTATAACTATTAATTGCACGCACTTACATAAAAAATACCACCAGATTCGGATTTTTCATACCCAAAAACATAAGAAAACACCTCAAAACCTTACCGCACTAGAATTTCACACGGAAAGGGGGTATTTCGTGTGGACTACGACGCATTAATTTGCACCGGGCGGCGCGGCACAGCTCAACGCCGCTGTCTCGTCCGTTCGACGTTTCTTCTCTTTTTTGGCCAAATAAATTTTCCGAAAAAAAACGGACAACGCCACCGCTTATTTCAGAATTTTTAAGCGTCGATGAATATGCTACAATATAAAAAAACGAAAACGGGTGGCGGCGCACTCACTGAGCGACCAGTGATTGAGGGTTAAACATGCAGAAGAAGGAATTTGTTGAAATAACCATTAAATATGACCACCTATCTATTGGTAACCCACCATCCATCTTCGGGTCAGTTGTCTATCTATTGGATGTTTGGGCTGTATCCCACTTTTATGTCATTTCATCATTTATTCCTTCATTGTTTCCACTTCAAATTATTATTTTCCCCTAATTCACATATTTTGCCAGGTATATAACCCATCGTTAGCATATTTAGGTGATTTACCAATTTTTGATCTCTTAACGGACCTCAAATTGTCCTGAACCGTCTATCTGGTTACACTACTTATGTCAAACAAAATAATCTTTTTTTAAATTAGGCAAACAGGATTTTTTTGTGCCATACATGCAAAGAGTGCGCCGAGATGAGAAATTTTTATCGCATTCGGAGAGAGAGAATTTCCGTATTTCCTGATAGCTTAGGAGAGTGTCCGGCGCGTAATTGGAAAACCCGAGTTCCAGTCCCGGCTGGGCGGGATTTTTTCTCTCTAAATTCTAATTCTCTTAGATTTTTTTTTCAACTAAAAAAGTTTTTTTAAAGAAACTATCATTATATTTTACTGAAAAGAATTATTATTATATCAAATAATTGATTTTTCAGTTTTATAATTATTACATTTCATTATGATTATAATAATAATAATTATTATTATTATCATAATCATTATTTATCAATTATTATTATTATTATTATTATTATTATTATTATTACAGGTATATATATATATATATATATATATATACTACTAGAATAGATTTAGTAGTTCCAAAAAAATTTCATCCTCTGTACAAGCAAAGAAATGTCATTTCCAGCACTACTTCTACGTTACTCGATACTCCCATACGTATTTTGCTCCCGAGAAATATTCGTTTCATGTGAAATAAGGGATAATAGTTTTTCGTTTCGGCTATTGAATACTCACAGACAAGAGATGAACCCTTAAATAAAGTAATAATAATTATACGATAGCAATCTTGTATCTTAAGAACGAAATAGTTCTTGATAAATTTTCCTTAAAGGCACAGTTTTGTGTGAATCATCCCCCCCTTGAGTCAATTATTTCATTGTTATTCAAACGCAGAGGTATTAGCAGAGCAACTCTTCATGTTTGAGACTTTCAAATTTGTATTAAGCAATTTATTTTTTGGTAATTTTCAACTAGCGATTTTACTGGCCCAAACAAGACTTGTTTGAGAACTTGTTTGTTTTTCTCTCAGTGAAGGGAACGGCAAATTTAAACCTGTATGTTACAGAGATATCTGCACAATAATCCATAGGAAATCAGTAGCGAAGTGGTCGAATGGTTTAAGTCGATGTTGACTGTTCGCAAGTTTTCAATGAATATCGCGCAATCTAAGGTAGATAGTTTGTTATGACCTTTTCGATAGAGCACATTGAGAACTTCAAAAAAGATATTCATGAAAATTTCGCTATCTCCCTTAGATTTTGAGATATTCCTCGAAAACTCAGCTAATAGCCAAGTCGACTTAAACCGTTTGACCACTTCGCTACTGAAATTTAAAAGGAAACAAAAATACTTTTGCTCTTGTCAAATTAAACTATTTCCGATGTATTTACACTGTAATTCGCAAATAAGTGCGGAGTCTATGCTTGGATTCTATTACGAGCTTAACTGGGTCTGGCGTATGAATGAGGGAAATCTACCCCCGCGCCATGTGCATAACTACGGTGATAAGCATTGAAGAAACGAAAGCAATTTGAATATCATGATTATTAACACCATCGGCCTATGACATAGAGATAGTCTATAAGGCAGACAGTCTCTAGGTGTTAAATTCAACCTCTGACCCAAATCGTAAATGATTACCAAGTTACGCTAATTAGCTGTTTCAGTTCTTTTTTTAGATAAATATTTATTTTAGCTCTAATCGTTCTCAGTTATTGCTTTCTAAATAATGACTGGGTTAGATCTTCTGATTATTCGTGGCAATTTTCACCCTCCAAAATGTCAGAGGACGAGGCGATCGAGGGCGATTTCACTTTTTGATAATAACCCTTCGCGTGATGAACATTTATTTCACGTTATCTGATTCACAGTAGCCTAGTCATTTTATCTGTTTATTTTTGCAATCCTATTACTTCCGAGTGGAAGCATCGTAGTCCTGGAACTTGAATTTTACCTAGAAATGGGATAATTTTAGAGATGGCGAACGGGAAGAATTTATTAATACTCCATTATTAGAATCAAATAAATTATTCAGTTCATTCTAATTGATGATCTACGTCTAATAAAGGTATTCTTTGCGGACGCACTCGTCCCTTTTCATGCGGACGTCCACAAATATTCATTTGATACCAATAATTTATTCTCGCTTTGAGATAGTAATAAACTTGAAAAAGATTGAAATAGAAATCACTCGATTTTTTCTGCTGATTTCTTCCTTGATTTCCAATCGAGTGGTCCAGTAATTTCCTAAGTGATCAGCCCCTCGTGCTTGTTCCTCGCAAAGCATGACCGTTGGAAGGTACGATTCTTGCGATATTTGACCCTCGCGGGATATGAAAAAATATCACTATTTCGCATTATGTCAATGAAGGGCGCCAAATAGGTTTCTGACATGTCGAAAGTCCAAAAACTTCCATGTAATTTACCTAGTTTACGACAGGTCGGAAACCATGTAATTTACCTGAGGTAATTTACTTGCCCCACCCGTCCCGCGACTCAAAGCTTTTTGCGACTTTATAACTACTGTATTATTTACCCGCATGACAGTGGATTGCCACTCTCCCCTCCTGCACTGCGAACGCCACAACTTTCACCATATCCAGGAGTTTACTCATCGTCGCGTCGTCGTAATCTTTCCATGCAAAATTGTAATAGTAGACTGTAAAAAAAAGTAACGATTTAATTCCAAGGATAACTGTCAGGAAATTATTGGGAATGTCTGAGTTACGCTGGAGAGTAACAAGAGGTGGGGGGAGGGGAGCGTGAGTGGATTTACGGAAAATGCAATTTCACGGTTTATTTTAGAGGTACATGTATATCAGAGTTTTGACTGCATTGCATGTTACCATGAACTTCTTCGATCTGGTGCGATGGTATTGCGGAGGTGGTCTAGAAGGGATCACTGGTTCCTTATCGAACCGACCCCGAATTTCAGCAAGGACGACGTCCGACCTTGAAAATCGTCTTATATCCGTCGTAGAAACTTTGGGAATTTATAGGGTTAATGAATTAGATAAACGAGTCGATTGGTTTCACGCGAAAAAAAAGTGCAAAAATTTATGTAGACGTTTTCTCACAGTCTGACTGCAAGTACACGGAGAGAAATTTTCTAGAAAAATTTTAGTACAAGTAGTCGAAAAAATTAGAATCCACCAGCTGTGAAAAATTCTAGTGCTATTAAGGTAAAATTTCTTGGTATTTCGGGTAAAATTTCTGGGGATTTCTGTGAAATTTTCACAGCAATAAGGGGAAAAATTCACGTTTTCCCCAATAAAATTTCTAGTCCGCGCACTGGAATTTTTTCCTGGCCGTCACTTTGCGCCTCTTTTCCCGTGCTAGCACTAGAATTTTTCTAAAATTTCTCTCCGTGTATCCTGAAACTTGTTTGACAGTTTTATTTTATTTTGTTTACGGTAAAGATTGATTACTTTGTTGAGTAGCAGTTTGTTGAACAGCACATTGTTGTATTACACGAAAGTCATTGATTCCTAGACGCAGTATTTTGCATAGTATTTTTTCATCGCTGACATTGATAAATTTGTAAAGGTGTTGCACATATGTGTTAGCCAACTTTACATAGCAGTACTATTAGAGATGTGGAATGACCGTCATTTTCCGTCTCGGTCAGGTCAGACGCAAATGACCGGTTTCTGACCGTTTCTGACCCTGACCGAATTTTGTATGCAAAATGACCGTCACAGTTAAGCTGCGTCAGACACGAGCCAAAATCATTAAAAATCATCCATATAATTGTAAATTGACCGTCAGTTTTTAACGGTTCGATCGGAAAACATTTTAATAGACTTGCATTATTATCATTTATTACTTTATTTATTAATTATTGTCAATAGTCCCATTCGCAATAATACACTGTTAGAAAAAAAATGAACTTTCATGGACAGTTGCCTAGTAATTTTCAGGATAGTACCACTGAATGCAATTTAAGGTACTTCCACAGTGAGTTATACTTTGTGAAAATTTCGTAATTAACTGAAGACCTAAAACTTGGATCATATGTTGTTGAGCACATATGAAAACGATTCCCAAAAATTCAAGTATTTTTTCCACGCGATTTTTTGAGATATGCATCGACAAAAACTTAAAAAAGAAATATTGAGTGTTTGACGATGGATATTTCAAAAATTCGTGTGGAAAAAATACTTGAAATTTTGGGAGCCGTTTTTACATGTCCTCAATAACATATGATCCAAATTTTAGATCTTCAGTCCATTGCAAAATTTTCACTAAGTATAACTCACTGAGGAAGTACCTTAAGGAGAAAAAAACGAAATTTCAGATTTCATTGAAATGTTATTAAAATTCAAAAATTTTGAGAAGCATGGAGACGAGGATTCTTCAAGTTATTTGAGTTTTCAATGAAAACATCAATATTCAGTGCCAAATTACCCTGAATTTTCAAATAATTGAACATTTAAGAATATGTTTATCGGAATTGTCCGGTTTTCTATGAATTTTCAGGGAACAATGGAACTAACATTTACTGTTCTGATTGATTTTTCCCCGAAATTCATAATTGTTAAGGTCGAAATTCCTTGAAATTTCAGTGAAACTTGAATGTAATTAAAAATTCCGAAAAGTGTACTGGAAATTTCAGCAAACAGTAGTAGTCGAAAATTGCAGGTCATCAACATAAATTGACGGTCAAAATTTTTATGGTCATTTTTTTCTGACCATATTGTCAGATTCTCGACACAGTAATTACCGGTCATAACGGTGGTCATTAACGGTCATTTTTGTCACACACATTTCTAAGTACAATACAGAGTGAACTGAGCTCAATTCACGTCTCTTGGTTTGAAAATTAAGTTCTATTATTATGGACTACTGTGGAATATTGCATTACACAGGTGTAAAATTCTAAAAATCTTGGTTCGTGCAATTTACAAGAAATCAATTTCCAATGAAATTTGCATTATTCTGCCCATGTGATTTTATAATTGCATGACAAATTCTGCGACAAGTGGAGAATCGCTGAATACATTAAAAGATGTGTACTGCATAAATGCACTGAACTGAGAATATGCCAGTACTGTTAATTTTTTTTTGAAATTTCAGTCACAATGTCATCTAAATTTCCAATGTTGTGAGTTTGAATTCAATTTCAATTGAAAACGTCCACTAAATTTCTCATTCATCTTGAAAATTCAAGAAAATTTGATTTTTCATTTTAAAAAACCATTGATTTTTCAATGAAAGCTTGAATTTTCAAATTCATCGTGGAAATTAAACATCAAACATAATTGAATTTCCAATATATTGAAAATTCAGCGAAGTCATTGCCTGAATTTTCAACATTATCAAGGTTTTTCAGTGTCCTATGGATCTGAAAATCGAGAATTACTTGAATATTCAAGAAATTAACTGCTTTGTCAATGAAGGATTCTACAGAAATTTCATATAACTTTATCGTTGTTAAAAATTTTAAGTTTTTTCACTTGAAATTTCAAGTGTAATTTTCTAACAGTGTATACAAAACCTGCATGGGTTAAATCCAATTGGAAGATAATGATTTGTCTTTGATAAGTATAATTTGATTTCTCATGATCTCTCAATGGAGAGATCCCGAGAGAGCGTTAAGAAGTTTCCTATAATCTTTTCTTCCGTCAACTTAGAAACGGAAGGGTGTTCAGAGCGCTTTCTATACGCTTTCCACAGAAAAATCTCAAAATTTCTGCCTCAATTTTCATAACTTTATTCAACTCTTCAATGGGAAAATCAGCAATTTCATTTTGAATTCAGTGATTTCAATATTAAACACTTTTTAGAGACAGGTCACATCTAAAAATATTTCAAAACCCTCGACTCCCCGATTTTCTCCTATATTTCGTTACTATTCCTTTGGTAATCACTTTGATTTCCACGTGAAAAATTATTTGCATGAAATAAAAGGGATGAATAACTAACTTTGGTCATTGAACTCACTTCCATGTTTCATGAATTCCGAGGGATCATAAGTGAATCCGCTGGGTTCCAATGGTCCCCCACAACTACTATGCTCTCCAGGTGTTTGCAAATTTATCACCGTCTTTATACTCCATTCTTGGAACTGGCCAATAACATTATTCTTCCGAAGTTGAGCCGTGCTGGGCCGCGCCATCGCCAGGACGTCGTCTGTCACCCTAGAAAAAGTTTAATGAAATTCACGTTTAATGTTAGTTATTATCCTCCATTCTACCCACGCCCCATCTTTTGTCTTGCAATCAAAGTTCCCTCATTGGACAAACACAATACAGTAGTGAATTGGCAAAGAACAGTAGGAGTTAATTCGACAAATGATGGACAGGAGATGATATGAATATCTCAGGCAATATTACACGGAGAGAAATATTCAATAGAAATTACCAGAAAAAAGACGTAAAAATTATGTTTCGAAACGTAATCTGGGAGCGAAGTAAAATTCAATAAAAAGTGTTAATCGTCACGTAAATTCTACGATCTGTTCCGTAAAAATTACTCATCCGTCCGACGCCTCACGGCTAGCCATGAGTCACCGTGAGGGGGAGATTTTACCAACACGTTCCGGAATTTTTCCGGAACTTTTCGTAAAAATTCTTAAACATCCAAGAATTTTCATGTTCTGAGGCATAATAAGTCTTGAAGTTTCTGTTAGATTTTACAACTTGCAGAAAAATTACGTGACTTTTTCGTATTTTTTCGGTGACAGACCCGAAAATTTACTGAACGTTTCAGATTTATTCTCTTATATCAACGTAGAATTTTGATGACATTTCAAGAGATGATAGTACTATGTCATGAAAAAATAAAAGAAGAGAATAGTAGAGTAAAAATTGAAAAAAAGGGAACCCATTCGGAAACAAATTGATAATTTATTAGCAACAATTACTGTACGATTTATTAGAAAATACTATTGTCCATTTGTTTTCGTGATTACTGAAAGAAACATCAGTGAATATTGGAAAAAAAAGACCACAGAAAATGTGAACAAGGGAAATTTTTAAGTTGGGTGGGTTTTAACACGTTCTGAGTGGGTGGGCTATTTTTTCCGCCTACCACTTCTGACAGAACCTGGTGTTAAACTTTGGCTAATTCCTGAATAAACCCTGATCAAATCCCGACTATACACTGATTAAACTTTGAACCTTAATTAACTCCCGGACTGAGAACGAATCCGAGTCTTAAGAGGGTCTGAATGTACAATTATTTAACAGAACGAAATAATACGCAAAATTTTGATGACATGACAATTGATGATAGTACTATGTCACGAAAAAATAGAAGAGAATAGTGAAATAAGAATTTTAAAAAGAGCACCTATTCGTAAGCAAATTGCTAATTTATTAGCAACAATTACAATATTTATTTATAAAAAAAATGCCATTGCCGGCTTGTTTTTTACTTTCCTTGTTTTTACCATTTCATCACTGAATCGACAATTAATCGATGAGTGTAATTTGCCTAATGCATTCAGAAAACAAGATAATAGCGAGTAATCATATGCTCACCAGTGTGAAAAAATCTCTTTTATCGTCATGTGCACCTGCGGCCAGGCTCTTGGATTTTCGTACTTGCATCTCGATCCCCCACAGAAGATTGCACACTGGATTCCAATTGGCGTTATCTTTCTCAAATTCTCGGACAATTTATTGTAATTCGCGGGAACTACACACAAGTCTAAACCGCCTTGGAGACCCGCCGGTACTAATGCACTTACGTCCATCCTAAAATATTAATTGAATGGCAAATTGGTAATGCCTGATGTTACTTTGTACGGGTAGTTATAGGCATTGATTTGGAATTAAAGTCAGATTTTCTCGTCATTTGAAACGAACAAACATTAGGAAATTCGATTTTCAGTCGGAAATTCATTGTGATAAAAATCGCTGAACGGAAAAGAGAAAATTGTTTTGCAAATGTCCTGTTAAAAATTTGATGTTTTTGTTGATTTCAATTTTTCAATATCTTCCACTACTATTTTCCGTTTCCACGAACCTGTGCAGGGGTAGTTTACAACTTCGGAGTAAATCAGAGGGTAAAATACTGTTCTGAGTTTACTGTTGTGAGTTTATATGGCAGCGACTATTTTTGAATACTTTGTTTTTTGTTCTAAAAAAAGAAAATTGATTGAGATTTCTCTACGGGAAAAATGTTTAAAAGTTTATTCAGTAAAATATCACTCACTTTGGTATTCAAATTGAAATTTTTTTATGAACGATTTTTATTTCTCATTTTTTTTCAATAAAACATGCCCTTCCGTCAACACCTGCCGGGATATCATAATTCTATAACTGCAAACATGTAGTCAAGAATTACCACTGCACAGCTTCATTGCGCGGGTAGTTCCACTCACTAATTTGAGCGGATTTAGAGAAAGACGCTGACAATTTACACGACGAGGATTTCTTTCACTATTTCGTGCCTCAAAATACCAATGAAATTACGATTATTAAAAAAACTGTTGACTGCAACAACAGATTCATTGATTCAACAAAAAATTTACTCACTTTATCAATCAAAATTAGAACTCTGAACAACTTTTTATCCATCGCATCGTCAACTGAACTTCTAACCGATTTTTTTCGCGATTTTTAAAATTTCTCAAAACATTCGTTTAAATTAATTATTGTTCTGCTTATACTGGAGAAGCGTAGAACTGAGTGAACGGGACCGTTTCCGTGTCGATGCGCTCGCCGCGAAGGGCCGCGACGAAATGGTATGATCGATGTTGAAAAAGCGGGTGCCGTAGTACCTAGGAATCGCCTAGTATTCAAATCGACCATCTCGTCGAGTCCTCCCGTGACTGTTGGAGATCTGATTAAGCCCCCATCTCCATTATTCACTTGGACATGAATGGAATTCTGTTTTTTTGCATATTCGCAAGTGTTGGGATTCACGCGTGCGAATTTTACACATCAATTTTCTACAATCTTACTCAACATCAACGCAATTAATTTTTGAGTTCAATGATCTGTACAGACTTGTAGGAGTGCACACGATACGAGAGAAGATGAGACTTTAGGGAGTATCGTCTCGTCTCGGTCTCGTGACTATAAAAATTGAAATAAGCAGGGGTTCAAGCCTATCCGACAGAAGGCAAGTGACCGTTACTTTTCGTGTCATTAGTCTCTTTTTCATCACGCTGTGACAAAAAGTGAACTTTTCGGCACGCTCCGCGTGCCTAAAAGTCCAATTTCCGCCACATTGTGATGAAAAATATTGTTCGTAACTCGTGAAAAAATGTTTTTTGCACTCGTTACGAAATATACTATTTTTTATTTCTACCAATTTCACTTTTTTTTTTATTAAGCACAGAACCTGAAAGGTTATACAGCTATGAAAACGTAGAAAAAATAAAAAAATAAAAAGATATATATATATATATATATATATATATATATATACATAATGGAATATAGTTAGTCCAATGATTATCGTTTACATTGTTTCCTTATACATCTATTACCAATTTCACTGGTAGTATGCTTCCAAATAAATTCGTAGCGATTCGCAACCACGTGCTACAAAGTGTCTACAGGAAAATATTCAACCTTTTAATGAAATAGATTTATAAAACAAGTAGCTTTTTTTGACCATCTACAAAAACAACAGGCTCAATACAAAACATAATTAGAATATATAACGCCATTTGTCGCCCAATAGTAGATTACGCACATCCGTTTCTCCTCTATGCAATACCAGATACCAAGAAGGTCATCGACGTAGCCGAGAGGACAACCTTACGGAAAGTGACAAAGATAAGACCCCCCAACAACCCACTTCACACCCCCTAGAATACCCTACTCTACGAACGCACCTGAATAGAACCCATCACAGACAGACTCAAAAAATTAACAACAACTTTCGCCCTTAATAAACTGGACTATATTCTAAACCTCTGTCACAAGCGCATTCCCGCCGCCAATACACGATATAGGTACTCCCAGCAAACCCTTCTAGAGAATCTTAAACCTATAATTGCACTGAGAAAAAAAATTATTTTTGCCAAATATTCATTTACTTGAGAGAAGCATTTATTTTTCCAAAAGCGTATTTCTCCAATCGAATCACTCTAAGGCAAGTCTGATTAGGTTTCAATTGTGACAATCATGTTATTTTAGAGGGTGACTATGTTGCACATGACCTCAGATGAACTCCTCCAATCATTATTCATTTTTCCTAAATTTCTCATCTTCTACAGGGAAGAATTTCGATCAATTTTTTAATGTTTATAATCATTGAAGGGGTTCATTCAAAGTCATAACTAACATGATCAACTTCTAGAGCAATATAATTGTTATAATTGAAACTCAATGAGAATTGCCCGGAAATAATTCGGCAGGACAAATACGGTATTGAAAAAATAAATCCTTCTCTCAAGTAAATGGATATTTGGCAAAAACATTTTTTTTTCTCAGTGTGCCGCCAGGAAAGAAGGAACTTGGATCTGAGTGGTGGGGGACGTCGAGTCATAGCTGAATTCGAGAGAGTGGGGGTACTCAGCCACAATCCTTCTTTCGTGGCGAGGACTATATTCACATAGACCAGGCCTGGGCAAAGTGAGCTCTCCGAGCTCACCGAGCTCCCAACCCCAATTAGGCCAATGACCATAAAAAAGGGGTGCTGTTGTATTGTGCAGGTAGTCGGAGTGGCGAGACCCAATGCTTGGGTCAGAGTGGAGGTATCGTTATGTCAGTCAACACGCACAAAATTTTAATTTTTGAAAGAAAAATATGAATATTTTTCTTGATATATTTTGCATTGTTAAAAAATATCAATTGTTCATTTTTTTCTATATCAACTTCCGCATAAAATTCCGTTTAATAAATCACTCCAAATTGAATATTTCGGCAGCAAATGAATTGAAAAACACTGGTGAAAAGATCTATGCCATAGACACATACGGAAACGATCGCTGGGGAGGTCTCGCACGCCTCCAATAATAGGTCTTTGCATAAACAACAATAGTTCTCTACTTTCTTTCTTCATGCTCATCCAAACCCTTCAAATTGTTTCACTCGCATTCCATATACTTTCCAATGTACAAGAAATCTCTATTTACCTCTTCTTGTGTTTTACTCTATTGCACATGGTATATTATAATAACATTCAACTAAATATCTCTGTAAATACCAGGCTGGAGGCCTTCGGGCGATGGCCGCCCGTCGCAAGCCCATTGCGGCAAATCACGTTAAAAATAAAAAATTGCAGGCGGCTGTATCTTCGATACAGCTGTAATTGTACGTGAATACGTCCATGGTCTTTCCTTCTTTCTCGAATTTCCTAGAAACTCCTTGCATTCCCTCGAATTTTCTGGAAACTCCTTGAATTCTTTCAAATTTTCTGGAAACTCCTTGAATTCTTTCGAATTTTTTAAGAACTCCTTGAATTCCCTCGAATTTTCTAGAAACTCCCTGAAGTTCCTTGAAATTTCTAGAAACTCCTTGAATTTTTTCGAAATTTCAAGAAACTTCTCGAATTACCTCGAAATGCCTAGAATTTTATAGAATTCCGATAGATGGCGCTGTACATAAGGACCGTTTCCCAAAATGATCCCCCATATTTAAACCATAGACGTATCCACGTCAAAAATAAGAATAGTTTTTGAGATAATGACTAAAATAGTTTCATACAAAAAGTTGAATATCTCTGGAACTACTCATCGGATATCGCTCATCCGAAATATCAACCTTTGGTACCATAAGAGCTACAATCATACCAAATTTCAACCTCCTATCTCAATTTTTTGTCGAGTTATTGCGCGCACAAGGAATTTAGGGAAAAAATGGAAAATCGTAAATATCTCGAAAACTTCATACGAATGGGTATACATATTTTGATTGACGTGGATAGAAGACATTGGGACGAGTATTTTGACAAAAAAATTGAATCGGGCACATAGTTTACGAAATATTGACAAATAATGAAATAATTTTCGAGAAATTTCACATTCATATCAATCAATTTTCCCGCATTAATGTTATATTTTTGAAAAAGTGGTAATCCAAAAATCGAACTATCAGCTTAGGACATACAGACATTTTCTAAAAACATCATTTCTTCACGTTTCATAACATTCTACATCATTTCCAGGAAAAATTACAGAATGTCAAAATTCGACAAATATAATGCTTCCATTTGGAAACAATTGGAAAAAACGATCATAAATCGAGAGAAATGGTGAGAAGGTTCACCCTTTGTGTTGCGAGGGTCAAACGCTGCGTCGCCCAGGGTATGGCGACGTTTGAACTCTGGCAACGGTTGAATCTTTTAAGGTATGATCCTTGCTGCGTTTGACCCTCGTAAAACCCTGATGGTATTGACGAAACTCTCGCCAGAAGTCTCGTTCTAGAGGCAGTCTGGGTGCGTTGATTGGAGGAATAAATTGATCCAAATACCAGAATTATTTTGAATATTTTCATTCTTTTCTTTTCTGTTTTTTTCTCTCAGTAACACATTTAATTTCTTAGTAAAATCGGTACATTTTTACAAGGCAACTTATCATATAATACTTCTTAACGCAATTCAGGCAATCAAGATTCTATTTTACTTTACAATTCATTGATAATTGAATAGGAAATGAACAAATGGATTTTGTAAATTTTTGCGTAACTTCTTTTATTTCAATTCTTGAACTCATGTGTTTCTGCATTCTGGTAATTCTTTAAAATGGCGATGAGGCTATACATAATACTGGTGTATGAAAAAATCAATGTTCGATCGGGCCAAGTGACAGTGACCCTTGGGGTTTTACAATGTACGCTTTTAATTCAATAGCGAAGTGGTGACACTAGTAATGTGAACTCAATATCAGACCAGTTTTTTAAAATATAGTATTGAAGACAAATTTACCCATTTCTATTGAAATCTTTCTCGTAGAGAAAATTATGATTTAGGAAAACATTTCCGTGCAAATTTTCAAGTTTCAATTTAATCTCGAGTTTTTTTTCCGAAAACTGATCTTGGAATGGAATTGACTTATTTTACCACTCTACTTTTTCCTATCAGGAAATAGTATATTTCGATACGAGTGAGACGGAATTTTCACGAGGCTTTGCCTCGGGCCGCCAATCACATCACCTGAAAATTTCGGTCTCACATGTGTCGAACAAGATTTTTCGTCACGGCGTAGGCGGAAAGGCGAATTTTCCTCCAGCGAAGCGGAAGGAAAATGTGTTCTTTCCGCCCGCCGTGGCAAAAAGGTAACTTTTTAGGCTACGCGTACCGAAAACGTCCCTTTTCCATACATTGTGATCAAAAATATCATTCGATACTCATAGGAAAAGTATTTTTTGTTGCTCTCGCCTTCGGCTCATGTTATAAACCTCTCACGAGCCAAAAAACACTTTTCCGCACTCGTGTCGAAATATACTATTTTGACACTGATGTTACGTTCAGCGAGCGGCCGAACTGTGCCTTTATCGTTTACAAGAAAATGAATAGTATTTTTCCGGTCTGTTGCGATGGGGTTTTTTACTCGTGTGGCGTTGGCCTCCGAGCCGTAGGCGAGCACTGGCCAACCACACGAGTAAAAAAACCCCATCGCAACAGCCCAGGAACAATATTTTTCTGTAGTGATTTTCAAGTTTTCGAGTTTGGGAAGTATGTAATACCAATTCTCAGAGGAGAAATCGTGAGAAGCAGTACAGAAAAAGACTTTTCG